GTATAAAAAGCCCTAGTAAATTATAAAAAACTAGCTATAATAATACTAGTTTATTACTAGTTTAAAAAAAAGGTAATAACCTTACTAAGTTAAATACCTTTTTTTTTTTACTAGGTTTTAAGGTTTAATAAACCGCTAGTGTTATTAAAAAATTATTAAACTATTATTTAATTATAATTAATTACCTATAGCTTTAAAGGGGTATAAAATTTTTTATTTTATAAAATTTTAAGATTATACCTAAGGCTATAAATAAAGTAATTACCTTTTTTATTTTTTTATAAAATTTTAAGATTTAATAAACTATAGCTGGAACACTGCTAGCTTGGTATTAAAACTTATTTTAAATTATAATTTAAAATAAAGGACTATATTTATATTAAAGTTAAAATATTAAAATTTTTTTTTTTATTTTTTTTAAAAAAAAAATAATAACTAGCTATATAATAAAGGTTATAATAAAAAATTACTATTTAGTATTAGGAGCAGGAGCAGGGGCCTTTTTAAGTATTTTTTTTTATACTTAGTATTTTTTTAAAAAAAAGGCGTGACAGGCTTATTTTTTAAAAAAAAATATTAATAAACTAATAACTATCCTAGCTATTATTAAAATAAGCCAGGGGCTATTTAGTAATAAGTTAAAAAAAATTAAATAAGTTTTTAAATAATTAAAGCTAATACCTTTATTATATAAACCTTGGGGCTTATTTTTTTTATAGGCCTTTATTATTAGTTTAACTTAATAAGTAAATATATTTTAATAATAAAGGTATTTATTATAGTTACTAGGGTTTATTTATTATAAAAAAATAATATTTTTTTATATAAAATAGTAGGGGGAGGCAAGTACCCTTATTATAAATATAATAAAAGTAATTACACCCGGGGGTTAAATAAACATAATTATTAAAGTTATTAATTAATTTATTATTTTTACATGCTTAAATATACTTTGCATATTATAAGTAAACCTATTTTTTATTAACTAATATTTATACTAAAGCTATTTTACTAGCAAACTAACTAAAAATAAAAAGTATTTATAAAAAAAAGACTAAAGGCCAGGAAAAAAAAAGCCTAAAAAAGTAGTAGTATAAAACCTATAATAAAAGTATTAATAATAGTAATAGCTAGCATAGCATAAGGTAAAGTAAAAAAAGGTAAGCTAGGGGGCGTGGGAGCTATAATTAAATAATAAGGTAATTAAGGTTAATATAAAAGTAAGTAAGTAAGTAAATAAATAAAAAAAAATAGTATTATTATTATTTTTAATATTAGCTATTATAATAAAAAAAATTTAAAAAATTAAGGGGTTATAAATTATAGGTTTACATAGGTAGGCTATATATTACTTATATAATTTATTTTTTTATTATTTTTTAAATATTTTTATTAAATTTACTATTATTACGGCTATTAAAAAAAGTGTTATTATTTAAAATAATTTATTAATAAAAGTGTTAAATATTAAATGGGCTATTAATAGTAGTATTTTTAGTATTTTAAGCAGGATAAACTTTGTTTTAGCCACGTGCATTACTCCTGGTATTAAAGCTTGCGCCTAAGAAATGACGGGACCTACGTAAGGTTTACTAAGAAACCTAGAACCTTGGAAACTTGGTAAAATAATGCCTTTGGAACTTTAAAAGTTTAACCCTTGATTACTCGTCACTTTGCTGAGCCTTTGGTAAACCCACTAGGGTTCAGAGACGTGACTGGGAGTATATATTTATTCTAGTATAGCCTGCCTTTATAAAACTATCAAGATCTGGCAAGGGGTGTGAACCAGTTGTTTCTTCCCCCCAAGGCGTGAAATATCACTAAGGTACTACTACTACTACTACTACTACTACTACTACTACTACTACTACTACTGTTACTTCGAGACCATCAGCAGGCATCCTTGACTGACTTGGAAATGGGAGAGCGATTTCACCTTCAAAGTAAATAGGGCATAGAGAGTTGCTTGTGTTCACACAGCGTTGGGTGTGAAGTGTGACGAGAGCCATGATTCGTCTCTCCGACTTCCGGACGTCCATTTGGTGATACATTTTTTGTTGACAGTCATTGTTCATTTCTTGATTGTTAATGGTGACGAATGAAAGATTCCATTCATGAACAAGAACCAGACCAGGCAGCCTTTGCATTCATAATGCCTTTTACCTGCCCGAAATCAGCAAGAACTGGCAGTCAGTGGGAAGGAGTACGGAAGCACAAATAGATAAACCCTGTACACTCCTTCGCAACAGATTTTCTTTCCCGCTACCGATTCTATCTAAAGCGCCTTTCCTGAAGCGCCGCAGCGAATTCACGATACCCGAAAACACCTGGTCCTGCATATAGTGAAATGCCCCTACTGCCTCCAACTAGCCCTACTCATCAAAGAGCATCCCCAGCGCGGAAAGGGCGCGACCACCTGGCGCATCACACGGAAGGACAAGGACGAGGGCGCGCTGGATCCAAGATTGAGATCTCCTTCGTCCACCTATAAGCTGCGACTCGAGGTCCACGACAACGCAACAGAGGTCAAGTGGTCCAGACCTCTCTGCGGTGTCCTTATGACTGGAAAGGTAATCAAGGAAGGAGGGCTTCTCACTATCTTTAAGGCTCTTCTCTTGGACAAGTACATCGGTCAATTGAAGCCCCTTGTCCGTCAAGTGCCAGTTTTTGGGATAAGGCTGGTTTGAGAAAGGGTTTGAGGTGTCGAGGACCGGACTATGAGGGCCAACTTTATGAACCAGCTGCAAGATGCATTTTTGCAGCTGATGGAGGGCGGAGAGGCGCTCTTGGAGACGAACTTAGTACTTGGGCAAGTCGCTTGCTCATTTACGTAAGACTTTTACTGGCTTTATGCCTTTCGCACTTGTTTAATCTAAGGTCCAATATTCCCCAGCATCCAATTCAATCTATTTTATTCCACATAGATATCTCTTTTTCCGTAATATGTATTTTACTAGACAGAAAGCAAGACCGTGGCGCCAGGGTACCCATAGCAACTCGAATGCCATGTCAGTGATAATAGAGAGTTTTGTTGCATATATAATTACCTAGTCGGCACCTTAAAGTAAGCCTAATCCATCTGGGCCTCACATACACAATACTTCGGGCACCATGGATGTAATAGTACCTAGATGTCCCCTTTCACCAGTATGAATTATGGTAGAGAGTCCCGGTGTGACGAAGGGAAAAGAAACATACTTCACTTGATCAAAGAAGCCTTGAAAATGTCCGGAATTCGATTCCTCGTCACCGAAAACACTGGACTTTGGTCCCCCTTTCAACAACAGATGCATCCTAGGTACAGTCATCCTCGAAAGGCCTTCAATACAGGCTTTGACTGGCTGTTGTATTCTCCTTTCTAGGGATGTCTTTCATGTTTTGTATCCATTCTTTGTCCATTCTCCTTGTCCATTCTCCTTTACTCTTCAGTCTTTCTTCTATTATTTCTCTCTCTACTGTCGATTTTTTACTATCGCCTGGCACTAAGACAGGCAAGTCTTTATTCAATGTTAGTTCCTAGACAACAAGGCCACTCTCTGTATTTTCTCAAATAACACCTTTGATGTGCGATTCGTGAAAGATCTTAGTCAGGCTTCAAAGACATTGTTCTGCACTGCGTGTTAACGACAAAGGAAACGAAGCATTATCAATCCCCTGACAAAGTCCGTCTACTACACGTTTACAAAAAACAGGACGAACATATAAACCCCGTAAAACCTGTCGTCCAATCTTCCCACCATCATCAGCAAAGTTCTCGGACAACAGCGTCCGACCGGAGTTTCAACATGCCTACCATGAACTACCTTCACATCACCTCATTCGAGGTCAGTGCATCCATTGCATCGGCCGGGCCCGCTAGCCCCTACACCTCCATCCTCCTCACCTTCAGTCCACCACCCCCAACCACCAAGTCCATAACCTGGCAATTCACGCGCTCATCAGCCGCCGAAGCCGTAGACGCCATGGCCCACGGCCCATCCCCGCGACCCAACCCATCCACAAAGTACGTTGTCAGCATGCTCCGCGACTGGGACATCAACACCTTCCCGAACCGCGTGCTCCTCGACCGAGTCGCAGCGCGAGACGCAGACCTCTCGCAGGTCCTTGATCTGCTTAATCTCGAGCAGCAGCCGCGTCGGGGGTTTATGATGTACACGCTGCAGGAGACGGGGGGTTCGGTCGCGGCCGCCCTGAAGACGGTTTGGGTGGAGGATATCGTCGGGATATTGACGCACCTCGTTGATCGTGGGATCCTTGTGCGCCGCCCTGGAGATCCGGCTGTTTCGCATCAACAGGTGAAGAGCGAGATTGCGGCGTTGGCGAGGGTGCTGAAGACTGCGTTTGATGCGCCGCCGGCGGAGGCCCCTCCTATTGTGGACTTTGGTCCGTTTCAGGTCGCTGCGCAGCCTCATCCTGACATGGGCTTGGATGAGGTGACCAGTGCCCATCGGGGTGTGAAGCGGGGTCGTGAGATGTAAGCTCGCCGCTTCATATCTTGCTGGTGGTACCTGCCTTGCTTAGGGAGGTACCGATTGTGCCAGGCCTCATCTCCTGAAATCAAGGCCATTGGCCTAAGGGGTTGAAGCTTGTTCTTTTTTGACTTATGTCTACCACACTCGTTTATAGTTTCCTTTCAATATATACATCGCGTTCAAAACGCTTGTTCCAAATCCTTTTTATCATTTTCTCAATTGATCAGCATCTAGCATCATCATGTAGAGTCTTTGTGACCCCACGAATTATTCCGTAAACCCTCTGATTTTCAAAAATGTGATCTCCCTCATCACTAACTATCTCCATTTACCTGCTCCTCTTTTAACGCAATTATAGTAGGTCCTGAGTTTGAGACGATGATATGAAATCTGCCGTCGAGGGCACTGTAGCGTACTCTTCCCCCCTGAGCTGAAGTAACAGTGCATGATCGTTAGAATGATGGCAGGACAGAGTATACCGTTATGCATTAGGCCGTCCACTCAATGTGCTAGATTCGTGATAATAAAATTGCGCTCCTACCTGATCTCAATCTTTGTGTCTTGTTCAAGCCAGACACCTTACATGACAATTTCTGCGTGCCCCTGGGCATCAAGGCACGCATGACCAATACACAAAGAGGCCTTATAACAAAGCCTTTCAAAGGCGTCCGATTGTATTAATAAGAATCAAACCAGGTGCCCCTGCTATTGGACGGCGTGTTTGGCTAGTACTTTGTCGACTCTTCATTCACTTGTTGTAACAAAGCAGATATACTCCACAAAACAAACGCTTTGTAGTTGGCCTTTGTCAATTCACAGCCAAAGCAGGCATAGCCTTCAGCGCAACATCAATTCTCACATATACCCTGCGCCTTCACTCTTCAAAGCAAGAGCCCAGTCACGCGCTCTTGGTTCATTGTCACAATAGAGTGGTACAGTTCACAAAGACCCTTGTTAACAAAAGGAGTCGGCCTTTATTCACAATGGACACTCCAGGCCTTTACAAGAACAACGTCTTTCACACATACATATACAAAGACATCTTAAGACATATAAACCGAGTAAACACCACCCCAACTCCCCATTCCATCTTCAGCAACATCGTTTGGATTCCAGATCCAAACATTCTCGCAGATCCAAATACCACCCACCATGTCTTCCGGACGCACCTCCTCCACCATGCAAATGTCCACCACCACCTCCAACTACGACATCCACGCCCACCTCACCCCCCGCACCCGCAACAACCCAAACCCGCAACTAACCCTAACCTTCGTCGAATCCGGCTACGTCGACAACGCAAGCTACCTCGCCATCCAGCGCGCACTGTCCAACGACGACCGCCGCACCCTCGCCCCCTACAAGCTCACCTTCACCGACGCCCCGCCCATCCGCGCCACGCCGACCCCCACCCTCATCGGCACATTTCCCGCCCTGGAGCGCAGCATGGACGAAGTCCAGGCCCAGGCGCGCATGCTCTACGAGCGCGCGAAGAAGCAGGGACGTCTGCGTGAGCTTGCGGGGCGCGGAGAGGAGGAGAAGCTAGGCGCGCTGTTTGATAAGGTGCGGCGGGAGAATAGGGTTATGGACGAGGGGGACTATGGTGTTATTGTTTCGCGGCTGGTGGAGATGGGGTTCCTTGCGAATCATTCCGTGGCTTCAGGGCGTGAAGCGACCGAGGGTCTGGCGCGCCAGTTGAAGGCGGTTGTTGAGTCCATGGCGGTTTTTGATGAGCGCTTGCTTGATATGGGGGGGTTCCATGTTCCGGCTTTCCGCATGGGGAACGGGGAAGGGGATCATCCTATGGAGATTTAAGCGAGTCAGCCTTCAGCGGTGTTTGGCCTTGGTGACGCTGTTGTCTTCTGCTACATGATGTGCTGAGTAAGGGTGAGCACTGTGCTTCGGTAGAGTGCTTGTACCTGGTCCATTTTTTAGTGTTTTGGCGGAATGCCTACCACGCTCGTTTGGGAACTTTCTTCTTGATCCAGACCATAGTTTTAATTAATACAATCATTTATCAGTGTTAATAAATCCAGAATATGTCGTAGCATCCCAATCGCGCAAATGTCCAAGACTGTGGTATGAAGTGGGGCTCTGAGAAAGTAAGTCACGTTGACAGCAAGCCCTAACTCATTCTCAGCAGGCCTACTAAGTGCCCAAGGTCCGTAGTTTGCCCCAACCCTCTGAACTCTCGGACTGCATGGCGCAAACGCGTACTCGGGGGGTTTCTCCCTGTAATTCAACATTTCTCTGCCCTTTGCTTGCTAACAAAGTCAGCAGGTCCCTCAGGCAACTCCCGAAATCCCTGCGCTTCCTGGTTAGGCATTTAGGGACTCCTTGCTTCATCATACGTGTTGCAGTTCTTTGCCGTTAAGGCGATCCGAACTGACCTCACTTACGAACAGTCTAGGCAAACTCAACGAAGAGTACTAGATTAGTCTACGCGAACACATCATAGGGGGGATCATGAGACTTATGTTATGGGACCCGGTGTTTGACGCACTAGGCAGGTATGAGTACGGCATGGGATCTAAAGGTAATATCCCTGTCTTGCGAGTCCAGCGTAGTTGCCTTTGCAGTTGCCTTTGCAGTATTATCTTCTCAGCAGGGCAACTAGTTCCGTTACTCACTCGGCCGGATGCTTGGAGATAATACCCTAATAAACACTCGGGCTTGCCGTTTGCAACCTCGCAAGGATAAGCGTTGACAGGTAACTCCACAATGAAAAGACCTCAGCCTTGCTCTCACTGCGAGGCTTCGATCTAGACAGATAAATATCGTACGTTATCTGGGAAGAAGGAACATCGGACAGCGTCGACTCCATCTCAATAAGTTAGGCACATCTCAAATAGCTCAGGGAAATTCTGAGCAAAAGTGATGCAATAAGATTCGATAGTATATCAAGAATAGTAAAGGCTATTACCAGCACGAAGGCTCATCAAGACCAGCCGCAGTCCCACAGCATGAACCCAATCGAAACATAAACCGAAGAGGCATAAAAACAATGGCGGTAACCATAAGTTGGGATTGGGCATCTACTACATAGTCACACTCCTACAAAGACCCTCACCTCACCGGAGCTGTGAACCTGCCGCTCAAAACTTCCAACTACAGCGTCCGATAAGGTAAGGCATTCCCTGTAGCCTCGATACAAATCTATGATTACCGGTTTGCCATATCGTATGGTCCTAGTAGACTGTTTAAGCAACAAAGTCTAAGTATAGACGGAACGGGCATTCACAAAGAAACTATGAAACAAGTCTGTTGTCTCGTCCTGGTCAAAGGCAGCAAACACGGTACGCTCGAGAATAGACGCCTCTGTATCGGTCTTTGTTGAGTTCCCCGTCAAGTTCATTGTTATTCTGGTTAAAATAGACATGAATGTTTCGGCCACCGAGTGCCATACAGCCTCCTAATAATTGACGATATGAATCTAAAACTAGTACGCTTTGATGACCAAGTGTCATACAGGGTCATAATAATTAACTGATACAAGTCTCAATCTAGTACACTTTGACCTGTGCAGTGTCCCATTCACTGCGACGTGAGAGAGATGAGACTTGACATTGAAACCTGAAAAGATGAACAAGCCCTTGTCATTAGAGAGTAACAGGAGGGTTATTTTAAGAGACAGAGTAAGAGGATGGGTATATAAATGTCTCCAATACACTGCAAAACTATCCATCACATCGTTCATCCCATCCTCGATAGAAACACTCGATTGACTCTCCTACCGAGCCTCTTATTCTAAAGGTTGACAGGTATCAACCCACGAAACCCATCAACATTTCCAACATTCCCACCAACGCCACCACAATGCCACCTACACCCGTTATACCCCAACCACCCCGTGCACGCCGTGCACGCCCCGCGGCCCGTGCCGCCATCGGCACACAAACCGCCGCCGATCTGGCCCCCCTCCCCAGAACCCGCGGCCCCCCAAACCCCAACAACCGCATCCTCTTCATCTTCGTGCACATGGAAAAAGACGAAGACGCCCCCCACAAATGGACCATCTGCTTCGCCCCAAGCGACCTCGCCCCGGGCCAATGGGAAACAATGTCCATCCACAACGCGAACGACGGCTCACCGCTAACACTCGAACACGGCACGCTGCAAAACGACGCAATCATGCGCTACGACTCGTACTCCAGCGTGCACCGGATCTGCGAGTACCCGATCCTAACCCACGAGCGCCTCAAACAAGCCATCACCAACTCCGTGAACTTCACAATCCGCGACCCCGACCGGACGGCGTGGCGGCGCCCGTTCACGCGCGTGCTGCGCGAGTGGGGCTGGATCCCCAGGATAGTAATGCGCATCCTCAACCGCGTGCTGGTGCTGCGCGCCGAAGCGGCCGGGTACGCGCGGCGCGTCCCCGGGGGCCGCCACCACGTCTGGACGAACCTGCGGCGAAGCCGCGTGATCAATCGGATCCGGGCGGAGGAGCGCGAGCGCGAGCGCCGCGAGGAGCAGGAGGATATGGTGCGGTGGGGGGAGATCCCTGCGCCTGGTGCGGCTGCGGCTGCGGCTGGGCCTGCGAACGGGGGGTCCGAAGAGGGGAGTGAAGAGGTGGAGGACCACTGGGCGGATATACGCGCGGAAGCGAGGCGGATGCGGGATGGCTTTCTGAGGGCAAGGCGTCGGGACTTGGAGCTGGAGGGGGATTATGATGAGGAGGGGGGCGAGTATGACGACTTCGGGGACCTCGATGATGATGAGTATGAGGACAACGTTGTTAACGTCGACGTGGCCGAGGAGGACCTCTTGGACCTCGATGCTATGACCAGTGAGGAAGTCAACGCGCTGCAGCCCGGTGCTTATCGGACTGTTCGGGGCGGGACTGTTCATATTCGCCCGATCCGTGATGAGTTTCTGGACTAACTATCTTGTCTCTTTTTGTTTGTTGTTTGTGTCGCGTTCTGTTTTATTGCTTGGCTTACCACGGAAGTGAGAAATAGAAATAAATACCTAGATAGAGTGGTATGCCTGATCGAAGGGTATCCAATAGTCAGTTGTTCATTTAGAATGCCATTTCTTGTTATTTAGACTCTTATACTCTCGACACCCACATGTAGCTGTGTACTCCCTAGTTGGAGACGCCGTCCTTGCTTTTGCGAAGTAAACAGCTTATGTCCTTTCTAGGACTTGGCCTACACACTACCAATGGTGTGTACTGCGTGAAGACTAGGCCATAGTCAGCAGGGAACAGATGTGCAGTGCTAATATTGATACAGCCGCCTTGGTTCTTTTTTCCAGTTAACTAATGCTCCTCGTGTAAAAGTGAAGTTCTGGGCCATGGAACAATTGTCCAGGCTGTGTGCATCGCGATTTACTACATCTATACACGCATACTCCCCAAAACCTGATCTCGTACTTCCAAGTAACCTAGCCTTCTTTTCAAGAGGCCTAATATGCGTCCTGAACTACTCGCAAATCTCAAAGATCCCTTTGTTTATTCCTTTGTTAACTACCATAAACATTGTTTTAAATAAAGGACCTATTTATACACCTGATACTCATGCAGACGAGAATATGTCTTACTATCAAGCACACAAAGAAACGTTGACAATGCGAGCCATCGAAGCCAATAAATAACAATGGCTTCATTATTATATCTCGAAACCAAACCCCGGCTATAAATATCACAATGCGTCCACCCGCGTTGCAACCATGATACGACCAGATAATCAACGGTTTCGTCTCAGTTTCCATCACGAGTCACCACGATGGCGTCCCAAGGCAACAGATGGCTCTATCTCTTCATCCACCGCACAGCTACGGAATCCGAACCCCACCAATGGACCTTCGTCTGCCCGCCAACAAGATTCCGAGGCTCAACAGAAGCCTCGTGTCTATATATCCACAACTCCGGTCCCAGCGCTGGCCCAGGCCCGCAGCTGGTCGTGGAAGAAGGCACCCAAATCCTGCGCCGCCCCCGCCGACCCTGGCACACGTACTCCTCCATCCACCGAATCTGCTGGTACCCCGCCGACGTGCACTTCGACATCGTCGAGCTCCTCCTGCGCTCTGTACGGCAGGCGAACGAAGACGGCGCGATGGAGAGGCGCTGGCAGGGCCCGTTTCTGCGGGAGTTGGTGGAGTGGGAATTTGTGGAGCAGTGGGAGGCGGACACGTTGGATGCGCTGTGGTTTACGAGGCCTGTTGCTGATGAGGATCGGGGGCCTGTGGGGGCTGGGGGTGTGGCGCTTGAGTATGTGGATTTGAATGCGAGTCTTGAGCGGAATTTGAGGGAGCAGGAGGGGAGCGCGAGGGATGCGGAGGAGCGCGGGCGTTGATTGGATTAGGGCTTGCTGGTTAAGATGCTGCACGTCTTTAGCGGCTCGACTTTCTCTTGACTGGACTGGAAGACGGATTGCAACCGGAACTTTGTCGCTCGCTACCTGTTTTGCTTATCTCTTTTTTTGTGCTTGAGTCTGAACCCCAAGTATGTACTCTCTAGTTAGTTATACGGGATAATGCCTAATAAGAACGTCCTGCTGGAGGACTATGCGATCTTAGTCTATCCATGAACTTAGAAATCTTCCTTCAAAGTAGCTATACTTTTTCTCAGTCCTCTGTGTCCCGTAAGCAGTTCTTGTCGAGGGAGACTGCCATACGTACTGTAGAGCAGGAATTAAAAAGCAACTTCTAGAAAATCAACCAGTCTCCCTCCTTGTTCCAGGAATATCTTAATTGTGGCTCCTGCCTACTTTACTTTCATACAAGCCGCGCTGGCTTTAATTCCTCTAGGACGGCGAGAGGCTGGACGGTGCAGCATGCGTAGTGCAAAGCTGCGGGCCGGAACTAATAGTAAACCCTCGCTAATTTGCTTTCTGCTAGCCGGATATGTATGGGATGCTTTTAAGCCTGAGACTGGTTCTGATTCATGTCTATTTTCTCCCTTCATGAAGGCTGCCAGACGCACGCTACAAGCGCCGATGTCCGCCACAAGCATGAATCCGAGAATCGTGGTTGGCATTGTATCCGTTTTCTCGAGAATAAAGAGGCAAGAAGCGCTTGTTTCCAGACGGGCACTGATACTCTGCCCTACACATCGTGTGTCAGAATTGCATTGTAGTTTCCGGAAAACAAAGCGGGACTGAAAGAGGCCAGTCCATGCGTTGAACTCCAGATATTGCCATAATAAGTACCATGCGCATGGCTCGGGAAGGAGTTGATACTGGATGGGAGGTAAATGTTTGAGCCACCACTGGAGAATTGACAGACTGGAAGAATATTGAACCACCTTGAGACTCTGCCGCCTCGAGGATGTTCCATTTAGACATCCGATGAAAGCTATCGAGATAGCGCCGCGAGTGATGTAAAGCGAATGATACATGTCGCATCCCATGGCTTTATCTACCTTGACCGACAACATAGACATGAAAATACTATTAAGCGCGGTTGAGACTCCGCCAGTCTCGTAGACGTTCCATTTGGACGTTTCATCAAAGTTATCGAGACAGCGCTGTGAGTGCTGTGAGGAGAATGATACATGTCGCATCCCAGGCATAAACATGGACGAAACACCATAGTCAAAATAGTCTATAAAAACCCTCCATCATCCTCCGGATCAGGAAGTCATGAAATCAGAAATACCATTATCATTTCCCATCATACCCACACACCAAGACTCAAGACATCAAGAGAAACACTCATCAAATCAAGAATAACAACCATGAAGCGAACAAACCCCATCCCCAAGGCCTCAAAGCTCATAATCCTAACAGCCCCCACGGACCCCAACGAGGCAAACCACTGGGTCCTAGCCTACGGCCCAACATACACAGACCGAACCTTAACCGTAGAACTCTGGACATTCGTGCACATCCACAGCGCAGACCCAACCCGCCCCAACGACTCCGGGTTCACCTGCAACTACGAAACACGCGAGATGGAAGCCGGGTTCCTGACGCGGCCCTGGACCGACAAAGAGGAGATCGAGATCCCCGAGGGCAAAGCCGTGACGCACCTGGCGTTCAAGAAAGTCGCGGCGGCGTGTGTTCTGCGGTTCGAGCGGAGCTGGCTTTCGATCCTGTTGGAGTCGGCCGTGAAGTGGGGGTGGATCAGCGGCGAGGAGAAGAGGGAGCTTGAGGATGAGATTGTGGTTGAGACGAGGCTTGACGGGGAGGATGTGCACTTTGAGCCGGAGCCCGTTCGGACGAAGAGGGCGAGGGGGGCGGCTGTCGGGACCCTTAGGATCGGGAAGAGGGAGAGGGCTGTCGAGGGTAGTGAGGATGAGGGTGAGGATGTCGTGGAGGCTGGGCCTTCTGTGCAGGAGGAGGTGGAGCAGCCTGCTGCGCAGGAGGAGCAGCCGCCCCGGGCGAAGGGGACCGGGAAGAGAAAGAGGAGCGCGGATGGTACTGGGGATGATGATGCCGTGGAAGCTGGTCCTTCGCAGCGGCCGACGGCGAAGGGGGCCTCCAGACCTGTGAGGCGGCGGAGAGTGGATGGTGAGGGGAACGCCGTCGCGGCTGAAGCTGGAGCTGTTGCGAACGACGAGCCTGAGGCGGATTCGCGGCCGAGGCGGAAGATGCCTAAGACGGGGACGTGGAGGAGGAAGTGAGAGTGTGTAAACATAGTGTAATTTGCTGTAATGGGGAGGGAGTCGCACGCCGTACCTGAGTTCCTGGACTTATTGTTGTAATAGCTTTGCCAGTGTTTGTTAGGTGTTTTGCTTTATGAGAGTCTGAGTTATGTTGAAGTTTCCAATTGGTACCTCGAGTAGAGTACTGCTCACTAGCGAGATAGCGCTGCCTGGGCTTCGCCTATGGAAATCGATGTGTATGCATGTTGGATGGACCAGTGGCAGTTGGGGTCCCTGGCCGTAGATGAGGCGTCGCGGCTTTAGAGCAGATATGGAGCCAGCTAACTCAATAGATCCTCCGCAAGAGATGTGTAAGGAATTAGGCATTAATGATCAGTCATACCAGCGCGTGGCTCCTGTGCCATTCATATGTCTCGAGGGAACCAATGGAGACGACCAGCCTGGGGAGGTAGGTAGCCCTGCGCGTTGATATACCGCAGTCGAGACTATGATCGTGAGCAGCGGTAGAGGAATGGTTTGGATGACAATTGTTGACATTCATCAGCTAAGGGAAAGAAAAATTCAGCGAGATCATTAGGTACATTCCTTCCACCGCTTGACTCTCGGGCCGAGTTCTGAGACCTCAGACATTTTTGAACGCTGGGGATGTGATTGGGCTGGAGAGAGAATCAAAAAAATCAATGAGAGTTGTCGACAAGGAACCGTCCGCCATAAACCTTGAGTGCTACCTGGGATATACGCACAGAACTCGAGGGCTCTATCCGTAGATGCTGAGCATGTTCCCACGGGTAATGAAGTCCAGCACTCTCTGTCGGATCGCCTGTTCATCACGGTCTCGAATTTCTTCCTGGCGCTTGAGCTCCTCCCAGGTCCTAGGTGACTCGTTCTGACCTGACCTTTGAATCCGGGTCCAAAGTTCATCCATCTTCTCGTAGAGGCCTACAATCTTCTCGCCCACGTCCTTGAAATTGAAGGAGCACATCTTCTGCAGATCGGCTATATCAAGATCGACGCCATCCTCGCGAACAACAAACACGCTGCCAATTTTGAAATCTCGAAATCCCAGTACATTGGTACGATGCCAAAGTTGGGTTTCCTGGTGTCTAGCGCTCGCATTAAGTACGCAGCTTCGGAGTTGCTTCTGTTCACGTCGGTATCCGGGTCAGGGTACCTCCACAGACGAAGGGGCATGCCGAGTCTGACCGAAACCGCTGACAAGGAGCCGTGGCTTTGGCGAACCCACGGAAGGGTCTGCGTCTCGACAGGGACAAACATGGAAGAGTCGCCATTACCGCGTTCGCCTCCGCAAGAGATCTTGATACCTCTCACAGCTCTGGGGGGCGAAAGGAGGCTTTCTTTATCCCAGTCGACCCTCCACTTTTCCATGAAATCAAGGACATCTCTAAAATCTGAAAGGGGCATGTTATTGAGGAACTGATGAGGGATCTGCAGCACGGCAAGCAAAGGACCGCGGTAGGGCAAACATCTGCTATAGGCTGCGAGGGTGCGGGCGAGGCTCTCGTTGTAGGCGGTCTCATCGCGGTAGTAGAAAGTCACAAAGTAGCCGATTTCAGAGGGCCTAAATTCCGAGTATCCCAGTCCTAGCCGGCGGCAGCGAACACGGGTTTCTTCAATGACATGCCGTCCCAGCCTGCCGTGAAAGAAGGGCGTCTTGTCAGGCAACTCGCATTCCACGCTAGTTTCGCCTCTCCTCCCTTCACACTTCACCCACACCATCTGCGGTTTGGCCTTGTTGGCAGGAAAGAATATTGCTTTTTTATGATTGAGAGACGGCCTGCGGGCCTGGTGTGCGAACTTCCGGCAGAGTAGCTTGTGGACCGGGTAGTCGGCTGACCGACAGGTGGAGGAGTAGTATCGTGCGCTTTTGCAGACTGAGCACTGGCGGGAAGTGGTTGTGTTGCACATAACACAGGCGTCCTCAGATTTCTCGTAGTATGGCAGCTGATCGCGGACAGCAGTACCTGAGCTTTTGAGGTCATGGTTATTCAGTATTTCTCAGATTCCACAATAGCTGTAGCCTACCTAGTTGCGCTTCTCTGGTCATCATCTGGCTCTGGGAGGTCGAGTTCACTGATGGCCAAGTTGGAGAGCAAGTCGGACACCCCTCTTCCTGGCCACGGATTTCGTCGATATCCGACATTTGGAACTCTGAGTCTCGAAGTCTTTGAGTCCTGTTGGGCTGGAGGAAAAGAGTGACGAACGGGTGGAGGTCAGGGTCAGAGAGGGAGGCGTGGAGGAGGTGAGAGGAGGAAGCGAAGTTGTGTTGCAGCGAAGCGTTCACTAAGTGTTCTCCCCAGTGCCACGCCAAGACTCAGATACAATGAATTCTCAGCCAACCAACAGTTACCTATTGATGTGAGCGCTTTTTGTTGTTGGCTAAGCAGAGCCAAAATATACGTGTCACCAGACTAAGATGGAAAAAAGAAAAAGTGCCATATTCAGTATCGAGCTCCAGCTAAGTGGACACTTGAGAGCGAAGAAGAAGGGTTAAGATCGTTAGATACATCGTGCTGTCATTATCAATCATCTTCAAACCCTCTACCGGCTAAGGGGGTCGGACACCTCCAGTTTCATCCGTAGGAGTGCGAGCAACGGGGGCAAACCCATACCGGTCTGGTCTGGCTTTTTGCTTTGAACCTTGAGTCCCGTCCAAAACCCATCGATAAACACCATAAGCATTGAATTGCAGGACTCTTGCCGGACATTCTCACGCGCGCTACACGATACGGGGCAAAGGTGCAAAGAGAAAGAGATGGATGGCGGTTTATTGTCTTCACTAGCTGAGTGGCAATAGAAAACGCAAATGAAGGATGAACGCTCTTCGTGTCCGACTTTACCAAGTCTCGGCACCAATGCTGTATCTTCGAAACAATCCAAGGCCCACGACCTCCCATCGCGCTTGTGCTTCGAGAGAAATAACGAAAGGGGACTATTGGCAACGAGTCTTAGCAGAGGATCGGAGTTGTTGTGCTCCGCTCTTCCATTAAAAAAGCCTCGCCCGTCAGTAAGAAAACCAAAACATGTTCACTAGACCACGTCTAATAACCCTCAGGAGCCGACGGCGTTTATCCGCGCAACTTCAGCATGTTTTCGCGTGTGATAAAGTCCAACGCCTCCTTCCTGAAGGCGGCACACTTATCTTCGAGCTCATCCATGTCCGGCTCCGCGGAAGTCTCCATCGCTTCCTCGTACGCGATGAGTGACTTGTCCAGGGCCATACCAATTACTGGCTGGGCGTCTTTAGTAACAAATGTGCAGAGTATCTCGATCTCCCGCACGCTGAGGTCCTTCCCGTCATCGCGCAGGGCGAACACATTGCCAATGCTAAGATCCCAGTACTGAGGTGCCCATCCCCATGTCTCTTTCTTCGGGTCGAGCTCCTTCATCAAGAAAGCGGCGTCCTGATTGCCTCGATTCAGGTCGTAATCTGGAATTGGATACTTCCACAGGCGAATAGCGATCCCGAGCTTGGCCGACGTGGCGGATAGAGACCCTTTGCTGCCTGATATCCATGGAACTTTGCTCGCTGAGACGGAGACGTAGGGTGCATCCCCTCGGCTACGTTCGCCATTGCAGCTGATTTTGACGCCGCGGGGATGGGTAGCAGTGCCGAAGGACAGTCTTTGGATGCTCTTAGCACAACACTTGGTGCGGAACCTCTCAATGTGGTCAATAACGTCCCTGAAGCTAGCCAATGTCATGTCATCGCACCAATTCTTTGGAATCAGTCTAACAGCAATCATAGGCCCCCGGAAGGGATGGCTGTATGATTCAGGAGTGGTCAAGCAAGCCTGAAAGCTCTTATTGCTGTTGGGTGCATATTGCGTCTCATTCTTACAGAACAAAGCAATAGCGTAGCCTTCATTTTTGAGGTTGCGTAAACCGCGCGAGTAGCCTATACCGGACTGTCGGCACCGAACTTGATTTTCGTCGATGACTTCGTAGGGCAACTGAGAGAAAAAGTCCGTTCCATCGGGTAGCAAGAATTTCAGCTGGGCTCCCTTTCCAGGTTCTGTGCGCTTGATTTGCACCCAAATTATCTCGGGCTTGTTTCCATCGACGGGGAAGTAGATGCCTCTTATATGCCCAGCAGGCCTCGGACCCTCCTCCGCAACGTCTCGGCACAACATTTTGTGAAGCGGGTAGTCGATTCTCTGGCAGAGCTGAGAGCAGTAGGAGGCGCTGTGGCAGCGGGAGCAGAGACGAGCGTTTGGGGCATTGCAAATGGTGCAGATGTCGTCCTTTTTGTCGTACTTCGGCGTTGCGTCGGTGGCAGTTTCGGGGCTTTACGATAGTTGTTAGTTCCAACGTCTCTTATGGAAGATATGACTTACCCAGCTGCGCTGTCATCTTCCTCACTTGACTCCAAGTCATCTGGCGAGAATACGGTGCAGTTTGGGTTGAGGTTCGCAAGGATGTTCGAAAGTTCGGCCAGCTGGCCATCGCTGAATAGTTGGTCTGACATTTGAGGCCAACGAACTATTGGAAACTTGAGCTGCTTGCCACAAGAAGGGAAGTTGTGATGGGCAAATCGAGAAGGAGCTTGATCGGGCGAAGGTTGTTGAGGGAAGGAAGGTGTGTTGTGTTGTGGCAGGAGGCCTTCGCTTCTCCCCAGTGAGGCGCCAAGACTCGCCTCAGAGTGAATTGCTCGCCTGCGCAGCCAACAAACAATGCCCGACCCAGATCTCTCCTGATTGTTAAATCAATGGGGTTGAAGGGTAGATTGTCACTGGTCATTGATTAAATGAAGAATAAGCGCCTGGTCTACAAGAAACTCTGAGATTATCCTGGCTAGCTCGACTTGGAAAAGATGCAGCGGCTGCGCGGCCCCTACCAACCTACCTAGAAGATTGAGCGAGTGCTATTCGTGGAATCTACCAAGGGCAGATACGCTTCTTCCAGGGCGATTGAGAATCCTTTTTCGTTTTCATTCCCGCTACGCAGGTCGCCAAAGCGCAAGGGTAGAATCGAAAGCTTGCGGAAATGGGGGAACTTCAGCAAGCGGGAATCTCTGGAAATGCTATTGCGGGTCACATTTTATTGGCTTTGATAGCAAGAGAAACAAACGGGCTCAAGTCTTTAGATACATCATTGCTGTCATGAGATTGTTCCCCGAATCAGCCATGCTATCATGGACGCCATGTCCGCTGGAAGCTTCAGAATCTCCGACCTGATAGCAAGAAGGAACAAGTAGCATGCATTCGGAAATGCTTGTGAAAGACACCAGGAACGACCACCAGACGTGTACGTAAAGACCAGGCTAAATCGCCCAACGTTCCTCTTCGGTAATAGTGAGCTTTGCTTCATTCATCAAAACGTTATCCCAGGTGATAATATCCAAGACATCCTGCTTGAGAGCCATAGAGGCCCCGCCCATGGTCTGCGCGTACACAACTTTCTCCCAAGCACTCAGGACCTTGGGGAATAGGACCTCGAGAGCGAAGTTGCACATTCTCCTCAAATTGTGTAGGTTCAGGTCTTTTACGTCTTCAAGCAGGAGGCAGCCCGCCCCAGGTAGGACTGGCAATGTCGAGTTCAAGCATTAGGAGTAAGGCGTAACAGTTACCGAGGCACGTAGCTTCATCTAAGCCAGGCGGGTGAGTCTCGGCAGGATACTGGAAAAGAAGAAGCGGCATTCCTAGCTTGAGTGAAAGGGGTGAGAGAGAGCCATTGGTCGTCGCGATTCACGGTACACTATCCCTCAAGACCGACATAATTTAGGGTCTTCGTTGTATTTTTCAGCAACACTGTAGAGTCTTGCACCACGAACAGCGAGTGGAGTTGAAGGAGGCGGGTTTGGGAAATCTACACTAATGCGATATTGTTCAAAGTGATCCAGGGCATGGCGAAAGTCGGACAGTGTTATATCTTCAATGCGTTCTCCAGGGATCTCACGATAGACAAGTAGCGGTCCGCGGCAGGGAGTAACGAACTCGCCGGAAGTACCAAGGGAATTCTCAAGGCTCTGGTTACGATAAGACCCCTTATTTCGGAAGTGGTCGCGGTAAACCACATTAAGGCAGTAGCCCTTGGTAGCGTTGCGACCCGCTACGTATCCCATGCCAAGTTGTCTGCCTCTGACTTGGTTAACTTGGATATACTCGTCTTCGCGACGGTCTCCAATGAAAGGTACTGTCACAACCATGTCCTTGCCATAGGGGCTACGCCAGCATTGGATCCAGACGACTTCCGGCTTGAGTGCATCCACAGGAAAGTATATGGCCCGTTTGTGTTCCTCGGATGGGCGAGCCCCCAAATTTGCAGCTTGTTTGCAGACTAGTTTATGGGAGGGGAAGTCCGCCTCTTGATAGACGCGCGAGCAGTAGGCAGCAGACTTGCAGCGTCCGTAGTTTCGAGGGTTGGGATCGTTGCAGATGACACAGATTGACTGCGATTGGGTAAGATGGTGTGGTCCGACGATAGGCTTTCCTGGGGTACTTCGCATGATTAGTCTCCCTGTACAAGGATCTGTGTCCCAGCTTCAAGGATCTGTGTCCCAGCTTCAAGGATCTGTGTCCCAGCCTCAAGGACCTGTGTCCCAGCTTCTAATTCACTTACGTCGGATTCACCTGAATCCGGTGTTGGGGCTGGCCGCCGAGCTGGAGGGTGATGGGTGGAGAGAAGGCCTTGGGCATTTCGCCATGAGCACCGCGAAAGTGCGCCATTGGGAGAACTGAAGGTCAAAACTAGCGAGATGATGGTTGTAATAGCACAAAGAGTGGAAGGATAAGAAAAAAGAGAAAGGTAAAACGTCAAGTGGGTGGAAGGTGATGGAACGAAGAGGATGAGGGGAACGGAGAAGTTAACTGCAGATGTGAGGTGTTGCAGGGAGCCTCCCCTTCCATCAACCGCCAAGCCTGAACTCTCGCACCAAATCACGCAAGAAAAAACTTCCAACTCAACGCTTTCCTGGAGTCCGGTTTAACAGTCTCATAGAATCCGTCAAAGAGATTATACAGTGTCTTTGCCACGAAGCCAACCCCAGGTTACAACCCACTTACCGGCCGGCGCCGAGTGAGCAGGACGTAGTTTGCATGCGACTTGTTTAAGCTAGCTAGCTAGGAGAAAAATAGAAGAAACTGGCTGACACTGAAAATTACACTTTTGCCATATTTTGAAATTTACGCCGTATTTATGAACGAGAAGCTTTAAAGCTTACCAGTACCACGCACCTAAGAAAGTAAAATGACCGAGCCCCAAGTTAGGAAACTCATCCCAGACACTTAGTTTTGCAAGGAGACCCAGAGTGTGTTGTAATGAATGGCATCCGACGTCCATCTAATCCAAAACATGCTGTTCAGGAGGACTCGAGAAGCGGGATGTGTTCAGACCGCGCCTACAACGGAGGGGTGAAAGTGGTCAATGATATGACGGAAGTCGGACAACATCACATCCCGCCACAAATCATCCTGCTCCAGGTCTTTGGGAGGAAGCTGGCGCACCGCAAGCAAAGGACCGCGGTAAGACGAGTTACGCGCACCCGATGTTGCAAGTGAGGCTTGAAAACTTTTGTTGGGCACTGAGCCATCGGAGAGAAAATTATCGCGGTAGAAGAGCGCAACGCAGTAGCCAGCAGGTTCCGGGTGGTAGGAAGCCAGGCCGACGCCAAGTTGCCGGCGTCGTACGTGGTTGACCTGGATGCGGTCCCAGCCAGGTATATCGTGCAGAAAGGGCATCGGATCAAGTTCTTGACACGGTTCTTCATCAGGTCGACGGACTAGCGCGCAGGGAATCCAGACCACCTCTGGCTTTTCCGCGTTGACAGGAAAGAAGATACCCCGTACATGCTGGGCGGAAGGCCTCGGGCTCTGGTTAGCAAACTGCTGGCAGAGGAGTTTGTGAGCTCTGTAGTCATTTTTTTGGCAAGTCTTTGAGCAATAACTGGCGGATTTGCAACGAGCACATCGTTGAACTGGAGTGGCGTTACACATCAGGCAAGCCTCTTCCGAGTCTTCGATGCTTCGCGGTTCAACAGCGGTGATGCCTGAGCTGTTTATCAATTATTAGCCTTGTCTTTTCTTAGGCATTCCCATGATGAGTCTGCTTATCTACCTGGTATCTAAATAGTGCTCTCGTCCCGGGGTTGGGCCTCCTAGGCTGATGTTTTTGAATTTGGAGAGCAACTCAGCACCCTTCCTAGCCGCATCGCTGTCGTCTTCGGGGAAGCTCGTCATCTTCAATCTTTGATAAAAATGGAAGCGTGGTGCAGGTAAGAGAAGCGACTTCTTTGAAAGATCCAAGACAATGTGAAGAGGTGGCGAGATGACAAAGTTGAGTGAGTGAGGGGGAAGAAGTTAAGTTGTTGTCAGCACTGGGGTGCCTGAGGCATTTAACTATACTGGATTGGGACTAGCGTGTCACGTGGCTCACTGAGTTTTCTCCCGCCGATCGAGGCGATACACTCAATACACCAGTCTTCCTCCATGACGTGCTTCTCCTAGCTCGGCTATCACTTGTGTTGCGGTGAAGCTTTCACTGTTGTCTGACACGCCAAAGCCTAGCTTAGGTACGGTACCTGCCCAGTTAAAGTGAATTGCTTACTACAATCCACTTTCTCTAAGCGGCCATCTCAATAGCCAAGATTTCGGGACCTGCCTACTCGATGGACCAGTACCAACTCAGCGAGTGCATCAAATCGCCCCGAAACCCTACAAGTCCTGCTCCAATGGCTGCTCAAGGAGCCAAGATCTGTTGCATAGGAGAGCAGCAGTTATGCAAGTCGCCAGCGTTTGTTTCCGTGCACACTGACAGTGTTCCTTGGATCAAAAATGCCCATAGTTCCCTGTCATCAATCTCTACCAAGCTTGGAATACCCCTTCGGTTGTGGAAGTACCCCAATCAAGAGGGGAAAACTGTTAGCCGAGGAGGCATCTGCGGCAGCAGTAATCAAAACGCAGCATACTTGATGATGGAAGTCGACATCTCAAAGCCGGGCTGGGGATGGGCGCCACCGTACTGGAACACCGAAATCGGCAGTGTTTTTGTGGCCCGTGAGGACGGCAAAGACCTCGCGGTTCATGACTTGCAAATGATTTGCCAGTTTGTCGTCGACCAAGTTCAACCTAAGCTTGAAACCACCCTCGAAAAGATAGAATTTGGCCGGGATAGCAGCGCGCGCGCCAGAGCCCTCAAGCAGCAAGCTGTGGATATCATCACTTGGGAAAACGTGCTGAAGAACGACGAGAGAAACACTCATGTCGCCGCCGAGTACCAGAAGAGATTGGCGGAGATGAAGGAGTTGCAGAGGAAGGGCGGTCTCGTGTCTCTGTCCTCGATGATGGAAAATTGAGCTCTGCGCAGCCGCCTCGACACAAAGAATCCATGGAAGATGGCATCTGCTGGCATACTTCCCTTCTTTCTTCCGCTGCGAATTAAATAGTTCGAGATTTAGGTCACTCCCTGGTCTGCGGATAGTGTACTTGAACTGCCGTCACGTACGAACCAGGAAAACAATACTTATTGAGTATGCCTATCTATAATTTACGTAGCCAACTGCAAGAAGATTCTCCCTGCTTTTCTAAAGTTACGAATCGCCTCATGCGTAAGAGAATCTTGAGGACTGAGTCTCGGAGTATTCTGCAGCGTCTGATCCTGGCCTGATACAGAAAGGATTATTGATATCATATAGAAAAGTTCGATCCACGATAATTTTATACTAAGCGCGCCCAAGCAACTTCACGCCCGCCGCCTCTCATTGAATTGAGCCCTTGCAGCGCGCAAGTTGTTCCCTGATCTGTTCATTTCGCCAGCGTGGGTGGGGCTTGGCACTTGACTGGGAAGAAGTGACTTCTATAACTTGCGGCAACACAACACAAACTCAACTTCCCCTTCTTCTCCCTCCCAACCTCTTCTCCCAACTTCTTCATCCCAGCTCCATACTGTTTCACGCCCAGGGGGGCCTTCTCTCACTCTCCAACCCCCACGACCATAGCAAGTCAGAAGCCGTCTCTGCTATGTGCAACGCTACTCCAGTCCGTCAATGTGCCCGTTGCCGAAGCTGCAGCTACTGTTCAAAGGAGTGCCAAATTGCTGACCATCCTGCGCACAAACTCCTCTGCAAACAACTAGCCGAAATCGGCCCCCGGCCGTCCAAGGAGCACAAGAGAGCGATATTTTTCCCTGTCGACGAGACCAAGCCTCAAGTTATCTGGATACGTTGCCTACCCTGCCTGGGCTTACCCCTGGGTCGAGTTATGAGCGCCCTGACACCAAGCCATACATCGGGGACGGCAAGCCTGGATGCGAGTACATCCAAATCAACCAAGTGAGGGCTCGCCAGCTGGGACGTGACTTCGCGGCTCCTGATCCAACTGCCAAGGGCTATTGTATTGGTCTGTATGACCGCGATTACTTTAGACTGGATAGATCACCCCGCAATCAGAGTCTCGAGGCTGCTTTAGCCACTTCGGGTAAGTTAGATGTTCCCTATCGTGGCCCGGTTGTTGCTCTCCGAGAACTTCCTAAAGAGTTCCACGGGGACATTACCTTCTCGGATTACCGACACATCATCGACTACTTTGCTGAGTACAGAGTCGGGGGTGCCCCCTGGGTTCCTCACAGCCCTCCTACTTCCATAAAAATAAGGATGGCAGCGCGCGGCGCTAAAGTCTATAGTAATGCCAAACACAAGGTCAACAATTTGCCTCGCTTTACCTCGGTTCCAACTGCTGCTGTTACCTGGATCATGCAGACCATGGGCACTCTCTCACACATCTCCGCGCAGCTAGGAATGCCATTGTGCTTGTGGAAATATCCCGGGCCAAACTCCGCCGATGAATCACCCAGGTTTGCTGCAGGGGGCAAGTCCGGCAACGAGCACGCAGCATCTCTTATGATGAACATCAATGTCTTTAGCCCTGTCTGGGGTTTCCCATCCAGCCTCTGGATGTGTAAAACGGGCGATGTGTTCGTTGCTCGTACGGACGGAAAAGAATTGGATCCCCGCTACTAGGAAAGGATGTGCACCTTCCTGACTGAGGTGGTACAGCCGAAGGTGCGAAAGGCCCGCGAAAGCATTCGTCTTGCTTGCTCTGGGATGCCTGCGAATGCGGACGACCAAGCCACTGGAGAGGCCAACGCTTACTACATGAGCCTCAAGCAGGAAGTCATGAGCTTTGTGACGCGCGAGAACATGCTTAAGACATACATATAGGATACTCGGGCTGTGGTCAGGAACTCATTTCCAGTCGGCTTTGGCGGCCGGGACTTCCCTTCTACTGAGATCGAGTCCCCCTTTCAGGATCATCCGCGGTGGTTGTTGATTTCTCCATGTTTGGATGGAACAAATTTCTTTTTTTAGGACAAGATAGTCTTTCAGGGTTCTGTGAATATGGCGTCAATAATGGCTTGGCTATGCTCTGGCGCATGAAGAGGGCCGCAACAATGTATGCAGTGATTCAAAACCTTTTTTTTTTGGCTTTCATAATAAATACAAGTGAATTGTGTCTTACTGATTGATTTCACAACCTCTCCTGGCCGCCTGGTACCTTGACCTACTGGTCAACGCGCACTTCAACTATCGGTACGAAGGCACACTGTAAGCTTCTCACGTAGGCGCAAGATCCTAATTAGACAACGGAAGTCAGCAAGGGTAATGTCGCCGTGGGAAGAGTTAGGAAGCTGCAGGGCGGCAATGAGAAGCCCCTTGTACGGGATCGCAAAGTCAGCGGCGTCTTTTCCGAGGCATGCTGCAAGGCTGATATTGCTAGTAGATCCGTCGTTTTAATGGTTGCTGCGGTGAAATAGGGCCACGTAACGGCTTTTGCCGAAATTGGTCGATGGTTTGTTGTTTGGCTTGTCCTCAGCACGTTTCTCCTTCAAATCTTCGTCGGGGAGAACCTGGCGAAGGTCGTTGTCAAAATTGTTGGACTGTTCGCCGCTTGACTTGTTTTCCCTTCAAATTTTCTTTTGGTGGTGCCTCGCGAGGGCCTTCGTCGAGATGATTTGAAGTTGCATACCCAAGTTTGTCCTCAACGTAGTCCTCCCCTAAACCGATTTTGGTCAGTGTCTTCATCCTAGCTGTATTAATTGCACGGTCCGCACCCTTAGTCCACATCCATATAAGCTCTGGCTTGGTGTTGTCCGGCGGGATATAAACGGCGCGGGTGTAAAGCGTATTAGGCTGCATGCCCTGGGTTATAATTTACTTGCACAGCAGCTTGTGGGTGGGAAAGTCGCGTTTCTAACTATCTGTTAAGCAGTACGAGCAGCTAAGACAACAAGCACAACGGCGAGCAGGGGTGGCGCCGCACATCACGCAAGCGGTGTCGGGGTAGGAGGCATTATTTGGTCCGAGAAATATCGCGCATTCTAGGCTTTTCTAGTAGTTAGTTAATGTCCAGATTGGTCTTGCAACACTATAATCATGGCAGAGCTTACCCAGCGACACCTCCCTCTTCCCGTGGACGTTGGGGGGCACCTGGAATGGTGAGGGGTCAGGCGCGTCCGCCATCCTGCAGGAAATGAGGTAGATAGAGAAGGAATCTGATGAAAAAAGGTAGATTGGGCTGATGGATGGAGTGAGAGTGCAGACTGAGGTGGAAGGGAAGAGATAAGTTGCGTTTGCGTTGCAGAAAGGCTCTCTTAGGATGCCAAGACCCACCCCAGGAGGCCGCCGAGAGGTCACTTCAAGTGGGCACTTCCTGAACGCATGTGGGATTAGAAGATCTTCGCTTGGATGATCACCTTGCGCCCAATGAACCGGATGACTTTCTTAGCGCGACCGAGTGAATTGGATGACTTTCTAACAAAAATAACCTAAAGAAGTTTAGCGCCGCGTTTTAGCTAGTAATTGTAAACCTATAAAAAAGCTTGTTAACTAATAAAACACCGCCACGGCTAATATTACCTTCTTTACCACTAAGGCCTTTACCTGGTTACCTCCGCTTATAACGTTGGCTCTGAATAGCCTTAATTTAGCCATGTTAGAAAGGAACTAGCGGGCGTACAAGGCCTCCGTAATATTTACTATAGCTCCTACTATAACCGCTATAATTTTTGCTTTAAATAGCTTTAATTTAGCCGTGTTAGGAAGAAACTAGCAGGCGCGCGCAAAGTTATTTATTTTAAATAATTACCCCTTTTTAAATTAACTAATAAGATTCCTGCATTTTATTAACGTAAATATAACTTTTAAATATTTGGATAGCTTTAAAATGCTTAGATTAGTTAGAATTATAAAGAATTAATTTTGTTAAACAAGGGTACTATTTTATTTAGCCGGGGTTAAGCCTTGGAGAACAATTTTACTAGTAAATTACTAGGCAAGTTATGTAACGGGGCTGAAACAGCGCTTTGTTAGAAAGTCATCCAGTTCACTTAGTCGCGCTAAGAAAGTCATCCGGTTCATTGGGCGGATCACCTTGTATGCCCCGTAAACCTTAAGTACCTATCGGACTATCGGTGGCTTTGAATCTCCGTCTACTGCGCTCTACTCATGCAATCAGCCCCAGCCAGCTTCTGCTTCAGGAGAAAATGGCCAGTTAACAGCTTCATCTGCGCATTCTACGTTATTGATGGTTGGTATAGAGTTGAAAAAGTGATTTACAGTGTTTGTATCACTTTCGCTAACGTTCAGCACGAGAAGTTGTCAGCGGGCCATGGATATATTTCCAACAACGCCGATGAAGATCAAGAACAATTACGCCGAAGATCGAAAATACCATTTAAGCCGACGATTTACTTTTCAGCGTGTATGCCAAAGTATAAATGAAAGCAGATCGAGAAGCCGTCATTTGAAAATCTGGTCATTTTTTTGCCCGCAGTGCGACAGAGAGGTTTCTGCCTTGACGGTAAGGCAGAAATGTGCCCTTCTCTTCGATGTTTGACGATCTTCTTTACCCAAACGCAGTCTACTTTCATAAATCTCTCCATCAAAACAGACCAGCAACTATCCCCTAAAGACTGCTGCAGATTATGCGGCATCTGAATAATCTCCATTTTCATTTGACGGTTTTTGACATTGACTCCCGAATCAACAATCGGCGACCATCACCTCGCGACCCAACGCATCGAAGTCCATGCGCCCTCGCAATCCGTGGCTGAGTCCACAACCAGCGATATTGAGCGAGTTTAGGGGCGGCAAGGTCCGGCGCGAATCTTCCATCTTCCCACCTGAAGAGCCGTGCCGGGAATGCGAAAAGATAATGCGGTGTTATCTGGCTTGCTTAGGTACCCAAGGACGGCCCCGGGTGGCACGTCACGAAACTTCAGAGCCCAGATTACCAGAGAGCAAATCGAGCGACATTATCTTATGGCCTTATCAATAATAATATCGCTTGAAATCACGTCGATTTTGGTTTTGGACGAGACATCCCATCGTGACCGAAGCCAAGCCAAGACCGAAACCAACAAACGCCTCGAGACCGACAAGCACCGTGGTTCTGACGCTCAGGAAGATTGATAAGCCAGGATAATTGCACGGTATGCCTTTTCCTGTCTCGCGTGCGGTTTAGCCTGACTTTGCTGACTTTCTAGGACTTGATCACGTCCGCGGTTTCATCGTCAACCTGATCCCAGAAGAACATCAGCCTTTCCACGAACCCCGGAACAATGCGCACGCTATACAAAGGGCGAGCTGTACGATCATGAATCTTACAAAAATGGGGAGGAACTCGCGGCTGAGTACTGTTTCCGGGCCTGCTTATGCGCCGATGTCCCCGTGGGGATTTGTTTCAGCGGCGGTGTTGACTCCCCAGTCATCGCCGGTGTCATTCGCCTAGCCAAGGAAAGGGGCAAATCCCAAGTCAGGATTTCTCTGGCAATTGGTGCTTCGACTTCCAGGTGGATAATGAGATCGGGGTGGATGGATCAGGTATGCTTGACTGGGGATCATACTACCATAATTACCATAACCAATTTGGTGTAGATGTCGCTCGACGCACGGTCAGTTTCTGGAAGTAAACGTTCAAACCCATCCACGTCACAGAGACAGTCCTAGCCGAACGATTTGAAGACGTCGTCCGTCGGGTATCTCTCTCAACTGACGAAGGTCCGGGCGAAGGCTCAGATTGGCAGATTGCCGGATACCCCATTTTGCAGTGCGACTTCCTTCTCAAACCCGACTGGAGCTGCATCGCAAATAATTTTCCCCGGAGAAACATAATCAAGCGTCAAAAAGCGGACAATCTATCAGATAGAGGGAACATATAATGGGTTATACCGCTCATTCTTCGGTTCACAGCACGGGCAGTTAATAATTCCACGGTCGCCGGCTTCCTTGTCCAAGCGACGCCCATTGTATTCGCGCCCTGGACCACGGTCAACAAGCAGCTCCACGAGTAATAGCCAGACTATTTACGTGATAAGACCTCCCAGAATATGCGAGAGCAGTGGCACTGGCTGCATACTGCTGAGTACGCATGGACAAGGGCCGCTATCACTCACTCGCCCCGTCGCCATCTTTCAACAATATTGACATGGCGCACCAAGCGAACTGCAACCAGCGTTCCTCGACCCCAACCTCCCTGAGTATACAAACCTGTGGCACCCGGCCCTCAAACTGAACATGACTATAGTGCCGTTATATTTACCGAGGAGGTGTTTACTTTGCAGTTCGTCAAGCCTTTCGTCACCGTAAAGATCTTAAGCGGACGAAGCGACCGAACATGACGCCGATGCGATACCCGCTGGATGGGCCCATACGCTGGAAGTCAAGGAGCCGGTGACAAAGGAGAATGCCGAGATTACGATCTTTCTGGGCTGAGAGAGCACGGGAGATTCGCCGAGGAAGGTCATTGAAGGAGACGGTCTCTTGGCCTCGAGGGCTTCAGCCGCGCCAATATGTCGTCTTGCAGGAGGTTAGGGTCAAGACGGCTGCTCCACCTGTCACGAAAGCTTCGATTTCCTATCCCTCGGGCCTCAGGGGCGCTGCATTTAGGGCTCGGCTGCTCATGGTCGAGAGTAAAGGGCGGGAACTTTGGACTAGACGCAGGGAGCAATTTACCGCTGTCAAAGGACCCTCCGCCCGAAGCCCTACCGTGCTTACTTATCTGCCGCCCAAACCCACCTGCCGCCTAAAAATTAATCTCCACCACTAAGAAAAAATGAAGCTTTTAACATATATAAAAAATATAAAAACCTAAAATTTTAGTAGTATATTCTACACTAGTTAATTACTTTATATATAAATTTAAAACTTTTAAAAATACTATGGTAGCTAGATCTCGCGGCCTTAATAATTTACTAAAATTAAGGTGTTAGAAATAACTTTAGGGCTAAAAAAAAAGTTTTTTTTTTTAAAAAATACTTTTAAAGTTACTAAAGAATTACTTTTTTTCTAGCTTGGCTAATTTAAAGTTATTTTAAAGTTAGTTTTTTACCTTTTTAGTTATATAAGCCTTTTTTTTAGTATTTTTTTAGCCTTTTTCCTTTTTATTTTAAGCTATTATTTTTTTGCATTTATAGCTTTTATTTTTATATTTTTTTAATTTACTATTTTTTTTAACTTATTATTAGTATAGCTTATTTTTATTCTTTCTAGCCTTTTTTTATTATATAACCTTATTTTTTTACTTTTAAAAATCGCGGGCCTGTTAAATTTTTTTAAAAAAAATAAAAAACTATATTATTATTTTTTAGTACCTAAAGTTAAAATACAAGTAGCTTTTTTATTACCTTTTTTTTTATTAATAAATTTTTTTTTAAAGCTTTAATTACAGGCCTTTATAAGTACAAGCTTTATATAAAAATAGTAAATTATAATACTAAATTTTTTAATTTTTTAAGGCTTAGGGTTTTTAAAAATCTCCCTAATTAATTTATTAATTTTTTTTTAATTATTTACTTATAGTGGGCCCTTTGGAGTATTAGTAAATATAAAAGTTTTATTTATATTTTTTTTTAAATTACCTTAGTATAATCTTAGGATTAAAAAAAAATAAACTAGTTAATTTTTATAAACTTTTTATATTTTTAAAAAATAAAGCCTTTTTTATATTACTTAAAATAATTTAAAAAAGTCTTGCTTTATAATAGTGCTAAGGCCTTAGTAAAAATATATAAATTTATTTAATTTATTAGTATATGCCTTAAAATTTTTTTTTTAATATTTAAAGGCTGTAAAATATAAGTTAAATAAGGTAAATAAGTAGTTATAAGTATTTTATTAGCTTTATAATACTTTAAAAAATATATTATAATATAAAATTTATAATTATTAAAAAAAAGCCTTTAACACCTTCTTGCTTTATTTTTTATTAATTTATTAAATACTTATTTAACCCAGGCTAATTTAAGGTTATTATTTATTTATTTAAATATAAATAAGGTAAAAAAAATAATTATAAATTTATAATTTAAAGTTTTAAAGCTAGGTATCCTATAGTTTAAATATAATTAATTAATAAATAAGGCTTAAAAATAGTGACCTTTTATTAGCTAATATATATATAATAATAATTATTTACTTTTTATTTTTAGGCTATAGGCGTTGCTTTATTTTTAAATAAAAATAGGTTTTTTTAAAAAAATTTTTTTTATATTTTATAAGTATTTTAATAAAAAATCCTTTTTTATTTATATTATAGGTATTTTTAGTTAGTACCTTATATTTATTTATTTTTTATTTTAAGTAATTAAAGTATAAAAAGTATTTATAGGCTAAATTAGCCTTTTTTTTTAAAAAAAATTAATTTTAGTTATATAGGTATTTATAAGCTTATTATTATATTTTTTAAGCTAGCATAAAACCTAGTTACTTCCTGCCTTTTTTTAAGTAATTTTAAATATAAAGTTTTTAATTATATTATAGGTGTAAAATAAGCCACAGCTAACTTATTAATTAATATAATTTATAAAATTTTTTAATTATTAAGTATTAAGTAATAATAAGTTTTTATATTACTTTTTTTTAAGCCTTAAATACCTTTATAATATTTAAATAAAGTACTATAATTTATACTAAATTTTTTAGTAATTTTTATATATAAAAAATATTTTTTTAGCTTTAAAAAGTTAATATATTTTATTACTTTTTTTATTAAAGTTAAAATAAATAAAATATAAGTGGTTAAATTTTACAAGCAAATATTGGTGTAAATGTTATTTAGGCGGTAGGTGGGTTTAGGCGGCAGATACCGTGCTTACTCATCTGCCGCCCAAACCCACCTCCCGCCTAAAAATTAATCTCCACCACTAAAAAAAATAAAGCTTTTTAATATATATAAAAGGTATAAAAACCCAAAATTTTAGTAGTATATTTTATACTAGCTAATTACTTTATATATAAATTTAAAACTTTTAAAAATATTATAATAGCCAGATCTCGCGGCCTTAATAATTTACTATAATTAAAATATTAGGAATAACTTTAGGGCTAGGAGGGGGGGAGTTTTTTTTTAAAAAAGGCCTTTAATATTACTAGGGGCTTGCTTTAGCCTAGTTTAATAAATTTAAGGCTATTTTAAACCTATATTTTTACCTATTTAGCTATATAAGCCTTTTTTTTTAGTATTTTTTTTTAGCCTTTAACTACATAGCTTTAAAATAATATTTTTTTATATTTATAGCCCGTAAGGCCTTATTCTTATTAATTTATTTTTTTTTTTTTTTAGCTTTTTATTAGCGTAGCTTGTTTTTTTTTCTTGTTTTTAGTAAGTTATATAGCCTTATTTTTTTATTTTTAAAAATTACGGGCTTGCTAGATTTTTTTAGGAAAATAAAATATTATATTACTATTTTTTAGTTTTTAAAATTAAAATATAAAAGGCTTTTTTTATTATTACTTTTTTTTTATTAATAAAAGTATTTTTAAGGCCCTAAGTTTGCATTTTAGCTAGTATAAGCTTTATATAAAAGTAGTGTATTATACTTTTAATTTTTTAAAATTTTTAAGGTGTAGGGGCCACTTCCGCATTTTTAATAAAGTATTAAATATTTTTTTAGTTTTTTGCTTAAGGTATCTTTGCTAGGGGATTAGTAAATACTAAAGTTTTATTTATATTTTTTTTAAATTACTTTAGTACACGCTCCGGATTTCAGGGGAATAAGCTAGTTAAACTTTATAAATTTTAAATATTTTTAATTATTAAGGCCTTTATTTAAGCTAGCTAAAATAATTTAAAAAAATCTTATTTTAATATAATACTAAGGCCTTGGTAAAAATATATAAATATATTTAATTTATTTATATAGGCCTTAGTAAAAAAAAAGATTTTAATATTAAAAGGTTATAAAGTATAAGTTAAATAAGGTAAATAGGTAGCTATAAGGATTTTATTAACCTTATAATAGTTTAAAAATCTTATTATTATATAAAAGCCATGGCTATTAAAAATAAAAAGCCTTTAACGCCTTTTTGCTTAATTTTTTATTTTTTAATTAAATATATTTTAAAGCTATATATATTTAAGCTTATTATTTATCCATCCTAAAGGTAATAAGCTAAAAAAATAGTTATAAATATTAATATTAATATTTTAAAGCTAGGAGTCTTATAGTTTACTTGTAATTAATTAATAAATAAAACCTAGTAATAATTATTTTTTATTAATTAATATATAAATAATAATAGTTATTTACTTTTTACTACTATTTTATAAGTATTACTTAAAGCTTTTTTTATAAAGCTATAACTTTTTAAAAAAGATTTTCTTACTTTTTATAATAACCTTAATAAGAAACCCTTTTTTATTTATATTATAGGTATTTTTAGGTAGGATATTATATTTATTAATTTTATACTTTAAGTAATTAAAGTATAAAGAGTATTTATACCCTAAATTAGCCTTTTTTTTAAAGTATTAATTCTAGTTATATAAGTACTTATAAGTTTATTTTAGTATTTAATAAGCCAGCGCGAAACCTAGTTATTTTTTAGCTTTTTTTAAGTAATTTTTTTAATAAAGTTTTTAACTATATTATAAGAGTAAAATAAGCCTTTACTAGCCTGTTAATTAATATATTTTATAAAAACTTTTAATTATTAAGTATTAAGTAATAATTAGTTTTTATACTAGTTTTTTTTTATGCCCTAAATACCTTTAAAATATCTAAATAAAGTTATATGGTTTATACTAAAGTTTTTAGTAATATTTATATATAAAAAATATTCTTTTAGCTTTAAGAATTTAAAATATTTTATTACTTTATTTATTAAAATAAAAATGGGGGAGTTATAGCTGTTTAAATTTTATAAGTAAATATTAGTATAAATATAGTTTGGGCGCCAAGTGGGTTTAGGCGGCAGATGAGTAAGCACGGTAAGTAAGCATGGTACATTCATGAACCCATTCTCCACCCATCAAAGCAAAGGCGGCAATTTCGCCGTATTCTTCAACCCAGAGACAAATGCAGCTGCCTGCGGTCGCCGCCCCTATTAGCTAATACGGACTTGATCGTGCCATCGAGTCATAAAACATGCTTGTACCTGAAACGACCGCGGCCGCAAACAAGCACATGGAGAAACTCCACATCTCCTCCCGCCAACAGCCCTACTCCGACATGATTGAAATCAAGCTCATCTGGACCCACCACTAAGCCCTTGATACGGAGCCAGGACCCCATCCTCATACTCGACGTCTCCGCCGCCTGTTTCATCTTGTCTCAACCTCGAACCGTGATGTCGTCTTCACTACTCCCTCAGCGGCCGGGCCAGACCGGTTCCAACGCGGTATAAAACCTGCCCCGTTCCTCCCTACTGCTTCAATTCCGTTTCCCAGCAGGCCTCAAACTTTCACATCGTCCACACCACTCAAGCCCATCACCAAAACCAACGACCGACCTCCAAAATGCCCTCTTCCACCTTCACCGCCAGCGCGGCCCTCCTCTCCCTCCTCGCAACCGCAACCGCCCAGTCAACCGTCGGCTTCGGCCCCGCCTTCTCCCTCGGCCCAACGCAGTCCTGGATCCGCGAAGCAAACACCACCCTCGTTCTCCCCAAGACCCCGGGCCTCAAGGACCGTCTCGCCCTGTGGCCCGGCATGGGCACCAGCGGCGGCGATCTGATCCAAGCCCTCGCCGTGTCTTTCTCCGACCCGAACGCCAATTGCGGCGCCAGCGAGGGCCAGTGGTGCACGTGGGCTAGCACGCTGCAGGACGAGCAGCTGGGCGGCACGGAGGTCCCTGCTAATGCGGGCGATAAGCTTACCATGCACTGTACGTCCCTCCTACCATCCTGAAAGGCGGATGAACATCGCTAATTGTGTCAAATAGACGTTTACAACGACAGCACGGGCGAGTACGACCAAACCGTCTACATCAACGGCGAGTCCGTCTCCACGCTTTCGACATCCTCAGGCCAAGCTCAGGGCTGGGGTACGGCCGTGGAATGCCAGGATGACGCATGCGAGAGCACTACCGTCGCCGCGCATCGTATGTCTCTCCCCATCAAAACAGACAACCCGATATTTGAAATTAACCTGGACGCAGAGTATCTCGACACAACCATCATCCTCAACGCCGAGGACAACACCTTCAAGGACACGCTTGTTCTCACCGAAGCGGACTCAACCGAGTTCAGCTCGTCCGACGGCGGGAAGACCTGGACCGTTGAGACGATCAACATCCACGAGCACACCTACAACGTCTAAGTCGCCCAGCGAGATTCTTGAACTTTTGAGAGTGGACTGTATATAGCATTTGTATATTAGTTGGTGGTGCTGGTGTTTGATATATAGGAATTCAGCGCGCTGGCGCGCTTTTCAGTTCCGAAGCATTTGCAGTATCGTCATAGAACATCTTAAACCTGTTGGGATGAACGGGGAGAATACTTCGTTCTTCTTAAGAGTGAACTGCATTCATCAACCTCCCTCAACCAAAGCCACAAACCACATGGGATATCATCTGGCTCACTGCATTGTTATAGGATGTCACGAAAAAGACAGCCTCGCAGGTGCCCGGGTTTGGTTAGGTATGTCAACGCCCAAGGGTGTTGCCTTACCTATGAAAAGCAAGCACCGCCAGACGCACCCGCACAAGAATCCGGATACGCCAGCCCAAACCCAAACCTAAACACCGGATCCCTCGTATCAAACGGCACATCCTCCATATTGTCCTCAACAGCCTGCATAGACCTCGGCAAATCAAACGGTAATTTCCCCTCGGGCTTCGCAACCCCAAAGACAACATCCAAAAACGCATCGGCGCTACTCCCATAACTGCCCAGGAGCGCGGCCGCGCTTCCAGCAACCTCCGGGACGACAGCGGGCCGGTCAAGCAGGATATCGACGATTGTTGGGACGGCGGCGTAAATGCCTGCCTGACGCTGCTTCTCGGCCTCTGGGTACTCGAGCGACCCGGCGTGGAAGAATGTCTCGATGAGCGTGTTGTTGCGGGGTTCGTAGGGGGCATTGAGACGGAGAAGGGCGTAGTCTGCTTGAGCGGGTGTGTCTACGAGTGTCAGATTCCGGTTCTCCATGTATGTCTTGTTGAAGCCCTCGATGTAGAACTTTGTGTTGGTGTTGTGGTTGAGGGGGAGGATGGAGTTGTTGTTCGTGAGCAGGGTGTACGCGCGGCGCTGGGCCTGGTCGCCTAGTTTCCTGAAGTACGCGTTGCCGATGATTTGCTGCGCGGCCTGAACGTCCACGAATGGGTTCTCGAAAAGACCAAGCAGGAATTTCTCGCGGAGGAGGCGGCGGACGGACTGGTCGATTCGCTCTTCTGAGACTAGACCCCGGTGCACAAGGTCAACGATGAGATCGGGCCGCTCTTCACCCCCGAATTGGTCGCAGCCTGCGTTGAGAACGAGCAGAGCGCGCTCGGACTCGCTGAGCTCCTGTACACCCCATGCCCGAGCAGGGACCCATTCGCCGCCGGCACCAGAGCCAGTAATGATACTCCAGTCTGTGACCACAATGCCGTCGAAGCCCAGTTCCTCGCGAAGAAGCTGCGTGATAATCTGTTTGTTAAAAGCCCACCCCACAGCATCGAACTGCGTACCCTGAGGCCTAGAGTAATACGGCATCATCTGCCGCGTTCCCGCAGCAATAGCCGCCTTGAACGGGATAAGATGGTACTCAAAGTTATTCCCGGGGTACGACGAGTTCTGCCCGTACTCAAAATGCGAGTCCTCGCCGTTGGCGGCCGGCCCGCCGCCGGGGAAGTGCTTCGTGACCGTGCTGACCGAGTGTGCCCCGAATGTATCGCCTTGGAACCCGCGGACATAGGCGTCTAACAATGTCGCAGTGAGCTGCGCGTCCTCGCCAAACCCGTGGTTTGTGCGTGCCCAGCGCGGCTCGGTTGTTAGGTCAACCTGGGGGTGCAGTGAGACCCGGATCCCAATAGCCGTGTACTCTTCGCGGGCGATCTCGCCGAATTTACGGACCAGTTTTGCGTCCCGGATAGCTGCCAGCCCGATGTTCTCGGGCCACTGCGAGAAATCGCCAGCGGAGAAGCCGGCAGCGACGTTGTCGTGGAAGGCATGGCGGGGGTCTGTGGAGAGCGTGATGGGGATGCCGAGCCGCGTGCCCAGTGCGAGCCTCTGAAGGCGATTGACGAACTCGGCGGTGTCTTTTGTGGACGCTGTGCTAAAGGCCACATTGAAATGGGTCATGAACTTCGTGGTCACGCGGTCGATGGTGCTAGCACGGTTTTGCGAGGGGTCACCTGGGTCAAATGTGCCGTTTGGACCGGTGAATATCTGGGTATGAAACATTTGGCCGGCTTTTTCTTCGAGGGTCATCCGGCTCAGGAGGTCGTCGACTCTTTCATCGACGCACAGCGATGCGTTGCGGTAAGCAGGAAGGGTGGAGTGCGACTCAGCTGGGTGGGAGGCCGCCGAGGAACACGCCGCCAGTGACACAAGGAAAGAGACGAGGACCAGTCTTGGGAGACTCTGGATACCGTAAAGGGCGCACATGCTGAACCGTGACACTCTGTATTATCCTTAAGAAAGACCGAGTGGTGAGATGATTGCCGAAGCTTGAGCAGTAGCGGATGTCACGGAAACCTGCAAGTTTGTTCTGAACGTCCATATTTATAGGTGCCGGAATCAGTTCAAAGCCAGGGCCAAGGGATATGGCATGATGACCGCCCACTGGTAGGCATGCAAGCCTCTGAGCTCACTGCCTTGCCGTAAAAGTGCGTCGGACTGTCTCGATGTCACGGTCCGCTGCATCACACCACCACGGCAAAGGAAAGGCAGCCCAGTTAAGCAATGGGGTAATCCATCAATGCTCCATTCTGGCTATCAAATAACGATGTCGTTCCTTCCCCAGATGCCAGAGCCAGTGCGAAGGCGTACGCCAAGGTGACCCCCGCGCTGCTCAGACCCTCCCAAGCAAGCCAAGAAGCCCGCCAGAAACCCGTTTTAGGAAGTGAATACGAATACGCGGCCTGATTTGGCCCGAGAACCTGAGAGTAGTTAGACAGAGGGGTTGAAACGCGGGGATCGCGGAGTAGATAGAAGGAAAACTGGAGAAGGCAAGGACTGCCTAGAAGGCCACTCCGGCGTTTGTACGTACACCATCCATCTCTGACCCTTGGGTTGAGGAGCACAGCGAATCTAGGACCAACCTTTCCTCAATATCTGATTGCGAATGTGTAGTACCGCATCTCCTGTCGCCTGTCCCCAGTGCTTGGCTTGGCTGCTTGCTGATGCGAACGTCGGTACCTTAGTTTGCTAGGTAGAACCTTTCTGACCCTTGCTGGCCATCCACTGACAGATCGGCGAGGAATGGGCGACCTTCTTGCTATTTGTCGTGTCCGTATGGCATTCTTGACCTGATTTGGTTCGGCGGCACCTGTCGCTCAATCAACACGAATGAAACCTGTATATCAGCAACCGCGACACGGCACGTGGTCGGTGCTCATTGGGTAATGTAACGCTGCATGTAGTCAATGGTTGGCTAGAGCTCAGGCTCATGTGGAGGCTACGTTGCAAATTGCTCGGGAGAGTAGCAACCTGGCAATATTAAGAATAAGTGGCATGATCCTAAGAAGAGGTTTGCACTCACCTTGTTGATTACCAAGAGTTCAACCTAGGTGAACTCAAAGGAAGTAAAACTGTGCACTATATCCATGGACGGAATGCGGCTTTGCAGTGTGGTGTACATGCCCACTTATACTTGCAAATTCTCAAAGGTAGCGAAATTTCCTGCTGAATTGCCTTTCTTGTCAACGGCAGGCTAGATATAATGCACCTGTACGACAAGGGGGTCATACCGCTCTGCAGGGCTGCATAGATTGGCGCGGTTCAGTGGTAAAACTGGCCCAATGACTCAATGTCACAGCGAGTCCTTGTTCAGGATCCCAGTGAGGCAACCGTAGGGCATGGAACAGCAAGTGGCTCCCATTGATTGTCCACCATCGGGCTTTCCAGTCTGATTTCGCTGCCGGAATACAACTTCATTTTACCGATCAGCACTCAGTGCCTGGGCAATCCGCAGGCTACACGCAGACTCAGGCCAAGGCACTATACGGCTCCATACTGGAACTGGCAGGTCCTTAAGGATACGCATATACGCACGGCTTCTGAGGACCCCGAAGACGAACGCTTCAAAATGATGGCCTTGATGATCAAAAGCATAAGTTCCTTGAATATCACCTCATCAGGACCATAGAGGCCAGTAAACCAAGTCGCTAGCTTTCGCATACTGCAACCCAATGACGGTCACCATGAGGAATGTGCTGATGAGCCTGGTGTGTTCCAGATCGAGGCGTGGCCACTTTTGACGCACCATAAACCCGCGGGCATTGCCGGGTACGTATCGAGTAGTAGAGAATCGACGTCGCAGAGTGAGAATAGAGCCTTGATTTTTGCTCTTATTGAAGGCTTTGGATACTCTGGTCGCAACGCAGGTGGAGGGGATGAAGGCCTGGAAATGGCGGTTTCGTCATTGGCATGCGGCAGTCATTTGAAAGTGTTCCCGGTCGCGGACCATTGCAAGCGGATCGTCAAGTGGTCCGACGGCAATGCCCATATCGTGGGGTTGAAATGCTGAGACATCATCGAGTTCGAACCCCCCCTCCCCTCTCTTGACGAACCGAAATTGCCCGTGGAGCTTCTGAGCTTGCGGTTGGGTGGACTATCACGCTTTAACTCGGACCCTCAGCCCGAAGGAGTAGTGCATAGGTAGACCTGGGGAAAACAAATTTCAGCGAAAGCTAGAGTACTTGCAAGCGAGAGAACTGTGCCAGGATGCATCAGGCAAGAAGCCGGTCAGTTTCCTGCTACAACGCACGCCCTGTATCTGTAAGAACAAATGGAGCCGACCTGGGCGTAAACCGGTGTTTAGGCGCCGTTGTTGGGACTGCATAAGGTACTTCTTACCCCCGTCGTGGATAAAAATAGAGGTGCCATGAATTGGGACTAGCCGAGGGACTCGATGAGGGGTTCGATGAGGGGTAGATACCAGAGACCAGAAAGACTCTCTTAAGCGATCCCTTGATCCTTTGGCGATGAAATAGAAACTTTCATGTTCAGCTCCAGGATACCAGACCGGTGCAGAGTCAGAGGTGGCATCGTATATCTTACCATGGATCATGGCCAGTCCATATCAACAGCCGATGGAAACGCCCACGTTTCGATCACGATGAAACTCGGGCCGGGGTAGTAAACCAGGGCTCGTCGAGAGACTAGAGACAAGAGCGGAGTGGAGAGGTGGGCATCCCATGGATGGGGCAGCGGTCCTGGGTCCACGGAAAAAGCTACTGGAAATAGTCTTCCTGGGAAGGACGTAGGGAATAGATTGAGAAAGTAATTTTGGCACAAACTGCGGTCGGAAAATCCGATGTTACAGCAGCGATCATTGCCAGCGCGAGTTCCAAGGATCCAGGAGCACGAAGGAATCGGTAGATTCAGCGGACCGGAAGTCAAATCTACACCCGTTGGATGGCGATTGCGCCACAGATCATGGGCCGGTAAGATAGCCGATCGAAGCTCGCTTGGCATCAACCGCTGTTGGTTTTGTAGTTTCCAGTTGCCAGATCCCATCGGAGTTGTGATGCCGGACGCCGGTGTGAAACAAGACCTCACAGTCAAAGCTCCTCCTGGAAAACGTTGCGAGGATGCAGGGATCATACGGTAGAGTTGAAATGCAACCACACCGACCCTGGTCTATAGTCAATGCATACAACTGGTGGAATTGCGGGCTCGATAGCCATTGCCGTAGACAAGCTAATGCCCCGTGCGTGATAGCACTGCATTGCATTGGCGCTAGCACAGGGTCCTAGCATAAATAGGGCACGCCGAGAAGCTGACCGCATCCCCTGCGTGCGGGGGTTGGGTGTATCGAGGGTCCTACCTAATCTCGAAGGATCTAGCGTCCTGGGCATTCCCGCGCAGTCGAGATGGCGCAGTCAAGATGCATGGATGGCAAACAATCTACCCTAGGTAGCTTCCGCTCACCGACTTGCGACCTCCGCGGCTTACCACCTTTCGTTCGCTCCGTCGATGAGGGGCCCTTGAATGGTTACACAGCAGACGACAGGCATTGCGCGTCGGCGGGGTCGGCATGAGGCTCTTCAGCAGCCCTGGATGGGCACCTACAGCAAATAGGAGACGGTGTGCGTAGTTCGCATTCCGAGGGAAGATTGTTGTCTTGGAGGTGCCATAAGACAATGGTCATAGAGCGTAATTTGTACAGAGGAGATCAAAGCGCAATGGCGGAAAAAGCAAACAGCATGAGACCGAACTACTCCGGCTGATCCATGGCCCATCACACTCGTGCGTCAGAATCCTGACCGATGTGACGGAACCAATGTAACGGGAATGTTGGTAGCGCAGCTGACATCCCATCGTCACGCACTAGACCAGAGTCAGGTAAGTCCGCGTCATTGAACAACCTTGCGACGGGCTCCGCCGTGGCCCAGTGGACTGGTAATTCTCCGGCCGGCCAGGGACATGCGTCATTGTTGGGACCTCGCTACAGCCACATTCCCTGAGTGCCGGTCATGGTTGGGTTATTTAAGAGCCCCTGCAGGGACGCTGGGAGGCCCTATTCTCAGCTGCGGCAAGGTTTCTCTGGCGCGAGAGCTCCCACCGTTTGAACACTATCCATAACTGCTCTTCCTCCCCAAAATGCGAAGTCTTCTGCACTTGCTGGCCTTTTCCGCAAGCGCAGCGGCACAGAATTGCGCGTTCGGAGGGCCCATATTCCCAGCCCCAAAAAGCGCCAGTTCGAGCACCGCGATCCAGCATGCAAGACACAACTTCACCCAGTCGCTGCGCAGCATTCTGCGCTCCTCCAGCGACCCTGACGTAACAGCAATAGATCCGGACGTAACCTCCTTCGCGGTGCAAGTGTACAGCGTGCACGAGGAACAGCCGCTGGTGGAGTACTACCACACCGCGAAGGCCGTGCGAAACAACACAGTCGGCGTAAACAAAGTTGACGAGGATACGGTTTTCCGAATCGGTAGTATTTCCAAGGTACACACTGTCCTGTTGCTATTGATGGAGACCGGCGACGCATCGTTTCACGAGCCGATCTCGAAATATCTGCCGGAGATCCAAGAGGCGATAGAGGCGCTGGAGGGTAGTCATGACGACGTTGACCATGTCCGATGGGGCGAGGTGACTATCGGCGAGCTCGTCAGCCAGGCAGCTGGTTTGTTTAGACTATGTAAGTGGCCCCTGGAATCTGCAAGATGTCAACTGACGCGCACTAAGACGGATTTGGGGATCTCACGGAAACACCCGATTTAATGTCGGGACTTGGGTTTCCTCCTGTTGAGGAGGAGGATATCCCACCATGCGGGTTTTACCCGCCATGTAATAGAACGCGTGGGTCTCCCACTCCATTCTGTTCCGGGCCCATACTGACTGACGCCCCTCTAGAATTCTTCAACGGCCTACTGGGCACGCACCCCGTCGTCCCAACCTCATCGGTCCCAATCTATTCAAACGATGCGTTTGTGCTGGTCGGGTACATACTCGAAGCGCTGACGGGCAAAAGCTTCGTAGACCTCGTGGAGGAACGGCTGTTCGAGCGCCTTAACTTGACGCACTCTTCGCCCACCAAGCCAGCCGACGACATAGGCATCATCCCCGGACTGGTGAACGAGACCTTCTGGGATACCGACATGGCTGACATGATTCCGTGAGTGCCGCAAACCCCGAAGCAGTGCCGACCAAATTCTAACGAAAAAAGAACGGGCGGGATTTACTCATCCGCGAAAGACATGAGCCGTTTTAGCCGCGCTATTCTCACCAACGAGCTCCTTTCGCCTGCTCTGACGAGACGCTGGTTGAAACCCCAGGCTCACACAGCAGACCCTTCCTTCTCCGTTGGCGCCCCGTGGGAAATATACAGCGTGAATGACGCCCGAAAGGTCGACCTCTACACCAAGGGCGGAAACATCGGCAGCTATTCCGCAATGATGGGGCTCTCTCCGGACCATGATGTCGGGTTCACGATTCTCGTCGGCGGTAACGCGGCAACATCGGCGACATGGGCACTAGGTGATCTCGTCACGGGGATTGTAATTCCAGCTCTGGACAGGGCCGCGAGGGAGGAGGCGTCTAAGCATCTCGCTGGAACGTATGCCTCGGGAAACGAGACTCTGAGGCTCGTAACTGATCATGGCCCGGGCTTGAAAATCGCCAAGTGGGAAAGCAACGGAATTGACATTTTGGAGTCGTTGAACAGCCTGCAGTCGAGGCCGGTAGACGGGACTCTTGACGTCCGGTTGTATCCCACTGGGCTTGAAAGTACCGCTGGTTCTGGACGCAATGGTTCAACCACGGTCTCCTTCCGTAGCGTCATATCAGGGCCCCCGCCAATGGGGCCGCCCAACGGGCCTCTGACTAGGCTGTGCTACACATGGTTGACTGTCGGCAACACGGTTTACGGGTCTGTTGCGTTAGATGAATTTGTCTTTAAGATTGGAGAAGACGGCGATGCTGTCAGCCTGTCACCGCGGGCTCTGCGGACGTCTTTGGCCAGGGTTAGACATTGATACAAATTCTCTAGAAGAAGCATTAGCGCGAGCAATGAGAACGGTCCTTGAAGCAAAGACAGTTGACTAGGAGTAGGGTATAGATTGAAAGTATGTCCAGGTAACCATAATAAACTATGTGCAAAGAAAACGCGCATACGTCCGGTGCGGGCAAGGAATGGCGCAAATTTGTAAGCTCGGCTCAAGGCCGGGGACGAAACCGTTCGCTAGGATTCTCCAAATAGTACCAGTAATCGTCGTCGTCGCCTCGTCCCCTTTTCCGTGGATTGGCCGGCTCTGGCGCAGGGCTGGGAGGACGAAGTCGTTTTTGCGCCTGTAGGTTCGACCGGACAAGGTCCTCAAACGTTGAATGCTCATTATTGGCTTGACTCGGGTCCTGCCCTGGTTCGGCATCAGGGTCAGCGATACAAGCATAGATGTCTTGGTATGCGGTTTCGCCGATCGTCTCGCGAAGCTTGATCTCTTCGTTGAGCGACTCCAACACCCCGCGATGCCGCGCAGCTGTCTCCTTCCACCAATTTCGGAGCTCGGAGTTGCGATCATGGGTTTTAATGATCCGTAACGTGCGTGGCGAGCCCTCAGGGACGGTAAAGTACACAAGGTGCCGGTTGAGCTTGCTTTGGATGTGGAGTCTCCGGCGTGCTACCATGCAGAAATCTTTCTGGTGTTCGACCGGGTCCTCGACAAAGCGGCGGAGTTCGGCACAATCCGGACAGCAGCTTGGGTTTACGTTGTCAATGGACTGCCGCCAGTCGGGCGGAGTTACAGGAAACGGACCAGAGCTTGGAGTTATGTAAGACTTCATGACGCGGATTACGAAGGCTGCTTCTTCGCTAGCGACAGCCGCGGAAACGTCTCCCTCGTGCTTCTTGCGCAGGCCTTGGCATATTATTCTCAGAAGCGGGGTGGCGAACAGCATGAAGATCTCTTGTTCTTTCTGAGATTCCCGGATCTTCTCTTCAAGTATACTGAGGAGCTCAGCTATGTCGAGGCCCAAGGTGCGGGTATATTTGATCAAGGTGGCAACGTGGTAGATATTGACAAAATGCTCTGGTCTGTACCAGTTTGGCTGTCGGGAAAATCGACGAGAAAAGATCGTGAAATCTCTGAATATGGCCGGAATGAGGTCTTGATATACCTCGAGAATCGAGCCCGGAAGTCCGACTTCGCCTCTCTCGTACATCATAAAGAGGGCTGTCATAAGTGCAAGGCTGAAAGGAGTGTTGGATGCCACTTTTTTTGCGAAAGGAACAACCCTAAGGGGAGTTAGCAAGTCCCGTGATCTTATTTCGTTCTGGAGACCAGGCACCTTGTATCGAAAAATGATTCTGGAAAGTGTGGCACAGCATGTGCAAGAGTAGATCCGGCGCTGGCATCCAGGTAAACAGGATCCTTTTGCTCTAGCCGGTCGAAGAGCATAGCAAGTGTGCTTTCGTACCATTCTATCGCTTTAGCAGGCGTATGATGGGCTGCAGGAGGTGTCCATGTTGACCGCATTTGCACAAGCGACATGATATGTCCCATGGGACTACTTGAAATCAAGCGCCATATGTGATCAATGCTGTATCACTCGGTTTAGATCAGGGAATTCCAATGGAAAGAAGGCGAACTTACACAGGCTGCATCTGTTCAATGCCACGAGTATAGATGACTTCGCCGAAGCGTTTCGCCAGCTCCTCGGCTTGCTCTCCGCGAGAGTTCAAAGCCCGCTTCACAACTTCAAACTCGCCGATCTCGAGAGCAACCCATATGACCTCGTCGAGTATCTGCTTGCGCCATTTCTGGTCTTCAAACACGATGCGACAGAGTTCGCTCATCTGGTTGCGCAATTTCTGATCCTCAGGGTTTGCACGGAATGCGCCGTGCAAGTCGTCCCACACGACTTTGATGTTATCAATAAACCGGTCCTTCGGTGATTGGCCTGCTGCATGAAGTAGAAATGGAAAGTAAAACGAGTCTGGCACAACAACAGCGATGCTATGGCCATAGATTTGATAACCAACTCTAGGCCCAGCGGAAGTTTGCTGTAACGGCGCATCTTCGTCAGGCTCGCCCGCGAGGTCAAGATCGACATCATACGTGCACAGATCCTTCGAGGCTACGTGTCCATGAATAAGGACGCTCCCATCGATATCAATGACTTTTAATAGGCTCAAATCTCGGTAAATGATAGTGCCAATATTGTAGAATTCGCCTTCCGGTAGGCGTTTCGTCGGCCGGAGGTCATCTACTGGTCCCTCTATTTCTTGATTCAGGTTGGCAAGCAACACGCGACACCCACTGGCCTCGCACGCGTTGCGAAGATCGGCAATCTGACGTTTGTCGCGGCCAGTGAGATGGTTGAAATGAAGTTCAGGGGTGTAAAGCCTATTTTCCAGACGATGGTATAGCGCTGGCAGACGAGGCCCGCTTGTGGAGTCCAGTGTCCGCGAAAACCATAGCTTCGGCGGCACGCCCTCGCTTTGAAAAGAGGTGGTCTTGTTCTCCGCCCAGTTGGACCAAGACCTGAGGAGACCAGTAAGAGATGTTGCCCCCGCGCCTTCGTGCCGAGACTTGAGATCAACAAAAGTTGGATGATGAATCAACTTGTATGTAAGAATAATCTGGTGTCCGGAGGTGACTGGTTGCCCTACAGGTTCAGCAAAAACAGACCAAGCAGCACATGAAAACGCAAAGTCGGGGTCGTTAGACGGAGTCAACGTCTTGGACATGCCGCGGTACGAGACGGCAATGTCACCCCCATCATGGTTCGAAGGAAGGCATATAGCCATGGTTCCAAACACGGACTCCGTTGTTTCCTGGCGTTGAGTCTGCAGGAAACAGGCTCCCGGTGGGATAACCAGACATTTGTCTAGTTCCATCTTCATTTGCAGGGACGATTTATCGGGAAACATTTTCTCCAGCAGTTCCTTCATGATCACTCTAGCCTGAATGAACCATTGAGGATTTCGGAGCTCGAACTGTCCGGGATCAAGCTCGCATACGCCGGGGCCAACTCCTTGAACGAACGAACCTCCGGACGGCAAGGTCCGGCAATGTTTCACGATGGCATCCGTCACGAGGGGACTGATCGGAATACCAACTGGGCCAACGGGGGGCACTTCAAGGCAGGGGTTGTGGACCAAATCATGTCTAGCACTGGCGAAAAACCCAATTGGAGCCGGTTTCTCGTCCATGAGTACTTTGAAACCAGCTCGAAGCATCTCCGGTGAGGAAAGAGGGTGCGGGATGCTATGCCAGCCTCTGTGCAGTGAGCCCGCTACAGTAGCGGCTGGATTTAGTCGCGTGCTGGCTCCTCCAGTGCTCCGAGTTGCTGCGGGGGCGTTCCATGGTGAATCCAGCCCCCGCTCTGTCTTAATGTGGTGATATGCATTGAGTGTTAACGGATTAGCATCTAATGCCATATTTGATAAGATATTATTGCAGAAGTCGTCCACAGACGTCCGATTTGGCGATTTCGTTGTGTTTGGTTGATGGCATTCTAACCCATCGCGGCACGCGACGAGGCGCGTCGCGTGTCATGGTCACGTGAATTATCTGCCTTTGGCATAAGGCATGCGTTAATCGTCTATGGTGCAGCGAATATGTGGAAAGATGGTGAAATGAAGGGTAACAAGGGATATTGAATCAGTCATCCTCGAGCTTGAGGTAGCTTCTTTTCTGCGGAATGGTTGGTGTTGGTGCTGAGGTTGGAGACCGAGGACCATCACGAGACCGCCTATTCGCATCAATCGGGTTCAGGGCCGTCATTGCTTGGTTGCTGACAGGCGTACTGTTAGTGGCCAGTGCATTGGGTTTGGTCACATAAACCTCGAGCTCCTTGTATCTCTCTTCTCCAATGACATCCTTGAGCGGGCATCTCTTCGCAATCAACTCAAGTCGGTCGCGACCAATTTTGGCACCCTCCTTCCAAAAGTCAATAGCGTGAATAAACCCTGCTTCTGTTTTGATTACTCGGAGAACATGCGGTGAGCCGTCACGGATGGTCTCGCAGACGAATGTTTTAGGGAGTCTTGCTTGAAGGTGCGACCGTCGTCCTTGGGCTATGCGGAATTCCTCGGTCTGCTTATACGGGTCCTGGACGAAACGGCGTAGGTCCTCACAGTCGAAGCAGCAATCCTCGCCAGGGAGGTGCTGACTCCAGTCAGTATGAGATGTCGGATACGGCCCACCAGTGCAGCGAAGCAGACAAGATTCAAGGAGGCGGAAAATAAGGCCAGACCATTGATGCTGAACATTATTGGTATCTGTGGGCGGCTGGTTTTGAAGCCTACGCTGCAGGACGTCCGCCGAAGATGTAACGAATTGACAGACGAATTGGGAGAATACTCCGGTTGAGGAGCCGTTGAGTCTGTAATTCACCTGCTTTTCGATTTTGTCAAGCAAGCCAGAGACGTCTTGGTCGATCCTGAGGCATTGGTCTATGAGGCGGACAACACTGTGTGGTCTGACGAAGTCTTCTGCTTTCCAGGATCTGGGTGGGATGTAGATGAATGGTCGCGGGGCGGGACGATGGGCCATTATCTCAAACTCCTTGAGTACATCGGGTATTAAGCCGCGATATACGGGCAGTATCTTATCCAGATCCAGACAATTCGCTTTGTCATAATTGCCAAACAGGCTGGTAACAAATGAGACAGAGAAGCCTGGACTACGGACATTTTTCCCGACCATAGCAACTACCCTGAGCAGGTGTTAGCAGCGTTACAGAGTCAAGGTCGTTGGTGATGGGATCTACCGTGTTTTGGTGAATATCTTGTCAAAGCAAGGCACAGTACGCGCCAGTAGCTTTCCATCAGCATGCTGTAACATGGTTCTCTCTTCAAGCCGGGTGAACAACATGTCGCGCGTGGCTTTGTACCACGTCAAGGCTTGCTCAAAACTATAATTGCCAGAGCGCGATATTTCTGACCACGGTGATCGCATTTGTTCGAGCATCGAAAGGTGTCCAACGGCGCTGCTTGACCTCAATGTCCAAATATGATCAAGACTACCGGGATGTTAGCTCTGGTGGACAGAAATTCGGGCCATGGGTCAAGCTTACACTGGTCGCATGTGGTCAACACCACGAATAGTAATGGCTTTGCCAAAGTCTTTGGCCAAATTTTCGACCTTTTCTTCCAAGATATCCAGGCATTGTTTAACAATTGTAGCATCATCCATTTCAAGCCCAAGACGCGCAACCTCCTCGGGATACCGTTTGCTCCAAATAGGATCGGCAAGTATGAGTTGGCAGAGCTCGTTCGTCTGGCTGCGCAGTTTTGGATCTGCAGGGGACGCGCGATATGCGCGAGACAACTCCTCCAAGAGCAGCTTTACCTGCACGTGCGAACGTTGCAGTGCCTCAAGCAGTAGTGGGAAATAGAAAGCATTGGGTATTATGACAGTAACGGTACGGTAGTAAGTCTGGATTGTAAGGCTGCCTCGTCGCTCTTCGTATGTTGGCTCTTGCGGCAAAGACAAAGTGGAGGCGCACATTCGAGGGTTGATCTTCAGTTGATCAACCACAATCTTTCCATCCGGGCCGTGGACAAGATTACAAGTAAAGTCAACACTTCTTACCAGCCTCCTGTTTCCATCAACCTGCCCGTGGTCGGTCAGATATTGCCTTATCACAAGGGATCCCAAATATGCACGGCAGTTGCTGACGTCGCAAACTCTTTGCATTTCAGCCAACAGAACTTGATTGGGTCCCTGGATTTCAGCCCAGCGGACGGCGTAATCATCGAGGTTGGAGCCGTCCAGCTGATACAGGATTACCGGTAGGCCATCACCAGCTTCCCCTGGCGAGTTCAATGGCAAGACATGGGTGGGCCACTGCGATGGAAGTAGTGGACTGTCGGTGTCCAGAGACGAGGTTTTCCGTTCGGCCCAACGAGCCCATGACTCGAGGCATTTCTGGAGTTCTGCGAACTGACTTTTACGCTCCAAGAGACAGGTTTGCGACGCTTCATGAATGAGGTTGTAAACAAGGACAAGGCGATGTCCAGAGGAAATTGGTTTCTCTTCGTAGGTGGTAAACGAAGCCCAGGCGGCGTAGGAGAAGTCAAATTCCGCATCCCTCAAGGCGAACACTTTTGTTTCCGTAATGGTTGAATAGGTTATGTCTCCTCCAACATGCCTCGAAGGTAGAAATAATGCGAGTGTCCCGAACTTCCCAGCAACTTCACCGCGGTCTGGTTTTGGCAGTGAGAAGGCACCCTCTTTGGAGAGCAGACATTGGTCAAGCTCAACCTTCACATCATCCAGATCCGAAGAGAGGCCAAAGCCCTTCAACACTTCCGTGACAATCATGCCCATTTGTACTTCCCATTTCGAATTGCGAAAACCCAACTGCTCAGGTCGGAGCTCATGAGTCGCCGCGGCGTGACTATGGTCGGACAAACCATCATGGGGAGGTAGCGGAGTGCCAACACTGGCAATGGCCTCCGCAGCATCCGGACTCAGAGGAAGACCGATTTGACCGACGCCGGTGACTTCAAGCCCGGGGTTGATGACGAATTCAGTGGTATTAGTCAAGCAAAAGGAGCCGGTGCTCTGAATGCCTTGCATAAGAACGGGAAGTTCGTCCAGGAACTTTGAGGTATCGAAAGCCTCCTCTTTGACGATGTTCAGGATAGCCTCAGGATTGTCAATGTCCTCGGTTTTTGTAATTCGTCTAGTTGTCGGATTTTCTGCGGGGACGTCCCATAAGGAGTTCTCGCTCCGCTCTTCCTTGACTGGTTCTTGCTTGATGAGATTGGTGCCTCCGGGAGGCGAAGGGATGGCGGATGGCGTCATGATGCAAGGGTTTGTTGATGAGGAGGATTCCTCAAGCAAGGAGGGAGTAATAACTAGAGGCAGTGTTGTTTCCCTTCTCAACACCGCGACGAGACGTGACACGGAACGCGAAATCACGTGATCTCGATGCCCCGTCTGTAAGGCTGTCAAGTCTCCATTCTCTAACAATCAACTGCAAACAGTTCAAGCTATCGAGAAGCATCGCAGCCTGACATCGATTCCATCATGGCCCTCCTCAAAGGATGGAGCAAGCAACTCGTCAAGTCCAAAGCTCGCATGAGAGACCTCTTATCCTCTTCAAGATAATTCTTGCCACTATATCTCTTTTGAAAGAGTTATTTGGCGCCTTGCTGTTGGCATGCCGCGGAGCAATCCTCCGATCATGAACAGTGCGTCACTGACGTCTATCTAACTCACACCCCCACGGATATTGTTTCCGACAAGTCATCAAGATGCAGCACGAAAAGAAACTCGGTTTCCTTTCTTCATCAGCCCATCCCCCAACTGCATCACTCATCCAAGTCCTCCCACTTACGCAGCGTCCTCCTACCGCTACCGACAATGAAACGACGCAACAAGATCAAAAAGGTCATATCGCGCGCCGCCCGTCTCCTCAGACAAAGCGCAGGCTACAAGCATCCGTCTCCTGACAAAGAGCCTCAATCACCACTCCTAAATCTCCCCTTTGACGTCCTCCATCTCATACTACCACACCTGCCGCTCGAATCGCAAGCCTGTCTCGCGCTGACCTGCAAACCTCTCCATCGAGCTCTAGGCTTCGTCCTCGAAAATAAACAGTTTGCCTGGCCTCGGTATCTGGCGACGGAGTTCCCTCCCGGTCCATATGAGCGTGAGCGGTTCGGGGCTGCTCGATACCCGGAGCTCCCCAACCCAAGGAACGAGCTCCTGCATCTACTCGAGGACAGGCGGTGGATGTACGGGTGTTGCGACTCTCTCAAACTCCACCCAAAGCAACTTGTCGAGCCTGGCTCATTACAATCCACAAATAGTCAGCGCTGCATCTCGACTGAAGGTGTAGTCGATTTGTGCGCTTGCCTTGCCTTGACGTTCTCGGATAAAATCAAGCTGATTCAGTGGCTGAAGACCGGGCAGGCAGGTCCGAGTCTCCATCGGAATGTCCGCGGAGCATTTGTTTTTCGAGAGCGCGACAAGAAACGGTCGCTTGTCCATCACTGTTCGGTTTCTAGTCAACCTGATGCGTTCGTGAGCCTCTTGACCACAGCAACACTCGATGCAGACGACTGCCTTATCGTCACTACCATATACCACGTATACTGGGAACAGCCCCGCCGGATCCTCAGAAGTTACAGCGCCTTCAACAATGCGTTTCCATACCGTCTACGGCCCGAGTACCGACCGCCACACAACGCTGAACCGGTTTTTCTCTGCCCGCACATCCACGCCGTTGCCTGGTTATATTCGTCCTGGATGTGGACTAAGGACCAATGTACAAATTGTGATACCAGATACCAGGTGCTTCATTGCACTAATGACAATCTCCATTGTGCTATTCAAGGTAAGCGCAATTTAGGAAGCATTCGGCCCGCTACATTTGGTCGCTGGTGGCATGCATCTCGGTCACCCCAGGCTGCAAGGGAAAGTATATGGTATTAATTATGGGACTTCCCAGAGCCAGTAATGGGGGGGAAGCCTTTCTGTAATCGATTCAACCTTGAGACCTAAAACTGGCTCCTCTGTCAATGCAAACATGGGAGGGTGGCTAAGAGAGCCGGGCTAATTTGGGAAGGACGACACTCTGACTACAGGAAATTGGACGCATTACATCCTCTAACAGACTTTATCTCGGAATGCTTGGGAAACGAAACCGCCAGAGTCATATTGTGACCCTCAACGACCACCAGAAAATCGGCATGCTAGACATCAATATTACAATTTAGGTCCCGACTACTCGATCATCGACAGAGGTATGCAATGATCCTTATTTCAAGCTCCATCCAGCCATTCCATCAAAAGGTCAACGGCAGAAGGGCGTCTGCGGATCATCAAGGTAGGGCGTCTGACGATTGCAGAGCAACACGGCAATTCAGTGACCGTGAGATAATCAAAATCAACTCAAGAGCATCGATAACCTAGGCAGTCGCAGTACAAATCACGCAATTCAAATTACAAACAACATCAGCTGCAAACATCACATTAAGCCTCTCCGGACACTGTCAATGAGTCAAGACCCTTCACTCCGTTATTGCGCCGAATGATGACGGGCAGATGCGAGGCCGGCGAGAGAATCCGCAACCCAGGACTGGCGGTGACGACAGGGCGGTCGGGAATTCTCCGGGACATGGCCTGTTGCGCTGGCAGCATTCGTCAAAATCGTGGTCGAGGACGGATAGGGTGGCCGGAATGAATTTGTCTCAACTTCATCGCAAGCCACCGATGAGCAGCACTATAAAGAAAGTCAGCTTTGTCGCTGGCAGCTTTCTTGGAACTGGACTTGCCTCTGTAGGTCGACCGGGTTGGGTCACTGTAGCCGGCTCTTTACGCAACTCGGGACAATATTCAGCCAGTTGCTTCAGAGCTTCATCAAGCCGACGGGACCGCGTGTCCTCGCGACGCCGGAGTTCAGTCACCTGCTTCAGAGCTTCATCGAGCCCGCGGGCATGCGCGTCCTCGCGACGCTGGATTTTAGTAAGCCGCCGCGCAACCTGTTCAAGACGACGGGTCCGTGCGTCCATTTCGCAGGTGATGTTCAGTAGACGCTGGAGTTCGTCCAGCCGCTCATTGATGTCCTTCACAAGACCCCTGTTATCGGTCGCCGAGGTCCTTGATTTGTCCGAACCAGCGACGATTGCTTGGTGTTCTGGTTGTTCCCTTCTTCCCTCCACTTCCTCACTTCGGGGCCAAACCCGCTCGCCGCCGGGGCAGTGCTGAATGCAGAACTTGACCCAGTCAACTAGCCACAGATTGAACATCATCCTGGCGACTTCCGTCCAAAAGGCCCTTGTAAGCAGCATGATACGGGATGATTCGGGTGTATGAAGAAGGCAGGTCGTGCTCGCACTCGGCGTCGGAAAGTTCTTGAAGCTGGAGTAGGAATGTGGAAGAAAACAAGGAGAAGCGGTGCATGACACCAGAGTTCTGGTGGCCTTGTGCGCACTGGGAAGGCAAACATGGCTCCGAGTGGTAGGAGTGGAAGGAGCGCACAGTCCGGCATCACTGGAGGTACTTTGATAGGAACGGTAGGCACCCTAGGAACTTGGAAGAAGGCCAAGTCCTGATCGATGCTAGTTTGCAGTACTTTAGGACTGCAATTTAAAAGTCAGTTGCGGGAATGACTGGGTTGGCAAATTTTAACTAAGTAAATTTTACCGTTTTAATTGGCCGCCCCTTTAACCAATCCCGTTAATAGCTATTTAAAGCTAAAGTAGTATTATATAAAGCTATACTTTTTTACTTTAAAATAGCTTGCCTTTTTATATATAATATTTACTTTTAAAAGCTTACTACTATAACCCTGCTATTTACACCTTTTTTTATAATATTATTATTATTAACTAACCTTTTTTATAGTTATATTTTATTAATATATGCATTATTTATGCCTTTATAAGCAGGTGTTTTTTATTATAAATTTTTTTATTACTTTAACTAGTAAAGTTTACTTATATTATATTAAGCTAAAGCCTATAATAAAGTTTATTTTTACTAGGCGTATATTAAAGCTAACTACTTAGTGCTAAAAATATTAAAATATAATTAGGCAAAATATATGTATATTTATTATTTAATAATTATAAATACTAACCTTATTTATTTTTTAGTAGCTTGTAAAAACTTAATTTACTATAATTAATAAAGCTACTCTAGTACTTTAATTAATTATAACTAGTTAACTTACTTTAGTACTTTAATTTATATTAATAATAATAAAATATAATAGTACTAAAGCTATTTTACTTAATTTTTTAGCTATTACCTATTTAAATTTTATAGCACTAACTACCGTGTTATTAAATTATATAATTTTTATTTAGTAAATTACTCCGCGGGTAGCTAGCTATTCCCAAGCTTTTTTTATTTTTTATTATTAAGGTATTTATAGTTTAAATATAAAATTAATGGTTTTAGCTTGTAAGAAGCAAGTAACTATTTATAAAAAATATAAAGTTATTAATTATACTAGGAAGGCTTATTTAGCTACTTTTATATTATTTTAATTAATAGGTCCTACAAGTACAAGTAATAAAATAGTTTTATTAATTAAAATTTTTTTACTAGTTTTTTTATTAATAACTTTTTTTTTAATTACTTTAATACTAAAACCCTTTACTTTAATACTAGGTTTTTTTTTTATTTCCAGCACCTGCGCGAACGCTATTATTTTAATATTAGTTTATTTAATTTAAAGTATTTATTATAAGTACTTTAAGCGTGTTTAATACGCCATGTAATACCTTACCTAAACTTATTATTAAAATAAACCTTATTATTAATATTTAGGATCCCAAGCTACTGGCTAAGCCAGCTTTATTTATATTTAATAATAAATATTTTATAAGTTTTTAAACCACCCTTGCTAATAAATATATAAAATACTATAATAATTATAATAAGTGTTAATTTAAAATATACTTAATAAAAGGTATTTACAAGTGCTATAAAATAAAAAATTAAAATAAGAATATATACTTATTTAGTAATACTAATTTTTTTAATTTAGGCCTAATGCCTATATTATAACCTTTACTTCTTAATTTAATATAAATTAAAAAAATATTAATAATAAAGGTACATGTGCATATACAGGTAATACAGGTACATGGCTAATAATATAAATATTATGGCCATGTTATTTATTTTTTTTAAAATATTAGCTATATATATAATACCCTTTTTTTACTACCACGCGAAGTAAATATTATTTTTTTTTATTTATTTAATATAAAAAATAATACCTATTTTTGTTGCTAGTATAAGCGCGACTTTTGTATTTATTAAAAGTATGTTTAAATATAGCTTTTTTATTTATATACTTATTATCCCTAGTATTAAAATATTTAGATTAATGCTAAAGCTTTGGTTATATTGCCTGTAAATATATATATTACTAATAATATAATAGTGCAGGACCTTAATACTAATAAATTTAATTTTAAAAACCTAAATAAAAATAAAAAGCTTTTGCTAAAAATTACTATAATACCTAATTTTATAATAAAGGATATAAAATTAATAAAAATTTAATAGTAAGTAAACGCTTAATTTTTTAATTTAATTACTTGTAGTTTTAGTCCTAATACTTTATATTTTAATATACCTTTATTTTAAAGTATTTTATTATTAAAGTTTAATTATAGCACTGCTTTTTTAGCCTGTATTTTTTTTACCTTATTTTTTAAAGGTAAAGCTAAATTTACTTTGCCTAAAGATAGGCAAGTAGCCTATAATAACTATATTAAGTATTTAATAAAGTATTATAATAGGTGCTTTGCAAAATATCCCTATTTTTAGTTTATAATTTTTAATATAATTATAAAAAAATAAGTAAATACTTGGGCGGGTTTTTATATTTATTAAAAGGCTAATACGCATGTAAATATTATAATTAAAAATATTTAAGCTACTTTTTAAAATAATAGTCCTAAATTTACTGCCTTATTAAACTTAATTATTTAATTTTTTAGTAGTTTAAAAGGCACCTGTTTGTTTTAAATAGGAAAACGCAGGTAAATTAAGTTTTTTATATTAAATTTAGGTATATTATATTTATTTATAATACTTTTTATTATTAATTTTTATTAATATAATTTAATACAGCACCTCCCTTGCTTTAAAAAGTAGTATTAAAAATTATTAGCTAAATAAATTAAGATTACGCGTGATAATTTACGTGAAAACCCTTATATTATTTTTTATTATTTTTAGTTATGTTTTAAAATATTTAAAAAGACTGTTTTAAAGCCTAAGTTTAAAATTAATAATAAATAATTTTATTTTAAATAGTAAGGCTATAAATTAACATATTTACATGGGCTGTACTAGGTTAATCTAACTCTTACTATTAATATTTCTTTTTTTAAAGTAAAATATATTTTTTTTAAAGCACAAGACGCATTTATAAAGTTTTAGGGTATTTATATATTTATAGTTAATTTAAAGCCTAGGCGGGATTTTAACCTAGTAAATAAATAATTTATAATATTTTTATTTTTAAAAAATTAGTATAATATAATTGCTTATTTATTTATAATTTTAAATTATATATAAAAATACTAGTGCTCCAAAGCGTACTGCCTTAAAAAATAAAAAAAATTTAAAAAGGTTTATTACTATTTTTATTATTTTATATTACATACTAAAAATATATTTTTAGCTAAGCCTTTTTAAGTATTTTATTACTAGCTATATTTTAAATATAATAATTTATATTTAAATTACTATAACTAGTTAATATTTATGGGTTAGCTAATAAATATAAATATAGTATTTTACACAAGCGCTCGCGTAGTAATAAATTATATTATTAAATATATTATAAAAATAAAAACAAAAACCATATTATATAAGAATATAATAGTAAAGTTAATTTTATATTTAAACCTAGATAATCCCCTTTTCTCTGCCGTAATAAAATTAATAAACAAGTTAATTTTTAAGCAGGATTAATTAGCATAGGAAATTTATTATTTTTTGCTTTGCTTGCTTTTAACGCAGGGGTTATAAATAATTACTTATATTAATTATTATTTAAAAAAATAATAAAAATAGTTATTTACTATTAATTAGGCTAATAATAATAATTTAAAGGCTAATAGTACTCCTAAAAAAGGCCTTTTTTTTTTGCTAAATATAAATAGCGCCTGGATAAGTATAAAAATATTACTTTTTTAAATTTTTTTTTAAACTATAAGTATAGGAGTGTGGCTAAAATACATCCCTAATATTAAGGGAAGGCGCGTGTTTTAAATTACTTTTTAAAGTATTTTATTAATTAAACTAAAAATTTAGCGCAAGTAAAGCTAATGCTTTACTACTAGTTTTAAAATATTAATAATTTAAAAATTATTAAAAGTGTTAAGTATTTAACTTTTTATAATATATATATTATTTGCTAGGAAGCCTATAATTATTTAAATAATTTTTATTATATTCTTGCTACTTTAGCTCTAAATAAGGATAATAATAATAATTTTAAGTAAATAAATAAAAAAAAGTAAAAAGCATAGGTTAAGCTTACCGCATAGCTTTTAAAAAATAATTTTATATATTTTAAAAATTTTAATTTACTTAAAAATTATAATATTAATTATTTTTATAACTAAAATACCTATATTAATAAGTATTTTAAAACTATAATAAAACGCGAATAATAAAATAATACTAAAATAATATTTTTAGTTATTATATTATTATATTTTAAAGTATTAATTAAGAAATTAAAAATTAAGCAACAGCACCTGTATAATCTTATAATTAAGTATTATTAATTTATTTTTACTAGTAACTTTTTATGCTTTATTTAAGTTAACTTAAATAGCTAGGTAGGAACTAGTAAAACACATGTAATTAAATTAATATTTATATATTTATAAAATATAGTTATAACTACTAGCTAAAAAATACTAATTATCCATGTTGCTTTAACTAAAGTTACTATAAATATTATATTAGGGTATACTTTGCACGCACTTTTTTATTTTTTAGTTAATATTTAGTAAAAATATTAGGTATTAAATTTATAAAACTTGCGCGCGCTTTAAAGTCTTTTTTTTAGTATATATTATTTTATTATTAATAAAAAGTTTATGCTTGGGTTACTATGCATGCAGTGGATTAATTAATATTATTATAAAGTATTTTTTACTATTAATAATAACTTTAAAGAAATTAGTCTTATTCTTGCGGGTAATTTTTACTAATTACCACCTATTATATAGCACTTGTTATTTTATAATTAGCTATTAAAAAATATTAATAAGGTTCACGCACGCCATTTATATTATTTATTTAATATTATTATTAAGCTTAATATTATTTAGTAGCAGGACAAAAGTAATCTACATGTAAAAGCCTTTAAAACTATTTTATAAAATTTTTATTATAATAGGGTAATAAGAAATAATTAAAAACTTTTTTTATTATATATATAATTAATTTATAATAGCAAAAATAATTTTAAAAATATATTATGTATATATTATAAAAAAACTTAGGTTTTTACCTAAAATTATAACATGTTGCAAGATTTAAACCATGTAGTTTTAGTTATTAATACTATATATAAAAATAAAAATATAAAAACTATATTAACTAAAAATATAAGTAATTTATATTTTACTTTATACCTTTATATAAGCGCCTGTGTTATATTAATAAAAAATTATTAGGTTAAAGCTAGCCTAGTAAATAAATTTTTAGGCATTATTATTAATATTAACTAGTTACCTAACTTTAATTTATGTATAAATCTCCCAGGTGCTATTTATATTAAGTTTAATAAGTATATTAGGCCAGGTGTTATTATTAATAATAAGGATTATATTATACTTATTTATTTTTTAAAATAAGAGTTTACTAGGGTAAATATAACCTATTACCACACCTAGTTTTTTTTAACTTTTATATATATTATTATTATTTATAAGGCACAGGGAATAACTATTAATAAAGTAATTTTAAATATATTAAAAAAGGACTTTTTACTAGGTTTAATATATATAGCAGTTTTTTATATTAAGATACTAGGTGAAATTTTATTTAAAAAGCTTTTTAATTATAATTAATTTAAGCCTTAAGAGTTAAAGGCTAGTAATATAGCTTTAATATAATTAATAAATATTAAATACAGGGCTACTTAGCATATATATATATTTTATTTACTAAAATATTTAGCTAATTAATTTAACTATAGTATTTCCTAGTTTTTAAGCTTAAGCCTTTTATAATTAAGTTACCTAAATCTTAATATAAAATTAGTTTACTTATTTACTTATTTTTTTTTTACTCCTAATTATCTTTTTTGTATTACGGCTAGTTATCTTTACTTAGTTTTTATTAGTTAAATAGCTTACTTAAATATTTATAAATTAAATAAGGCTATAAATAAGTATAAAAAACTTAATACCATAAAGTTATGCTAGGTTTTTAATTTATAAATTTTTTAAATATTAAAATAATACTTTTTAATTTTTTTTATAATTTTAAGTACAGGGCCGTTCTAAATATATTTTAAATAATAGTTTTTTATTAATTTAAAGTTACTAGTTTAAATAAGCAAAAATTAACACTTTTTTACTAAGCCAAGCATATTAAATTTTTATATATAAAATTAAAATTTAAAAGTTTAATACTTTTTAAAGGTTTCTGCCGCTGTACTAGCCTAATTAAAAAGTAGTAAATTAACTTTTTAACTTTACCTAATTTAACTAACCTATAAAAAAAAAAACTTATATAACTATACCCAGGTTTAAACCTGGGACCTCCTAGTTTTTAAAAATATTTAAAAAGTAGTTTTTAGCCTAGTTTTAGCTTGTTTAAGCCTAAAAAAAAAAATAAGTGCTTTTTTAATAAAAATAGGTGCTTAATATTTTTTAAAGGCTTTAAGTATTTACATGGGGCTTTTTAAAGCTTAAAACAAGCTAAAATTACTTTTTAAAAGCTAAATTAGGTTATTATAATACTAGCATGTAACTATTAAGCTAAAAAGCCACGTAAGTTATTATTTACCTAATAAAATAACCTTTATTTTTTAAGGGGTTAAACTAAAGTACTGCAACCACTTAGCACGCGGGCTACAGGGTATTTTACATGGTCTGATTGGTCACCAGTCAAAGGGCTAGGCCTTTCGATCTCATGGACGGTCTATTTAAACCCCCGAAGAGCCGCTTCTAGGGCCCTCAGAGCAATCGCCGCCCCTAGGTCACCCCTCCAGTGTGTCACAATGCCTCGCGTACTTCGATCCGCCACTCGCAAGTCTGCCAACACAGCACCCGAAACGTCCCCAAACCTGAACCCGAACACTTGGTCGATTCCAACAGTCAACGCGAACGAGTCCGAGTCCAACAAACCCATCCATCTCATCCACCCAAAGCGAGGACCCCTCCCCGGCCTAACGACAGAAGAAACGCGTCTCCTGCGAAGAAAGCAAGAACGTCTCCGCTTACCCACCACCAGCAACGCTTTCGCAATGGACGCCTCGTCCTACGGACACCACATTACAAACGCCCTTCACGCGACGTTTATATTCGCGCAAGCTGAAGCCGGTACAGCAGTCTGCATCAGCTCCGACGGCTGGTTTTTTACCTGCGCGCACTGCTTCGGCGAGGACGAGGAAGAGTGGCAGACAAATCGGCGCAAGTGGGTTCTCGATCTTACCGGGCGCGCGGTACAAATTGAGTGCCGCGCCTGGGATATACGGCGAGATTCGGCGCTTGCAAGGGTTATCTGCGTCGAGGTGGAGACTGGCGTTCAGAATGTACCTCTCTTCACATCCATCCCCATCCCCTTGGCTTCCGCCTCCGCAGATTGCCCAAGTATAAACCAAACACCCATCGTCTGCATTGGTCAGCCCGGCGCCGACGATCTTGAGTCTTCAAGACCCCGCTCAACGGGCTACGGCTTACTCGAGATCTCGGAGGGCCAGTTGAATGGTCTGATTCCCGGTGCGGATCCGCAAGATAACTCGGATATTGGGACATTAAAGCATGACGCCTGGACGTACTGGGGACACTCGGGGGCGCCGCTGGTCTGTGCGCGGACTGGGGCTTTGCTGGGGCTTCACTCGTCGTGGGACGATACTACGGCAATGAGGCATGGGGTTCTGCTTGTCGCAATTCAGTAATTCTTGGATATCCATTTCCCTGCTGCAAAGATGAGTTCTGAAGACGGCGATGAACCGAGGCGGAACATAATTGATGGAGATTTGGTCTCCTAACTAGACACATTACAGAGACCCACTATCCCGTGCTGTGATCCGTCTGCGCTGTGTCTTGCTGGCCATAGGACAAAGCTCGGCTGGTCTGCTTCAGAGCTTGCGATCAACCTTCTCCCCCTCCTTCTCCGCCTTCCCCTTCTCCTTCGACTTGTCAACAATATCAAACTGCTTGCTCAAAATCGTTAACGTAAAGGTCGGGCCACAATACATCTCATTATTAAAGTTTTCCTCGCGCGTAATCTTCATGTACCCCTCCAACGGCCCCCATTTCTTAGTCGCTCCCCACTGATCATTAAGCTTAAGACACGCCGTCCTACTCCCCGCCGTCCAAGAAACCCCAACACCCACCTGTCCACGTTTAGCCTCGGCAGCCGTTGCAAGCGCCAGCGCATCCCCCTCCGCAATGGCCTTATCGATTTCCTCGCCCGTATGTGTCTCAAAATACACCTTCACCGCAGCAAGGGCTGTATCCCGCTGCGACCGGCTAAGACGATTCAGGTCGGCCGTCCTATACTCGAATTTAAAGCCGTGCGTATATCCAACAAGGAGGGTGCGGTCTTTCTTAGACAGGATGTTCGTGAGCGCGCTTGGAAGCGGGACCGGGATCCGGAAGCTGGGGATCTTGTCGTGGATGTATGTGAGGAATTTCGGCGCGGCGGCGGTATTTAGCTCGTAGTCGCTGTCTGAAGAGGACCAGCCTGTGTACGCGCCTATGAGGGCGCCGAAGAGGATGGCGGTGTAGTAGAGGGCGGAGTGGAGGTTCATGGTGCGGTTGGGACTTGCTAATCTGGGTTCTGAGAAATAAGCGAGAAAGATGAAAGACAATTGGAATCGCGGGGATACGAGGCTTTTTATAATCGCTAGTTTGTTGATTGCTGATGACGGCTGTGCGGGCGGGCCTAGAGTACGGAGTACATACGCCGCGTCGCCGGGGCGCAGGGCAGTGCCCACAAGGCTGTGTTGCCTGGTGTTCCGACTGGCTTAGCCGCTTGTTGCCCGGGCCCACTGGCAATGCTAAGCCTCAGCCAGCACGGAAGAGCCAGCACCAAAAGGGAGGCGGGGCCGAGGAGAGCGGGAGGGGGTACATAGAGAGCCCACCTGTTGGAGTAGAAAGTTGAACTTGGAGAGTTTGCCCGATGGCGAGTTAACAACAAGGCACTGATCTACCCGCTGCTACCTAGAGGATTTGAGCTTTTGCAGAGCACAGTGCGTAAAGAGTAGTAGGCTGCATTTATGATAATCAGACATGACCAATGGATGGTTGAAATTATCCGTGCTATGTCTGTACTCGGTAGAAAGCGTAGACCATGTCCGAGATTCAAAAGCTCCTACCCGCATATATTGCCCCTTTATTTGTGGGCTATTCGTGCCAGTCAAGACAATGGAGCCCTTGAAGATACCAGGTATTAAGCATATTCTTATTTTTTGCCAGAGACACACGGTAGCACCATAAGGCGCAATATATACCTATTTCTTTCGGAGAATTCATTCAAGTGTGATATTACATGTCCTTTGGAAATAAAGCTTCTCTGCCAGGAACTTGATTCTATTACATTGCAAATTCCATTTCAGAATCTGAGCTTGCCGGCGGCCTAGTACAAAAGTGAATATCCTAGGAAGCTTGTTTTACTTGTTGCGTGTTATTTATGTAGGCTATTTATGTAGGCACGTGAGACTGAACTGACACCTGACGCGTAAGGCACACTATAATGTACTGCTACTAAATCCAAATCATGACAACAGTTGTTCAAGCTATCACTGGCAATAAGCGACTATCATCTTTCATTCATCATAAGCGTCGTCATTGCCATATATCCCGCCATGCGCCTCCGCCATGTGCTTGTAAATCCTGCCAGGAATCACCTCCTCCCCGCAGAAATAACACAGTGGACGCCGCAGTCTTCAACGGGACACTCCATATGGCCGCAACCTGATACCTTCTCCGTTATTATTCCGCACTGCGGACACGGTCGAATCCTGCGACTGCCGGCGGAACTGTCCTCATACTCAGATCAGAGCTCTTCCTCGCAGCTCTCGCACGTCCATTCCCGAAGCCCAGGCGGCATTCCAAGGGCGCAATCTCGTTTCATAAACATGGCCTTTTGCGGTAGAGCATACTGAGCACCATGCAAACATCCACGTTCCTTGCGTTTCAACTGCCGGATTCACATCTTTGACCGCGCGCATGCCTTTTCCGTACTTGGTCAAGGTGCGTGGAGCGGGACAGCGCCGACAGAACGGACATGCAAGGGCAGCTGTGTTGATGACCACACCGGATCTGTTCCTCCCATACCACACGGCGCAGCAGGATGCACAAACGCGCTGGAGGCACCCTCGGCGACCGCAAGCTGGGATCACAGCGGAAGGCCGGAAGGACGAAAAGCAGAGAGTGCAGTCTACCTTTGCCGCTTTGCCGCTGTACACAAGATCCTTGACATGCGAGATAAGGCGCTTCGCATCGAAAACAGGCTTTCCTCGAAGGGTCAAGGGGCTGTCCTGGGGATTGAAAAGGGAGAACCTTTCCACGAACTGCTCGCTTCCTATTGACGAAATGAGATGGTGAATCGAACGATTCGTGAACGGGGATTTGCCAGGATTCTCCGAATCATTTGCCAGCCATGAAAACCGGGTTTCAGCCGCAAGAGCCCTTAAAGATGTTTTGGTGCCTACTATGGTCTCCCGGCCGGACTCAGGCAAACAAAGATGCATTAAAAGTGCTGGGTTGATACTCCTCCGGCCATATTATTTGGTTACTACACTTGCTGCAATTGATAACGTGCGCCGTAAGTTTGCCGATGCTGATGCTATTGGTGCTCTGTTCTTGAGAGTAGTGACACTTGGACGGACCCGGCGCGATTCCATGTTGTACACAATGTACTGGGGCCGGCAGGACACTACATCTCACTCGACCCAGGTGGCGTCAGAACTAGGAGTTGTGTCGTGCGAGGCTCCTATCTCAATGCGCGCCTTGTTTGAGTCTAAGGACTCCAGAGGATCAAGCCCCAAACAAATGCCACATTTCGCGTCAGGGCCCATGATAGTCACAGAGCGAGGATACTGGCACAGTTGACAGGTGAACAGTGGTCCGATGGGGCAGACTGCCTTCTTGGGTGTCCAGGGAATGTGGATAGTCGGCTCGGCGTCAAGGCTGATCTCGAGCGTCTTGAGGGCAACCAGACATTCGAACAAGGCAACGTCCAATGTCTTGAAAAGCCTGTGGGGACTGTTCGGCTTTTCGGCATTTGACTCTTTTCGCGCCGTTTTGTGTGTCTGGTTGGCATCTAGGAGAAGGTTCAAGCAGCCGAGAGGCCATGTTTCCTGTACATGGACATTGTTCCAGTTATCTCTGTAACTATACATCTCATACTCTGCCGCATCGGCCAGGAAAGTAACACCCATCCGGACAGCAAGTGCGGCAAGAAGCGTTGCGGCCCTGGCGCTCAATCGCGTCCCGGGAACTATAGTGTGCAGCAAGATCTTCTAAAACTGGCAGTCATATTTTTCGCCCGTTAGCTGGATGGGGATCGGCCGCACCTGGTTGGTATTTGACTTCGTGACGTGCTCAGGCATGTTCTTGGGCTCCTTGACGTACGTCAGTCGCGTGAGGATTCGCCCTAAGCGGCGTAAAATGGGGGATTTGCAAGACCTGCCGATTTCCAGGAGCTCGCCTCTATCCAGGCCGTCAAGAGATTCTCCATCCGCAAATTCCACTGTCGGGCCGAAGAATACGCAGGGAAATCGATCAGTGTCGGAGATGTTGTCTATGATGGACTGGATCTCCGCTGAAAATTGTACCACTCCTCTAGCCACTGCTCCATCACTTTTTTCTTGTCTGCATTCTGGATATTTCCCACTGCCTTGCCGAAAGCATTAACAAGCTCGTCTCGTCCGGACCACGCCCTATTCTTGCAAACAACGCGCCACAATGCTCCAAATAAGGGGTTGATGGCTATTGCACCGACGTCTTCAGTAACGATTCGCTCTAGATGCTGAGAGGCGATCTCGCGGTACGCCGAGTCGTTTCCCAACGCTCAACCGGATTTGTGGCCGGGGTCGGCTTTTTGGGCAGCTGCTGAAGGACGCTTGACCCGATGGCAACTTCCGTGATACGGATTGAACTATTGCGGGTGTACGGCACGGTAAAGAGTCGTCTTGCTTTTGGGTCCTTCTCGTCTTTGAGGTCCTTGATTCCTTCCGTCGAGACATATAAAAACTAGCGTCCCGGTAATCCAACATCGATGCTGTGCGCGCTAGGCTTCTACACCCTTATCCATGCTAGCAGAAGCTCAATAGATGCCTTGGATATTGACTCCGACGTTAAATCGTCGAGCCTTATACACGCGCCGCCGGTCATCCCGCAGAGGAAGGTGTAGTAATTGGCGCAGCGACGCGGCATATCCAACTGCAAGAGTGCAAAGACCTGTGCCCCTTTCTCTCCGTACGCTACCATAGTACTTTTGCCACCGATACCCAATCCAAGAACGAAGGGCCAAATCCGTCGTACGATTGCGGCTGCGAAAGGGCGCGGGCTTCGGTGTCGGCGTTGGTCAGATGCTCAGGCTGCGGTATTGTTCCGTGAGGGGGAGCATCGGTGTAGAGGAGGATTACGGTATCGTCTTTGCGTCCGGTCGCATCAGAGAATACGCCTCGGCCAACGCTGTCTTTGCGGCTTCTGGGTAGTCGCCGCCGCCGCCAGCCTCCAGTGATTTGGTGAATGCGATGACATCCGGCTGATTTGCAGACTCTTGTGTTGGGGACAGGCCAAGAGAAAACTTGATTAGCTCTTCCCGGTCTGTGTAGTCACGGTACGCGATCACTCCCAGTCGGGAGAAGCAGCTGGCCAGGGCGGAGATGGAGATAATCCGAGGAAGAGAGGTATTCAACGATGTAAGAAAATCTTGCATTGATGCTGTCGCATCGGCGACGATGAGCAGGTTGTATTTCTCCAGGGTGGATGATCTGTGGAGAAACGAGGAATGGCGGGGAAAGCAGCATTTTGTATACATACTGACGAAGGCAGCAAATGGATGGAGCTGGTGAGTCAACCTTCCCTCAATGACAGTGAACAACCATCTTGATTGGTTCTGAATCAAAGTCCTTGGCTGATTCAATTGGGGGCAGTGCTCCCTGACTGAAATATCAAGCCGGTCTCTTCAGGACACGTCAAGATTGTTCAGCTGCTGCTGGAAGCGGGAGCAAATGTCAATGTCGCCACTGTGGACAGGATACTGTTCTGCGCTGAAGCGCCCTCAACGGTGATCTGAGACTCAGCCATGTATAAACAACATGGGTAGGTGAGGCAGTGCTGGGGGGATTCGGGGCGTTACCTTTAGAGTGCTGTTAGCCAATTCTTCTAGCATGTCATTTTCTAGAAATCGAGTTGAAGCTTGAGGCCATGCGTGTGGAAGAGCACTGGAGGAAAGTCCTAGATAAACATCTTTCTTGCTTCAGGACTTGAACCCAAGAAGGCTATACAGACAGCGAGTGAGTAGGAGCACGGCTATACAAATCCTAGGGGGTAAGACAGATGCCTGTTAAAGGAGCCTAGACTTCTATGTTCTGGGTATTTCAGGGGATGGCTGTATGTATTTCAAGTAAAGGTAAGTCCCATAACAGTTCGATAAAAGTTCAGGACATTAATACTCGATTATCAGTTAAACTAGGCTTGCAGTCAGCCTCAAGGGCGCGCGTAAGCTGGTACATTGGTCTCGTGACTGGGGGATTGCTCTGGTTGTGTTGTGCTTCTCCTGCTCCTTCTCGAATATTCTCTCCACCACACTTCCTCAAACCACTTGCGTCCAACGCAATCTTATTAGATAGCGAAGTACGCTGCTTGCTTTGTGCCGCCTACTTGTCTGATCTGGTCATCTAACGAAACATTCCAGTTCCCATCAGTTTTCCTTTTCCCCAGCTCTATCGTCTCTTCGCTCTCGCCACTCTCATTGAAGCCACTTGCGTTTAAGTTGCTCCAGGGAAGAAAGCAGAGTGAGTTGCTTGCCCCATTTCAGCTACTCGTGTCATTCGATCTTCTAAACGAGCCTCCTAGTTCCCAGTTCCCTTCAGTGTTCCTCGTCTGAGTCTCTTAACTCGCCGCACCGCCGCACCGCCGCACCATGAGCTCCAACACACCATCAACCCCTCCGGCCGACGTGAACGCTCCCACCGACCCCTTCCACATCCCCGGGCCGTGCTGCCATTATCCCTCCATATGCTCCCATTCCAAAAACGCCATCGCACCCCCGGAACCAGGCTCCACACTCATAATCCGCGACGCAGAATCCGGCCTCGTGATCACGACTGGCAAAGACGGCCTCTTGCGCCTAGCCCCTCTCCCCCGCGAAGAATTCCACCGTGATCCCAATTTTGATAGCAAAAACAAACCTCCGCAGCCGCGCAGCTACTGGTGGAACTGTACCAGGAACCAGGACGGCTGGCGGGCATTCCAGAACGCGGTTTCGCACCGGTACATGATGCACGATCCTTGGGGGAACCACCAAGCGGGGACTGCAGCACCTGGTAGGATCTTTCGTTCTTGGCTGCTGTTTCGCATCTGTGAACACCCTGCTGGTGGATACTTGCTGCTTACAAGGGCGTCGCGTAATGCGTCTCTGGTGAAACTTGGGGCCGGAGACGGTTTGAAGATGGGAAACCCTAGGGGGGCACAGGGAGTGCGTTGGGAATTCATCAAGGTTCCGCGTGAGGACATCAATCCCCTTGTAGTGAGCCTAGTGAAGCAGGAGCTGACTTTTCGGTAGTGCCCCATACGAACACGTCCCGAGTACTGCCATGAGTTCTTCGATCGACTCTTGAATACCAACAATGAAGTCCAACTACACCCAGAAGTTCTGCCTTCAAAATTGTTAAGACGAAATTAGGAAAGAAACTAGCCCATTATCCTAGTGACATTGCCCTGCTCGCGGGAATTCTGATAAGCCCCAGCGCCTCAATCACAGGCAGCCTTAAGAGTCCCTATCTTTGTTCAACCCATCAAGATACATGGTCATCATCTGCAATCATAAACCCAATGGAGGTTCCGGTGGTGAGTTCCGATACTCAAACCTCGTGACCCAGGAAGTCTATCCCGAGATCAAGCTCGTCATCACTTTCCGAATTTTCACTCGGCCAAAGCCACACAACCTTCGCCATCAAGACGCCGTCGAAAACGACAATCAAAATGAAATCCCATAGCCTCAACGCACAAGAGCAACGGGCTCGCTCTCTCCGCCGTACCCTCGCTGAGCGGCAAATCGTGGAAGACAATGCAGTCGCACCGCCACCATCATCATCCACGACATCGCAAACAGCAGGGCGCGATAGCAGCACGTCACCAGCGGCGGATCATCGCCCAGATAGACCTCCAAGTCCTCAAGTCCCAGCTCAGGCCCAGCCTACGTGCCCCTACGCCGGGGGGACATTCATAATCCGGCACATCAAAACAGGCCGAGTGATCTCGCTGCAAGACGGCATGCTCAGACTCCACGACGCAGGGAAAGCTCATGATGGTGGAAGCCATTGGCGTTGCATCGAGAGTCCGGATCTATGGCTCGAGTTCAGGAACGCCGTGTCTGCCAGGTTTATCGAGACTGATTGGTGGCAACAGCGACAATTTGGCGCCACTGGTATATTGCACAGTGACGACGCCAAGTTCTGTGTGCGGCCGCACCCGGGTGGCGGGTATCGCATGCTTGTCAAGTACGAGACTGGGTTTAGGCCTATGCTTACAGGTGGCAATTTGGGGGATCGGCTTGTTGTTGCCGAGGTCGGTGTTTTTGGGTCATTGTGGGAGTTTCTCGAGGTCTGAGCTTCGGCTTTCTTGGTGTGACCTTGTTGTGAGGAGCAGGGAGGGCAACAAGTGTGCCGGAATTGTTGTCTTGAAGGTGTTACCGGTAAGGGTGGAAAAGGGGGACTCCCAGGTCAGTCTTGAGAATACTATAATCATTCAAGCTTGTTAGACACAGATCCTTAACTTGCTTGACATTAAAGGCTACTCAGAAAACTGTTACCTGAGTCAATATGTTATGATGTTTAAGGACGGAGAGCACCGTAGCATGATGGCCAGGGGCGTAGATTAACAGATTAAGAGAATCAAGTTTGCAATCTGCTCAGAAATGCCTCGAGGCTAACTAGTCTCGTGACCGTGGTCCGTTTGTGTTGTGTTGCTCCTCCCCCGACCTCTTCATTTCTCTCCCCCCACTCTCCCACAAGCCAAGTTCATTCAAATTGTTGTTCAGCAAATCGGACAACAGCTTAAGTTATTACTTTGTCTGGCTGTGTAACCAATTCTTCTTATCAGATCATCCTAGTTTTCCACGTCGCAAACGACGCCCTCACTAAGAACCCACAACCTGCATCAATCATGAGCTTCGAGAAACTATCGTTGTCCCCCATCGATGATTCCATCGGCCAAGATACACCCACCCATACAACTCGCAGCTCCTCGCCGTGCGCCGATGCTAAAATGCCTGCCTCCCCCGTCCCAGTCGCCGCATGCCCGGAACCTGGCTCGACCTTCATCATCCGCGATCCAACCACCGGCTACGTTATCACCTTAATATATGGATATCTATGTCTGCTCCCCGGCTTGAAAAGCGACGGTCTCACATGCAGAGGCAAAATTGGACGTGGGAACTGGTGGAGTTGTGTGCGGAACAAGGGTCTCTGGCTGGGTTTCCAGAACGTTGTCTCGGGCAACTTCATCGGACACAATGGCCCAAAGGGGAACGATGAAAGGAAATGGACGTTTGTGGCCACTGCGCAGTGTCTTGGGGAGTGGGAGTTCTTCTGCGCGCGCCAGCATCCAAGCGGCGGGCATGTTTTGCTTGTCTGGTTTAATGGGGGTTTTCGGGCAATGAGGGCTGGTGAACAGCAAGGGGGGGGAGTTGGTTGTCGCTGAGGAAGGGCAGGACAGGACGCCGTGGGAGTTTATCAAGGTTGACTTTGGAGCTTAGGGGCTTTCAGCTATGCAATCAATGTAGGTGAAGCTTGTTTGCTGGTCATTGATTCCTTTCATATGGAAGCTGATATTGTGTCATAGCTTGAGTGTTCTCGCTAGATTCAAGATGCGTATTGAAAATTCTATCCCGAGGCGCATTGCGTTACGATCCTCGCACACCTGCAATAAGACCACATTGGTTCCCGTATCTCCGCATTTTTGACTGCCGCTTGAGGGCGAGAAGTCGAGAGGGGAGACATCGGTCCCGAACTCCCTAGTTACTGAGCATGCAAAGCATCGAACAAGTATCTTGCGTACAATAAAAATGTCTGTAATTCCAATAAGCGAACAAGCGCTAGCAGGGACCGGACAACAGCCTTCAGACCCTCCGCCCGCGGGCGGACCATCACTCCAGCCTATTATGATAGAAGTGACCACAGCTACAATGTGGGGGGAAGCTTGTCAGTGAATGCCCCACTTCAATATTGGGACGGGGCCAGGGAGGCGAAAATCAACAAGGGCGCTTCATTCACTATCACTTGCTCCTATTTAGTGTTTCCATTCACTCGCTTCGCAGCTGGTCTGCCGCCTATAAATACTCACCGACCGACCCGACTTTGACTTGCTCAGACACCACCTCATCTCAACACAATACTCCATCACCTTCTGAGCAGAATCCGCATCTTCTTTTAGTCTCAAACATAGAAGATGCCCGCAGATCAAAACAATCAGTCGCCCCCGCCTGATGGAATGGAATGGGAAAGGACTACCCCACCCGAGTCCCAGCTTTCGCACCTTCCACGGGAACTAATCCATCTCATTGCCAGCAATCTTGACGTCGCGGACCTGAACTGTTTCGCCCGTTCATCAACCTATCTTAATGACCTCTTGTCGCCTTCTCTCTACCGGATTGGCGCAACATACATACGAAATGACACGGACGCAACAGCGCTGATATGGGCCGTCAGGAATGGTCTCAATGTAGCCGTGGAGCGCCTGTTGCTGAATGGTGCTGATCCCTACATTTTGACTCCTCGGCGATCGAACAACGGTTCGTCGACTGCCTTCCACGCAGCTGTCCGCCGCCGCAATACCGAAGCGCTCTCACTTCTACTCCAAGTCGGTCCCTGTCCCTCGACCATTGATACGTCCGGAAAAACGCCGCTTCAAATCGCTTGTTTCCCCGGCGGTCTCGGCATGGTCCGTATGATCCTAGCTGCTGCACCGGAAAACTGGGTGGATTACAACCGCGACTGGTATTACAGTATGTCGATCGCCGTTACCAAGAACTGTGAAGATATTGCCCGGTGTCTTTTGGAAGCTGGACGCCGGACAAACCCGACCCCTGCCCGGGCGCTGAAGCCTGAGCTTATTATCCATGCCACAAGAAAGGGTCACTTGGGCATGGTGCAGTTACTTGCTGAGTTTGGATGGAATGACTGGGGACTTGTGAGCCATGAGACAAAATTTATCACGCCTCTACATCTTGCCGCAAAAAAGGGACATGCGGATCTCGCCGAGCTGCTGATTTCCTACGGAGCCGACGTCAATGCTGGGGATAGTGAGGGTTTGACCCCTTTATGGGAGGCCGTGGTGCGCGCGAGGTCCGCAACTGTTGACGTGCTCCTTAAAGCTGGGGCTGATGCCAATGCCATCTTCCCGGATGGCAACAAGGGGTCGCGAACTCTGCTACACATATCCGCCATCAATGGAGTTGTAGCCATTGCACATTTACTACTCAGTGCTGGAGCTCGGGTAAATGATGTTACCAGATACAAATGTAGTGCTCTGAATTATGCGGCTGTCAGAGGCCACCTTTCTGTTGTTGAGCTTCTGCTTGATTGGGGCTGCGATATGAATGCTATTAAAGACTACGGATACACCCCTTTGGCTCAAGCCGTCGCCGGAGGACACGACAGAATAGTCGCCCTCTTACTCTCCCGCGGCGCTCATGTCGACGCCAAAGAAGACGCGCTCAACCCCCTGACCGCCGCAGCCATACACAAGCGTGTCAGTCTAATTCAACCTCTTGTCAACGCAGGATTCATGGTCAACCCTGGCCCCTCATTCAAGCAAGAGAAACCTCCGGTTTTCCACACGACTGACCTAGCGGTAATCAAAGAATTTATCCGCTGTGGCGCAAACGTCCGCATCTTGATGGAAGATGGTTCATCCATACTACACCATGTCGCGAAGAAAGCGGACCCTGAAACTATTCAGTTTCTGATTGACCAAGGAGCGGACATTAATGCTTTCGGACCCAACAAAGAGACCGCCCTGCATGTAGCAGTGGCAAACGAAGACCGGATGTTATTCAAAAGGTGCAAAGTCCTCGTGTTGGCAGGGATCGACCTAGACGCCCGCAACGCAGACGGGGAGACTGCCATCCACTATGCCATCCGCCATGATCGATGGGCATTGGAAGACCTCCTGGATGCGGGTGCAGATGCTAATGTACCGGATCTGAACGGCACAACACCATTGCTCTTCGCGGCTTCGATCGAGGAAAGATGCTACATGATTGAGTGGCTGGTCAAGGCCGGCGCCGATGTGACAGCCGAAGATAAGTCTGGTCAGACAGCCCTGCATTATTTCGCAGTCTATCGCATCGAAGAGGCTTTCGAGATGCTTCTGCTTAGACATGAGGCCGTGGGACACAATTACATGAAGCCAGATGCTGAAGGCTTGACGGTCGCGGATAAAGCTGTTAAATCCCTATACCTCCCTATTTTGACCTTGCTCTATAATAGGAAGATTAACGGGATGGACGTTTTGGACGCCGAGCAGCGCGTGTTGGTCGAGGACTTGCTGCAAAAGCAAACGGACAAATGAGCGTCTCTTGGCTTTTTGGGAGTATCATTCCAAGGTTGACTCTATTCATTATGATGTTCCTGGACTGTACTTAGCTTAGCCTACCAACGATGATAAGTCATCTCTATTCGCTTTTTGCTTAACTGCGCAGGCTAAGTATCATGTGGTACTAGCATTCGCACTTCCCCCTTCTCCCAGCCGATGCATAAGCATCTTGATCTCACAACTCTATCATAGGCTGCAGGGAGTTATGGCGCTCTTGCTTTCTAGTGTATATAACAGTCTCTCGTCCTCCGTGCCTGAAGTCATACAGACAGATCTGGCAGCCGCTCGAAATGACATGGTGAAGGTACGCGTAGTTCTACCTGAATGTTCTGACTATTACAGCAGAAATCCAGCAAATTGATCCCGTCAATCCTGCTCCGTCCGCATGTTAGGGAGTTCCACCTGTTTGGATCGGTACTCAACTTAGATATAACCAGGATCTAAGGTCTTCTGCAGAAATATATAGTGTACGGGACTAACATAAAGTTGCACGATCCTAAGTTTGACTTTGGCGATGGGATGTTTGTACCTTCTAACTGTTTCTTGCATATTATCGACATCATGCAGATTCCGGGCTAGGATGGGTGAGTATAACCGGGTTGTATATATGGTAGCACGTAGCTTTCCCAAGGTCGACTATATACATTGCCGGCCAGATTGAATCGGCAGTAGATACAAATCAACACATGGCGTGGGAGATCGGTCATCCTACCATATATTTGATATACAATTTCGCCAGATTGAGTGCTAATATATATGTCGTTGATACGGCATTTCCTTGAACTAAAGGCAACGAACAAATCGGGCGCAGGGCTGCTACCAAGCTATCCAACCTTAGATGCGACTCTACGTGATGCGGGCTATTCTTTCCTCCGAATACGTGATAAGCCTAGGGGCTTGTAGGATCCGAGATCCATACATTATTCCTGACACTGAGTTGTTTACACCACCAGCTCAGGAAGAGGAAGAACGCAGAGCATTGGTTTAGTGGTTGACTTCGGGAAAAGCACTAGGCAGTAGCGGAGTAGACCTAGTAAGGTTGTAGACTTGTTGCTGTAGGAAAGAAATAGTATGGCCAGTGGCTCCCCTTCGCTGAATGAGCAGACGAATCAATGGCCGAACGGCTTACTGCTGTCCTGCCGAGATATAACGAAACAACGAGCTATGCTCGGTATTTGCCCAAAGACTCCCACTGGTCAAAATTTGACTTGCCCTAGCCGCTGGCCTCTTGGACATCCGTCCTCCGCTTATCTTGCCAATATGAGTGAGGGCTAAGGAGATGTCGTAGGGGTTATCACCATGGCAAAGTATTACGAGCCAGGACGATATCTACAAGGTCCATTTCGCACGAATCGACAAGCACGAGGTCGTTCTCTACAGTAAGGTGGGGGCTCCAGGGCATGCAAACTTTGATTCAAGAAGTCTAAAGTATTATTATTCAAGTGTTGAATCGGTGCTAAAGAACTCTGCTTGGCAGTCTGCGTTGGCGCGCAGTGCGATTGCAAGCAGGATGGGGGTAACGCGTTCCATATCGGTTCGGTCCAAGGTGTTCCACGGGCCATACTGGCGCATTCTCATGAAGGCGTCTGGACTCTCTTTTTCGTCTCTCAAGAACGCTAGGTAGGCCTCGTCATACTCCGCGACGATGATAAAGATTTCATGTCTATCCTGGGAAACATGGATGCGTCGACCACGAGTATTCAGAAGCCCACCGTGGTCGGGGTAGCTCTTTAGCCAGGCAACTGCCTGTGCAGCTTCCTGCATGCAGATAGGGTTGGGCTTCTTGTATCGCCGCGCTGCCTTGACTTCGATCAAGGCACGCACCCTCTTCTCTTCATTGTTGGAGGACATGGACCCGGACACGACTTCGAGGTACCCATCTGTTCGGGCTTCATACGAGGTATGCTCAAAGTCGGCCTTTAGCGCGATGCGGTGAAAGCTCCATTCAAGAGGTAGACCCGTATGCACGGTCAGCGCAATCAGATAATTGACCAAGGCCGCGTTGACAATCTGCTCGTCCTTTGTCGGCGGCCACATCAGGGACTGGAGTTCGGGCTCGCCGGGGCTGACCACAGTGTAGGGACTTGGTTCTGTATCTGGAGGACCGTCATCATACTCATCCTCGAGAAGCTTTCCAGTGGGCGTTTGGGGCGTGGTCGCACTGATCTTCATATCTTGCAGTCTCTCGCGGAAGCCCTTCAGCGGTGGCTGGCCCTTGGCGAACTCCGGGTCCGTGGGGTTGAGCCGGGTGTTATAACGATGCTTCACTGGGGTCACGGCCACGCTGGGCCTCATGTCTTCGGATCGGATGCCCTCCGCTTGCCGCTGGCATAGCTGGGCAACGGCAAAGCTGGATTCTGGGATCTGGGGGGATCGCAGGGATTCGCGGTATGTTCGCCAGGAGTTGTATTTGGAGAGTCGGTCGTCCGCTTCCTCCTGCCACTCCTTCAGCCCAGAAAGATCCCAGTCGAAGGCTTTACCCTTGACCTCTATCCAAAGGACTCGCATAAGCAAGTATTGTCGCTCTTGGATTCCCGAAGCAGAGGTGTGCTTCGAGGTATGAAGGGATAGATTCTGTATGCCGAGCTCCTCGACACGCTTCTTCCATAATTCAATCGTTGATGGCAGGGATAGGTTGATAGCCATTCGTTCTATTCTCGGCGAAGCGAAGTGAGAGTCTGGTGAACGCGATAAGTGATACAACCGGATGGCAAGGCGAGTGCAAGACTCGCTGACGCCGAGGACGATAAATACCCATGCTTCTTGACACGGGCCCACAAGGAGCGACCGTGGTCAGCGGCTAAGCGCTCTCGACCCAGCGCCTCCCAGCCATTCAAAGAAATGAAGTTTTCTGTGTCACTGATCCTGGCGCTTCCAGGAAAGTGACAGAGGGGAGCGGCAGCCAATCAGCGGCCAACTTGTCCTGTAACGGCGGCAACGCACGTGACCACAACAAAGGCTCTCCTCCTTCTCCCTTCTCCTCGCCACTTTCTCGGACATCCTCCCCCTCATCACCATCCTCATCCTCATCCTCATCACCAACAGCTACACTACATCAATATCTCAGACTCAACATGGCCGACCCAATTCTGGCTGAAAGAAAGAGACGTCGCCAGCAACTCAGCGATATGTACGAAGCAGTCAAAACACTCGGTCCGCGACTCTCCTTGGCGCAACTGGTGGAAGTCAACATCCAGCGCGAGGAAATGAGCGACCGAATGACCCTGCTTGACAGTACCGGACCGCAATTCTTCACCCCCTACAAAGGTCCAGTATCAGCCCCGGAAATCTACACTCTTCAAGACTACGTGGCGTTGGACGAGGACGCCTACCACAATGCACGCGAGCTGGCTTGGTTCCTGCGACAGTATTTCCTGCAGTGTCAAGGCGCACTCCATTACACCACCAGTCCGCCCGGCGTCTCGTACTCCGAGTAAGCACTCATGACCCTTTCCTTTCTCGTTCGATCGCACCTAACTATTTCTCGTCTAGCCTGGGCGATTTTGGCTCCGGCGACCTGGCCGAGTACACCTTTGGCTCTGCCTGGGAAGTCACTGCTGCATGGCATGCATTACACAGCGGGGCACCGCATTCGGTGCTCCTCATGCGCTGCGAAATGCCCGACGGCGACGCTCTTTTCCATGGGGAAATCAAGACCGCGATCCGCGTGATGCACGGGCAGCTGAGGAGATCGTCGACTCGGCCCCATCTTGTTGCCCCGGTACATGGTCCCCAGTCACTTACCAGTGCCTACAACTGACCTTGTTGCAGGTCTTGCTGTTTTCAGCGATCGGGCAGCATCATGTTCGGATTATCGAAGCCTATCACGACGGCAAGAAACTCATCGTGCGCACAACTCCGCTCATCGACATGCGTAAGCGAGACGAGGAGCGACTGATCGGACTAACAAGATGGTGTTTGGGCGGTCCAAGTTCAAAGTCAACAACCTAAGCCTGTGGACCGCCCTCCATCTGCGATTGAACATTCCAGGACTGATTTTGTTTTGTCTGTGACCAAGTGTAGTGTAGGTGGTACCTAGAGTAACAGGCACCACCACGTGACCAGCCACCCTTGACTCCCCCACTCCTCCTCCTCTCTCCTCAATCTTCTTCATAAATACCTATTCCACCCAGTTTCAATCCGCGTCTCACCCATCCACCGAGCCTTTTCTATAATCCTCCACTCCTTACGTCGATCTTCCATTCTACAGAGCTCTTTTGCAGAACTTGGTAACTCCAACGCCCACTCAAGCAAACATGCGCCTCGACCTACGAAGCGAGCGAAAGAGTCGCCGCCAAAAGCTCACTACAATCTACAATGAGCTCACCCGCTCAAACCCCCGTCTCTCAGAAGCCGATCTCCAAGCACTTGGCATACGACATACGACAATGTCTCTCGAAGGCGACAACGGGCCGAAGTTCTTTTCGGCTTATCATGATATTCTCCGCAAACCGGCGCCGGCCCTCGAGGAGTACGTTGACTGGGAGGGAGTCATCGGCATGAAGCCTTATTATAATGCGGACACCCTGGCGAGTTATTTGATTGGATACGCTTTTAGGTGTGAGATGCCCAACAGTGCATCGAGCCCCCGTGGAATCTGCTATACGGAGTGAGTCTTCCCATACCCCAGATTCAAAAGGAAAAATCAACTACTAAGCGCTGTATAGCTACGGTGACCTTGGTTACGGATGCCTGGCGGAGATTACCCCTGTAGGCACTCGGTGGCGAGTGAAAACACTCTGGTACATGTTGAAAGAGACAGCTCCGCATATAGTCTTCGTGATGTACAGCGAGATGAGCCTCGACAATAAAGACGGATATGAAACGCCGCTATTCTACGGCGAGGTCAAAGCACTTATTCGCGTTATGTACCTCCGCTTGAAGCAACCTTTCTTAGACATGAATGTCCTTGCTCCGGTACGTCTGATTGGTTGGCTCTTTATCCTATCTAGTGCTATGAGCTAACGTGCTACAGGTTCTGTGTTTCTCAGCCATTGGACATCACCACCTTAGAGTTATTGAAGCGTATCATGACGGCGTGGATCTGGTGGTTCGCTCAACTCCGGTTTTCAATATGCTTCATCGGGATGATGAGTTGTTGATGGCGCTAGCGAAGTGCCTGCTGGGTGGAGCAAGTGATAAGCCTACAAGCTGAGTGTTCCGGGTAGGCTCTTCGAAGCCGACTTTTCTGGTTCTTAATGCGGTTATGCTCCATGAACTGTTGACCTCTCATGCTGAGTCCAATATCTTTCGCGTTACACACTCCCACCTCCTAGCTGTGATACTGTGCCGAATTCCAAAGCTGCCTAGCCCGAGAGTATTTGGTTACTGGGATTATTTAGTAGTTCGACCAGGGACCTTGCGTTGTTGCTTATCTCCTGTTGCGAAGCGACCACTCATCCCATGTAGTACCTAGATACACAGAAAGAAACTTGCACGTTGATCAAAGACTATTGCCTATTCTAACTACTACCTACGTGATAGAGAGGCGCCTTGTATAGTCCTAAGCATTATATAGCTACGACATCTTCCAAGTCGCATGACACCTCAGGATCCCATATCAGATCAACAAGCCCGTCCCGCTGTACCATCCATAAAGCAGCCTGCGCCAAGTGAAAGCGGACTCTAAAATCGCCCTGGTCCTTGGAGACAGGCAGTATTTTTGCAAGTAGGGGCAGCTGTTGAGGGACTTATTGGTGTGTTTCCACTAAACGAGTCGATCAGGCACTTATTGACAATGAATGTCACTCCCCCGGTGACCTAGGAACCAGTAGGCAACAATGTGCCATCAAGTTGGAGTGTCACTGCCCTTATAATGAAAGGTTTTCCGTATAATAAACTCCTTTGATCTCAGCCGGATGTGATGCCTTTTCTCAGTCAAGAGCTAATCATCAACCACCCTTAATCATCCAACTTTCTCCTTCTTGCTCTTCTTCCCCCCTTCTCTTTAACTCGCAACCATCCTCAATCCTGCCTAAATCCAACTGAGCAACTCACAATCATCAAAACTCCACAATGTTCTCCCGATCCAAGCCAAAACTACCTGAAGCGATAACCCGCTGTTACCAGCTTAAGGTTATCCACAATGCCCTCGGCAAGCGCATCCGCATCCCATCGTCCGAGCTCGCGGGGCTCGACATCCGGCGTGAAGTCATGGATCTTAAGGACAATGGACCACATTTCTTTGCCCCGTATAGAGACGTTATTCTCAAGCCACGATATGACGATAGCGACGATGAGATCGACGACGAAAGTGATGACAAAAGTGACAACAAGGGCGACGACAAAAGCGACGACCAAAGCAACGACAAAAGCGACGACCAAAGCAACGACAAAAGCGACGACAAAAGCGACGACAAAAGCGACGACAAGAGCAACGACAAGAGCAACGACGAAAGCAACGACAGAAGCGACGACAAGAGCAACGACGAAAGCGACTACTATTTCAACTGGGACGAAATCATTGGTGAAAAGCCCTTCTGGAACGCGCACGCCCTCGCAGGATATCTCAGCGGTTACGCCGGGAACTGCGAACTACCAAATGAGGATGTAAGCCCTGAAGGTATTTGCTATGCCGAGTGAGTCTTCCCATTTCCTACCCCCGCATTAACAGGAGCACAGACACCTCTAACCGCCCATCGCAGTTGGGGCGACTACGGCTTCGGCGACCTCGTTGATCTCACGGACGGCTCCCAGTGGCAGCTAAAGACAGCGTGGTACATGCTCGATGAAACAGCGCCGCACATTGTCGCCATCCTGATTAGCGAAATGGCGCTGACGGCCGAGGACGGAACCCCGCTGTTCGCTGACCCCGACGACGTCCCGCTCTTCCACGGCGAGATCAAGACGGCGATTTGCATCACGCGCGCGCGGTTGTGCACGACTTCTCTGCATATGAATGTTAATGCGCCGGTATGTTCATGTCCATGTCCATGTTTGCTGCTGCCTACACTTGGCCTTCTAAGTGAGGAGAACCGGCTAACGCATCCAGGTTTTGATATTCTCCTCTATTGGCGAACACCATGTTCGAGTCATTGAGGCGTACCATGACGGGCATGGGCTTGTTATGCGTGTTACCAGGCCGTTTGATATGGAGAAGCGGAATGATGCGTTGCTCCTTCTGCTGTTGAGGTGGATGCTTGGTGGTGCTAGTGACAAGTCAACGAAGCTTTGCTGAAAGCCCTCCTCGTGGATCGGCATTACAGATAAGGATAATTGTCGCGGATATGTAGCATACGATTCTCCTATATCCTACGCAGGAAACCACTACGGATATGGTATAGCAGGAGAAGAATGTTTGGGATCATGGATTAAGAAACAAAACTCGGAAAATACAAGAGAGGGGATGAAACGCCCATACGCTAGCGACTGGGTATAATGATAAAAAAAGAACTCGACTGAACGATCAACCGTTGTAGACCGTTGATATCGGGGTCTGGACCATGATGAACCGTGCTCAACGATAAGGGAGAACAGCCTGAACAAGGGAGAGAGAAGCCTTGAGGTCATCGGCGGCGCGCATAGCAATAGCAACGACAATAGGCGCCAGATGTTTCATGCGGTCTGGGTCGGTGGTATCCCAGGGCCCAAACTCGTGCATGGTCAAAAAGGTCTCCGGGTCGTCGGATTTGGCCCCGGCGCCGGTCCGCAGGTACTCCAAGTACTTCTCCGTGTACTCGGCATACAAGATGAAAACCTCGTGTCTATCTTGGCAAAGGTGGATGCGTCTTCCCCGCTCATTCAAGCGATCTCCAGGTTCCGGGTACGACGCTAACCAAGCGACCGTCTGCGCCGCCTCCTGCATACGGATCGCCGCACGCTTTCTGTTGCGATACACGGCTTTGACTTCGATGAGGGCGCGGATTCGTTGCCCGCGGCGCTCTACGCCCGTCATGTCAAGGTATCCGTCTGTGCGGGCTTCGTAGGACGCGTTTCCGAAGTTTGCTTTGAGCGGGACGCGGTGCATGCTCCAGCGCAGGGGGAGGAGGGTGTGGAGGGTTAGAGCGCTCAGGAAGTCCACTAGGGCGGTATTGACTATTTGCTCGTCCTGGGAGGGTGCGTAGAGCATATGGAGCAGGTCTGGATCGTCGGGGGACGTGAGGGTGTACGGGCTGTCTTCTGGAGTCTCCAGGGTCGAGGGGCCCTCTGGGGTTTCCAAAGTCGAATGGCCCTCTTCTGGAGTCTTTGGGTCTGAAGGACTTTCATCCGGATGCTTCGGTGCTGAAGGGTTCTGTTCCGGAGTCTTCGGGGCTGAAGGGCTGTCTCCCAGAGGATTCGAGTCGGATGGGGGTTCTTTCGGATGCTTCCGCGCCAAAGGGCTCTCTTCCTCTTCTTCGTCCTCTGTGTCTTCATCATCTGCGAGCGACCGTTCCGGCGTCACCGGCTGGGAATCATTCATATGCTCTTCTTTCTCAGCCAGTGAGTTGCCTTTGATTTTTTTTGGTGGGTGCTGGGCTTTGCTTCGAGTAAAGTGGCTTTTCGGGGTGAAGATTGCCGTCGGACGCATCTCTTCAGTCTCAATGTTCGCAGCGTGTCGCTGAGCTGCCTCCGCCAGGGCAAATGTTCCCTCTGGTATCTGGGCGGATCGCTTCTCAAGAGATTTGCAGTATTTCTTCCAGGATTTGTAGTTTCTGAGAGAGGCCTCGGCTTTTTCCATCCACTCCTGAAGGCCTGCATGCTCAGGGTTGAATATGTCACTGTCAAGCACGGGCTCAATGGCAGGTTCCTTCCATAACACGCGAAGAAGCAAGAACTGCTTCTCATCGATGGTCGAGGCGGATTTTAGTTTCACTTTCAGTTCAGCCTGATGGAGGTATGCCGCGTCTAGCTCTGGATACTTGGCCATGTCCTTTTCCCAGTCGGCAACAGTCTCAGGCAGGGTAACTCGCTCCGTTGACTCGGTTGACATCTTGGTTGGCGAAGCGGAGGGGGTGGCTTATAGTAGGAAAGGATGGAGAGAGATTGAGGGCTTTTGACCGAGCGCGAGCCTTTTGGGTACTCCAAGAATGATTTCTGGAAAGCACTGGGAGCAAAGACTGAATGCCTACCCCTCACTTGTCAGCAGTCAAAGAACATCAGGGAATGTGTTACCCTCTAGGCCTTGCCCAGTGAATGGCCGACCTCAGCCAATCAGCGCCGACCAAGACGCGTTGCGGGGGCAACCACGTGACCTTCCGCTGTTGCCTCGCTCGTCCTTTGATTCTCCCTCGCCGTCCTTTGATTCTCGTCTCTTCCCCCATCATCCTTCCCACATCCATCCATCTCGTCATCCTCAATCATCGCAATGCCTGCTGCTCAGCAGAAAAGTGAACTGCAGAAAAAGCGAAGGGCTCGCCGCCAGAAGCTCAGTGCGATCTTCGACGCCCTGGACCGATTCGGCTCGCGTTTGTCAGCGGCCGACCTCAAGGAACTGGGCATCCGCCATGAGAAGGAGATGTCCCTAGACGGCAACGACGGACCGAAATTCTTCTCTGCCTATTGCGATGTCCTTAACAAGCCAGCGCCTGGAGTTCTCGACAACTACATCTCCTTCGACCCAAAGCACGGTGGGAAGCCCTACTACAACGCCCAGGCTCTAGCGAGCTACTTCACCTATTATTCCGCTCGATGCGATTGTCCCAACGAAGACATCTCACCGGCAGGTATTTGTTATGCGGAGTGAGTCCCCCCCTCCGATCCACTTGGTTACACTCACTGACATCCAAACTAGCTACGGAGATCACAACTTCGGTGCATTGATGGACCTCACGTTCGGCCGCAGGTGGGGGGTGAAGGCGACTTGGCACATGCCGGACCGCGAAGCCCCTCACATGGTGGTTGCCATGTTCAGCGAGATGGCCGAGGGAATCGAGGACGCGTTGTTTCACGGCGAGGTCAAAACAACCATTCGTGTCATGCACGGACGGTTGAAGAAGGCGTCTCTTCGATCGAACCTTTTTGCTCCGGTATGTCCACTCCAATCTGCTTGGTCACCAAAAACTGGCTAACTTCCTGTAGGTCCTGATATTCTCCGCGATCGGCGAGCACCATCTCCGAGTCATCGAGGCCTACCATGACGGCAAGGAGCTTGTTATGCGCACCACTAAGCTCTTCGATCTGGGTCAGCGGGATGATGATCTCCTGGTCACTTTGTCCAAATGGCATCTGGGCGGAGCTAGTGCGAAGTCCACGAAGTCGCCTGAGTCTGATTCCTTGGACATTGGCGTTGCGGAGACGCGCACGATATCGTGATCGCCTGGATGAAACTGGTCGGCTGCTTTGTTTCAAATCTTGTTCGCGTTTGGGTATTGGCGTTGAGGACTATGGACCCAATCCCATGATGACCTGGGCTGGTACTGGTTGACTGAGCTTTCTTGAAAACCTGGTCTTGTTCGCAGGTATCGGCGTAAGGAACTTGCTCTGGTTGGTTTTATGTTACATCTTCAAATGTTCTATTCTATCACGCCATCATTAGATACCACTTCACTTTTATCATAAGGCGCAATCTTACTTTGTTTTCTTGATTCAAGTCAAACACATCTCACAAAACCGACTCCACCACCAAATCTTCCCTCCATAGAAGTAAAACCAAATCGGACCCGGCATCAGAAGCACGCCCAAGCCAAGTTGCAACGTACTCGTTGATTCAATCCCCCAATGCCCATAGATACTACTCCCCCACAGCGGAAACATCGTTGAAACCAAACTCCTTACCGCAACATGAATCGGAATCGCACTATTCGCATTCGGCATGTATACGTTGACGATATACGAAATGCCCGAGAAAAAGATAATTTGCAATGCACAGCCGAGGAAGAAGTAGGAAACAACCTGCGCGAACCAAAGGGCGTCCTCATTGCCCATCCAAGTCAGAGTACTGAGGGGACAAGCATACATCCTCCCAGAATCATCGGCGGAGGACAGAATTCAGGCCTTGCTGCCCTTTCTTCAACACGCGCCAGTAGAAGTGCCGCATATGTAGGACGACGATTCCTAATGCGCTCATCACACCCAGAAACATGGATAAGGATGAAGGGCCGCGGTTCTGGAAGGCATACGGGAGTACCCGGTACGATAGGTAAAGCGTCCCATCAACAAGCGTTAAGGAAGGCATAATCACAATTCAAGATATGTTCCTAACCATCATACGCGCCGGCATCTCCTCTACCTCTACCCAGCGTCCCCGGGTAAGCACATGTTTCTTGGATGGCGCATAGAACGCCCTATCCCCTGTCCTCCTGCAGACTTGGGAAATCTTGAGCTCTGGTACTTGCTTTCTCGAGGACTCGTGCATCGTAAATGGGGGGAAACCCAGACACCCGTATATACCAGCAGCGTCATCCTCATCCACCTGAGATACCACCGCCCGGACCGAACGTGGATATACGAGCCTATAATTGGGCTACCGGTACTCGGCCAATTCATGCTCGTCGCTCTGGCTCTGGTCTCAATGGCGACAGCGCGCGTGTGGGTCGGCTATACTTCAAGAGCATGCTGGATCCCATAGCTAGAATGCCGAAGCCCCGAAGCCCCTGCAGAACGCCTGATTAGGATTGTCCGCATTGTGCGCGAGGGACTGCGGGATCTAGAAGTGCGCAGGGGGAGACTTATGAATAGGGACACTGCATTGCCAAGGATTTTAGGGAGTGGTGCGAAGTAAGTCCGATCGCGAATCCAGACACAAATAATGAGACGGAGAGGTTTACTGTGACTGGGGACACGTTGAATTTGGGCGCTGTTGTTGATGAGGCAGGACCGACGACTGAGGAGGAGAAGGAGGTTGGAAGATTATAAGCTGGCAATAAAGGGAGATTTTAGTTTTTGGGCAGCGGCTAGGCTTGTGTATTGCCGGTCTGGGTCTACATGCAGTGGAGATGGAGGGCGATGTCAATAAGAAGATTATCAGGTAGGGGTCTTTGAGAAGTGTGGTGAGAGGTCTGGTGTTTGGGTTTGGGTTTGGAGATGAGTTTCAGCGGCGGTTGTTGGGTGTTGTTCCATGTCTGTCTTTGGGCTTGCAGGGCTCAGAGGAGAAGAGTGGGTGTAAGACTCTTAAGATTGACATGGAGCCTTGCCTTGGGGTTGAGAGGCTGCGAAGATCATGGTGGTGGTGGATGTCTTGTCCATGGCGTTGGCGAGCGATGAGATGGCTCTCTCCCTCTCTCTCTCCTACTTGAACCCTTAGTATCCACTCTTATTACAACCCAAGTCCATGCATACATTGCGGAAAACCTACTGTTTCTATCCCGTTGTCGTCAAAAAATGCAGGGGATGCCAAACTAACATAAGCCCTACTTCGCCGATGACGAGTGCCAAAATCCCCAAGTGCAGTGGATAGGCAAGGGACGGCTTCGTCTTCAAGCGATGTGAAAGTCAAGCCGGGGATTAAAAAAGCTTCAAGCTTCCTTGGAGCCAGACATGGAGCCTGAGTTGCGCCTACAGAGTATTCCCGCTGGTCGTCCTGATTTGCTCGTCGTGCTGGTTGCCCAGATATGGCTCCCGGCTCGCAAGCGGCAAGTCGCAATGATGGCCGAGATGACCGTGATGACTGGATCCACCGGCACTTTCGCTGAAATAAGGACCTTGAGATAAGGCCGGATCAGGACGCCCCCGGTACTCTTGGATAGGAGAAGGAAAGGAGGTAGGGCTCGATCGTCAAGCAGTCTCTCCTTGTCCAAGTCCACAACTACTCCCTCGTACGTTCTTATCCCCCACCAACGCAATCCCTCGGTAAAGGCGTCCCTGGACGCCTGATCATAGCGTCGCCCATCATCAGCCTAAATAAGCCCGTTCGTCTTCCAACATTGCAGCTACCAAGCATAACGCCCTCACCAGGGTTGACAATTCAGACCGCGACGTCCGGAAATTCCGTTCTGTTCACGTGGGCAAAACTTAGAAGACACTCATCTCACACATCCCGCAGAATGTCCTGCGGACGCCTTTGCTGGACATAGCGTTTTGAGCTTCCGAGGAGCAGATTGTCTGGTCAAGGGGTAATACGGTCTCTCGGGACGTAGAGCCAAGGGGCCGCATATGTCCCAATGACAAGACAACAGTCGCGGCAGATATTGATGAGAGCAAGCCATTCCGCAATGTCGGCACGGTGTGTCTATTTTTCGCTGAAGGACCTCGATGGATTCTGGTCGCGGTCGGGAAACGCTGCATGGGATGTCGCCGCATAGGCATTGCGCGAGGAATCTACCATATACTCATCGACATTTTTTTCTTGACCCTGGGGTAAGATGGCTGGGGCGAGTCGGAGTCCGGAATCAAAAGCCCGCCTGGCTGCGTATCCCAGGTCTTCTTCAACTGCCAATTCCCGATCGAGGGTAAGAGCGCCGAGAGGCCCACGTCGCCTGTTGAAGAGGCGAAGTAAGTAATGCTCATCTATGATTCAAACATGCCGATTCGCATTTCCGTCGAAGATTGAGATCGATATGTTCCGAACGTTATTGTCCATCCGATCGCCGATATGGCATCCGCACGTTGAGCAGCAAAATATCGTTGATGTCGCGTGCGCGTGGTGGTAGCCGATAAGCTTCTCCAATATGCATGGAGCGATGAAAGATGGATCGAATCTTGACAAAGGGGGGCGTGGAATGTCGCGAGTGCGCCATGGGTCTTCCGGCAGATTGTGGAGTTGTCAATATGTGTTCGTAACTAATTAGAGCGCGCTGGTTGGAAGGGTCAGGGTGAGTGGACGGTTTGGCAGTGGCAGGTGGCCGCAAGCATCTTGATTGCGACATCTTGGCGATGGGATGGGATAGGATGAGATGATGCCCGAGGAGGTTGGGGACTGGAGGATATTTAGATTAAAGGTGGTGCGGGGTGACCCCAGAACCCGGTTTCTCCCACGGCTGATCGGAGGCGAACCAAGGGGGTTTTCGAGAGCCATGGAGGGATGAGGTTTGCAAATCTAGCACGGGCGGATCGGACGCGATTTTGGCAGCTCGGGGCCTTATTAGGATAAAGTTTCTGGATAATATATTAGAGATTTATTCGCTGATTCGAAATAACTACTTACCAGGCATTTTAATAAAGAATTGATGAAGTTACACGTCGTTGAAGTTGACGCGTTGATGAAAATCTCACTAGTGGGTGGGATCTCGGTAATGGGTTGACCGCTCTACGGAGTATAGCTTAAGATCTTTACTACTTGATCCTAGCGGTAGTGCACGAGCGACCCCAGTGGAACTTCTTCAGTTGATTAGAGAGTGTCTGCCACGGGAGCGCTCGGCGAAACTCATTAAATTCGTAGTGCCGGTAGTTCCAAATTAGGTAATATTACGTAACCCCGACGCGGCGCGCTAAATACGCTAAATTATTAAATTAGGTGCAATATTCGCAACGCTATATAATTTTATATAAAAACACGAATGTTGCATAAATTAACTAAAAATTACGTTAGTTACCATTAAAAGTCAAAAAGTGTTTTAATAAACAAACTTTGGGTGTTATTTATAATGCGAAAGTTGCTTTACATATAATTTTTAGTGTAAAGTAACCTTTTTAAAATATTAAAACGCGTTGCAAGGCCCCGATAAACATAACACTTACTTAACCGCGCTAGCGCCGCGCTAAGCCTATTTAAATTAAGCAACGGGCACGCTTAACAAGCTTGCTGTGTGCTTAATTTTTTGGACCGCCTTCCTAATTAGGACGGCCCTCGGGCGCGCTAAGCCAAATTAAATTAAGCATGCCGTTAAGCCTACGTGGCAGACACTCTCTATTACAGAATGTTCAAGAGCACCGAGAGTAAGACGAACGCCACTCTTCTGCATAGACGCATCGGCGATTTTATGATGGATCGAATTAAAAGATATTCGTTATGATGTGTAGCTGACAGTCCTTAGGATACCGTGGAAGCTGATTAGAGAGCATTGTTTAGGAAGTAAAGGCTAAGTTGAACTCGTCGGCCTCTTTGAAGTCATCGAAAAACAAGACCATATATTAATACATTATAGCAGCAACATAACTCATGCAGCCGTATAAACCATCAATCATACGCACAATGACCTGTCTCATACCCTTTCAATCCTAATTCCTCCCCTAGATAGCACTCATGTACCGACTACGTTCGGATTGGCCAATTAGACACCAACGCAAACATAGTAATCAACCCAGAGGTTACTGCACGACGCATCGATAGTCGGATTCCACTCGCGGAACTGCTCAAGCGTAATGCCGTTATCCGAGTCAATAGCCCAGCACCCCTCGCCCGACTGCACCTTGTGGTACTTCTTGCAGTCGGCCGTGATATCCGGCATCTGCGGCTTGGGCGCAACGTGCACGCAGACGTAGTAGTCGAGCCAGAGGTTGGAGCATTCTACGCGCGCCAAGTTAGCAAATAACGAAGCGAATCAAGAGGAAAGAAGGGGAGATGCGCACTGGAGTCAATAGCGGGGTTCCACGCGGAAAAGTCGGCGTGGCTGATGCCGTACGCCGACTCAATTGTGTCGCATTGGTCGCCGGACACGACCTTGTGGTATTGGTCGCAGCTGGCGTCGATGCCGGATTGGGTGGGGGAGGGGGCGGTGTTGGTGTCGGAGCCGGTTGAGGGCGCGGCAGATGTTTGGGATGGGGCGGATGAGGAGGTGCTGGTGCTGGTTGTGGTTGTGGCGACGGGGGTGTGCACGCAGACGTAGTAGTCTAGCCAGAGGTTCGAGCAGTCTGTTTGTTACAACCTTGTTAGTGGATGTCCATTGTGGGAGGGATAAAGTGAGGGTGGAACATACTGTCATCAATGTAAGGGTTCCAGGAAGAGAACTGGTCATTGGTAATGCCGTACTTGGCTTCGATGGTGTCGCACTGGTCGCCAGATGCAACCTTGTGGAACTTGTCGCAGTTTGAGGCCAGGCCGGGCTGGGTTGGGGAGGGAGCGTCACTGGTGGCCGAGGTAGTAGTGACAGCGGGCTCCTTGGTGGTAGTAACGAAGGCAGTGGTAGTGGTTGCTGTTGTGAGAGCCTGCGTCGTAGTAGTCGTGCTTGTAGTGGTAGAAGTGGTGGTAGAAGTGGTACTGGGCTCATCGGCCGTGACATCGCCAATGACACAGTAGTTGGCGAAATCGTCAAAGTTATCGCAGTCCAGGCCGGGGTTCAGAGACTTGAGGTCATCAACGGAGAGACCCCATCCAGAGGCAAAGCTCTCGCAGCTATCGCCCGAGCTTGCGGCGATGTCGAAGGTACAGTCGACGCTGCGCTGGGCGAGGGAGATGCTACGAGCGGCAAGCAGCTCCGGGAGGAGGCTCAGGACGACGGCGGACTTGATGTTCGGCATTTCGATAAAGAAAGAAAGTCAAAAGTGTGTCTGGTAGGTTGATGTTTGGTCTCACGGGTATGGTTTATATGTTGTTTCCGGAAGGCCGGACAACCTCTGACTCTTGCTGCCTGTGCTCCATTCTTGTTTACCGGCTCAAACTCAAGAGTACCCGTGGCGTTCTCCGCTAGTATTGTCGTATAGCTAGCAGTCTCTAGACTCGGTGGTGGTGCCATTCCGGTGTATGGTCTGCAGTGGCCGTCTAAGCGAAGAGCCTCGGTGGATGCCGGTGGCAATGCCGGATAGCCGTGCAGGCCGCCGTGAGGAGTTATTTGTGCCTGGAGGTTCGTTCGAGCACGCTATCAGGGCAGAACCCACCAGGGTCCAGAGCCCTGAGTCACGTTACTGTCACAGACACAGCCCTAGCGCCCCCCACTGCCCCTGCAAGCCTGCAACGCCGGCCCAGGACTGGCTGTCAAGCTTCACTGGCAATGCAGGCCAAGACCCTGGGTGGGCTTGCAGAGAATTGGCGCAAATTTAAATATTCCACACCATCCAGCGCCAGAGCTGCCTGCACTCTGCCCTCTTCTCACCTCCCCAGTCGGCTGTCGCTCTTTCTCTCTTCCCCACTGGGCCATTCGTTCCTGTGCCTTTCGCCCCCACGGTTACCTGAGTCTCCAGCTGCCACAGCCGAACAGACTAGCATGGTTCGACTCTCCTGGCTCGCGCTTGGCCTGGTGGCCGGGGCTGTCTCGGCCACGGCCGAGAACAAGACCGAGATCGATTTGATTTTTCCGCGCGAGGGCACCTTTGCCCCCAAGGATGCAATGCCGGTGGTGTTCGCCATCCAGAACGCCCCCGTCGCCAAGGACCTCCGTGCAACGATCGAGTACGGCATCTTTCCGAAAGGTCGCCGAAATGAGACGGTGCGGAGCTATGCGGACTACCTCAGTAACATCCCGGAAAACACGACTACCTATTTCAGCTCCTCCAATCTGGACCACATGCTGAACAAGACCGGGAGCTGGGAGTTCTTCTGGCAACTGTACTGGATGAACTGTTCGTGGACGCAGGACCCGGCGTACAACAACACCGACTACCCGTGGGTCGCCGGCGCCCTGGGCGGCCTCAACCTGGACGTCCACGAGGACGGCTTCCATAACACAGCCTACCGCATCACCGCGGGCTCTCTGTCCTTTGAGACGGCCGAAGGCGGCACCGACGTGAACCTTACCACTCTTACCAGTAGCGACAAGTGCAGCGGCGCCTCAGGCTTCGTCTTCCCGTCCCTCGTGAAGGATCTCGATTACCCCTTCGAGTTCCCGCAGACGACCCCAGACGAGAAGACGTGTCCCCAGCTCGCGAGCTCGTCGATGGCTTCGGCTACAGACAATGTCAGCCCCTGCAAGGTTAGCATCAGCCCCGAAGCGGAGGCCAGCATTCTGGCCGTCGCTGAGTGCCACAATTCGGTCTGGCCCACTTCGGGATGCCCGGACAAGAAAGAGAAACCCAAGGATGACGCCGCGGCCGGCCAGGACCACCGTCAGGCAGCTTGGCTTGCCGCGCTGGCTGTTGCCTTGGGCTTCGGCATTGTTGGATACTGATTGGACTTGGATCCTTTGGTTGGACAGTCCGACAGACTCGTCAGTCATCTTGTTCAAACTAGCGCCCCTGCAATCATGTGCATATGCAATAGTGTACCTAGAATTAGTTAGGGCATAGTCCAGAATGGGTCCAGTCCACTCCACGAGGCTCGTATATTTCTCGGAGATCACTTCCCACACCTATATCCGATGTCTCCTCGTGCCTGCACAATGCATTTTCCCGGATGTAACCTCATGATCTCCATAATCTGCACCATCACGAGAAGCGGAGCCAGCAGGCCCTTACACCCGCTATCTCAAATAGTGTCTTGGCAAAGGGCTTGTTCGTCTCAGTTGCCGACCTCGGAGGCCTGGATCTTCTTGCCAAGGCTCAATTTTAAATTTGTGGGTTCGTCAATGGCGGCGCCGTGGCGTGTGCCACTGCCCTTGTGTCCTGGTTCCTGAAGACTGAAGAGTTTGTCTCAGATGCTGCGTGCTAAGCCTTGCTGAGGAATCCTACGAGGCTTGGTCAAAGCTTACTGTGCGGACCATAAATGCACAGCATGGAATATCATGTATTTGCCAGGGACTTCTTCAACTACTTGTAATTTCAAGGTAGACGAGCAAAGGGTCCCCAACGCTGCATCGGACAACACCGTGAAATACCCGAGGGAGTGCCCACATTCGAGATCTCAATGTCGACCTACAGGCTGCAAGTGTGCTTCAACCGAGCTACAGTCAGGCACGCCGTAGAACAGCCCCAAAGCAGAAAGATGGCCGAAGGTGGAGAGGGCCAGCCTCATCCGGCGCCTCCGGTTGGCGGTCCCAGCCGACAATCGTTGGATCAGGTCAAGCGTTTCGGCCCGCGGTCGGTCAGGGACTGAAGGGACTGGGACTCAGGGGCATCAGTGCGCTTACCCCTTGAGGCAGGAGTCTCGAGCATCGGAGTTCATCGTGAATCGTGATTCGTATCCTCGTCTGCACTAAGTCGCTGTCGGCTTCGGACCCATCCTGGTCGGCTAGCACTGCAAGGTCCTCAGTCCATACCTCACAGCCTCACTATACGAGCGTCGAGCGCTGGTGCCTGCGGAGGCATAGGCTATTCTGGACCCCTAGTGGGCCGAGCTGAACTGCGGAATTTGCGGCTCGTGGTTTGTTCCCTACTTCGCTTATGCTTCGTGCGTGCCTTAGTCCCTGAGCCAAGTGGGTGAGGCTATTCAGCTCCCTTGGCATCACGAGTGCAATCTTACTGTATACCACCGAGCGTGGGTAGGCTGCGGCTAAATGAGCCTTGAGTTGGTATATAACCCAGCGAGATGCTCCTGTTGTGCTGCTCGTCAATGGTATTCTCTCCCTAAGCATTGCCGGTTCCTCGGCGTCCAATCTTTTACCTACCCAGTCATTCATTCCGCGTCTTCACGCTATTCACTCTTTTTTCTTTCCTTTTTTTACCCTTAGGGTACCCCGCCCATGGCTCCTTCCTGGCGCAATGCGGCGGTCGGCGCCCTTGCCCTCTCTTTCCCTGGCAGTGGCCTCTTTGCCGCTGCCCAGGCGGCCTCAAGGCAGCCCGCCGGCCCCGGCTACCGCGGCATGGACGCCGTTTGTCCCTCTGCCTGCTTCTCAACCGGTCCTGACCCTTTAGGCTGGTCTGCCTATCCTAGTGCAAGCCGGTTGTCCTCTTGTAAACAGGTCGTTCTCTCGAGCTTCTCGCTTCACGATGACGTCGATGACAAGGACAGCAACCACCGCATCTACGCCTGCACGGCCTATGGCCATGACTGGGATGATGAGGCCAAGGCTGATGCGGCTGCCGCTCGCTCTGCCAAGGAGGTCAACGTCACTTACGAGATCGGATGGGACTCCAGTGAAGCCGGCACCGAGGCCGCGTACAGTTTGTTAATGGAGCAGATGCGCGAGTATGCGGTCAACGGCCACACCCCCACCAACAGGACGACTATGTTGTATGCCCAGTTTGGCCAGACCACGGCCGGTCTCTACATTGGTCAAGGTCTGCGAGCGCCGGATGTTGCCAACGCCGCCCTGAAGGCTCTGGACTCCAACTCGGCTGAGTTCGATGGACGACGTGACGCTCTTGCGATCCAGCTCTGCGGGCCCGGTTACGACTCCGACCACATTCTGGGCTTTATGGCCGTCAACCGTGGCACATTGGGCGATATCCAGCAGGCCTTCAAATCCTGGTCTGGTGCCGAGTGTCTTGACTTTGCCAACTCTACGAGCATCACCACCACCGCGCCCTTTACCCTGCCCCAACTCTCATCGATTAAAGGAAACCACACTATCTCTCATGTCAACGGCACTGTTGCGAGGCGACACCACTCTGGGCATTCCTTGAGTCACTCGGCTCTTCACGTTCGGGCATCCGAGTGCAGCACCCAGATGGTCGGCGAGGGAGATAGCTGCGCCGCCCTCGCCGAACGGTGTGGAATCTCCGGTGCCGACTTCACCAAGTACAACTCGGACGAGGGACTCTGCTCCAGTCTCACCCCTGGCCAGCATGTCTGTTGCTCGTCCGGCGATCTCCCTGACTTCCGCCCCAAGCCCAACGACGACGGTTCCTGTGCTACTACTGTTGTGAATGACGGCCAGAGCTGCGCTACTGTAGCGGCCGCCAATAGCCTGACCAACGACGATATTGAAGAATTCAACCAGGACACTTGGGGCTGGAACGGATGCAAGAACATCTTTGCTGGCAGTGTCATTTGCGTCAGCAAGGGCACGCCACCGATGCCTGCGGCCGTGGAAAACGCCATCTGCGGACCGCAGGTTCCCGGCACAGAGGCCCCCGACGATATGAGCACGCTCGCTGACTTGAACCCTTGCCCGCTCAATGCCTGCTGTAACACCTGGGGCCAGTGCGGTATCACGCCAGAGTTCTGCACGGACACCAACACCGGCGCCCCAGGCACGGCCAAGGCCGGCACCAACGGCTGCATCTCCAACTGCGGAACCGACGTGGTCAGTGGCTCAGCGCCGTCTGAGTTCCGCAGCGTGGCCTACTACGAGGGTTACCTGTTCAACCGCGAGTGCCTGTACCAGGACTCCCTCCAGATCGACACGTCCAAGTACACCCACCTGCACTTCGGCTTTGGATCCCTTACAGCGGACTACGAGGTCTCCGTCGGAGATGAGTTCAGCACCTATGAGTTCAACAACTTCAAGTTCCTCAGCGGCCCCAAGAAGATCCTGTCCTTTGGCGGCTGGGACTTCTCGACCAATCCCAGCACTTACAACATCTTCCGTGAGGGCACCCAGGCAGCGAACCGCCTCAAGCTGGCAACCAACATTGCAAATTTTATCAAGGATCACGACCTCGACGGTGTTGATATTGACTGGGAATACCCTGGTGTACGTCAAGCCGTCTACTACATATTGCTTTTACTAACACACGCAGGCTCCCGATATCCCTGGTATCCCCGCCGGTTCTGAGGACGAGGGTGACAACTATCTCAAGTTCCTGGTTATTCTTAAGAACTTGCTTAAAGGAAAGTCGGTCTCGATCGCTGCTCCCGCGTCATACTGGTACCTGAAGGGCTTCCCGATCAAATCCATCGGCAAGATCGTCGACTACATCGTCTTTATGACCTACGACCTTCACGGACAGTGGGATGCCGCCAACCCCAACTCTCAGGACGGCTGCCCGACAGGAAACTGTCTCCGCAGTCAGGTCAATCTCACGGAGACGATGACTTCTCTGGCCATGGTTGGTTTCCGTGCCCTAGTCACAAACATCTGCTAATAGCTATCTAGATCACCAAAGCTGGCGTTCCCTCTGACCGCGTTGTTGTGGGAGTGGCCAGCTACGGCCGGTCCTTCGCCATGGCTGAGGCTGGCTGCCACGGCCCTGAGTGTCTGTATACCGGATCCCGCGCCAGCTCAGACGCCACCAAGGGACGATGCACCGGCACGGCCGGCTACCTGGCCAACGCCGAGATCAATGAGATCATCAGCGGCACCTCTTCCGGACTCAGCACTCGTGACGACGTCTCCAGCCGCGTTACCGCACACTACCTGGACGAAGACAGCGACAGCAACATTCTGGTCTACGACGACACCCAGTGGGTTGCGTACATGAGTCCCGAGGTCCGCGAGTCTCGAGTCAGCAAGTACAAGGGACTGAACATGGGTGGCTCGGTCAACTGGGCGACCGATCTCGAGACCTTCGAAGACGCACCGGTGGGCAACTGGTCAGACTACAAGGCCGCCATCCAGGCCAGAAAGAATCCTCTCGACGCCGACAATCTTCACGACGGAAACTGGTCCACCCTCACCTGCGGTAACGAGTACTACAAGGGAACGCCATACTACTCGCCCTCGGAGCGGTGGGCCTCGCTCGACGTCGACGACGCCTGGGATGACATGATGAAGGCGTGGAAGTACTACCGCGACAATGTCAACGCCACATCGTTCACTGGGTACATTGCCTACATGATAAACTATGAGGGCTACGGTGACTGCGGCGATATCGTGGCCGGTTGCGGTGGAACGATCGAGTGTCAGACCGGTCGATCTCCTGCAGAGGTCCTCATCTGGGAGTCGTTGAACAAAGTCAGCACCTCGTACGCGAGGTACCATGACGGTCTTCTCTCGGCCGCGGCCCTCATCGTCGATCCCTCGCTCAAAGACTTCACGAAGAAGTTTGCACCTGTGCCCCCCAAAGATGCCCTGAACTGGCAGGACCTTCTGCTTGACCTGATCTCGGACGCGACTCCGATGGTTGGCGGAAAGTTCTTCAAATATGGTATGCTCCGTGTTCAACTGGAGATCGTGACATTCCTAACGGATATACAGTTCTGACCAAACTTCCTGGCATCGCTTCGCTGAGTGATGAAGGAAAGGAGAAAGCTCAAGAAATCACCGAGTCTGTTCTGGGCAAGGCAGCCGAGATTGGCACGAGTCTTGTTGACACCGAGGATCCGTAAGAGCTCTCTTTGTCTACTTTTTTTTTTGTTGATAGAAGTGATGGCTGACCAGCTTGAACTCAGTGACGAGTGGTCAGACGATGATCAAGACGGTTTCATGACATACCTAGGGCAGAGTGCCGGTATCTGGGACAGGGCCAATACCATCGGCTTAGCAACCCTATTCGACGGCTCAGACGACTCCATCGACACTCTCAAGTCCCTTGTGGCTGACGGCCACTTCATCAACGGCGCCAGCGACCTCGGCGACGGAGACGCCTACGACGCAAAGACAGGAAACGAGACCGTCACCGACGCCTTTACAAAAGCCTACTATGGATTCGCGATCCCGGCCATATGGCAGAGTTCGGGGCACCACCCCTTCATCATCGAAACGGGTCGCACCTGCACAACCGATGATAACCCGGACGACGATGGCCTGGCGGCAGCCTGCCACGAGGGCAAGCTTTACAAGCTGGCCGATCCCGACGGAGACTCGAGATCGTGCCGCGAAAACGCGCAGACTGGCGTCAAGTGTGGCCAGGACGGTGACACCTACAACGACTTTGCCACCCTCAACGGTGTAGACCAGCTCAAGGATGGTGCTTGGGGTGGTGTGACTCCACAGGATATCATCCACGGGTATGTCCTCTTTTCAGCTCATCCATTCATACCTCGCTAACCCATCTCCAACAGAGCCGTCCGGACCTACATCAACAACGGCAACGAAAACGGCGGCGAGAGCAAAGTTGACACAAGCAAGAACTTCGACAGCCTCGCGGACCTCGACATCACCGTGCCCAACTTCATCAACCTCCCCGTCTGCACCGAGACGATCGCGCGCCGCTCCTGGACCAACTCCGACGACACCGAGTCCGCCCGCAACGTCGACTTCTTCCCCTGCAACGTCGCCAACGGCAAGGACTACTGCGGCGAATCCACCTTCGAGGACCAGGGCAGCGAGGCCTCGCCCTTGATCGACGACTGCAAGCAGATCATCAAGAACATCCAGGGCACGGACGGCGAGTGGAACACCTCGCCGCTCGAGAAGCAGCGCTCGCTTGTGCATTATGGGTCCTGCCGCTTCGGCGTCACGGGCAAGGGCATCCATGGCAATGTCTCGTTTATGACGGGCGCCCAGGATATCATTGATATTATTAACGATGCCATTGAGAAGTTTGGGCGGGATGATGGGCGCGTTGGTGCGAAGGGCACTATGCAGTGTGATGGGAACATTAAGAAGCAGAAGGTTGATTGGGGGCTTTACTAGGCTTGTTCATGGTGATGCTGTGAAGTTGATGTTGAAGTACATGATGACAGAATTGTGAATATTCAAAGGTTTAATGTAAACTTCCAATGTGTCAGATCGAGGAGCCGTAACATGGACTAGAAACTTGGAACTTTACTATGACGATGGTAGGCGACCAAGCGATCCATTGGTTCTATGGCAGACTGTGGTCCTCCTCGTTGTGTCGTTTTCGCCCTCTAAAAGTTAGGCAAAGCCTCAAGCGGAAGAAAAGGGAAACCCCGTACAGTACGAGAAAAACGAAACGCACCATGCTCTGGGAGCTCTTCAATACCGGTATTCCAGGTGCCAGTGCGTACATGAGATGTGAGCAGAATGAATTTAGGAGCGTAGTACGGGTAGGGTACATAGGTATACTGTCGTAACCTCCAGGCTTGAGCGAGGACCACGTCAAGGAAGGGCAAGGAAATTGGAATCGTGCACAGGCCAGACGATGAGATCGATTGTAAGACGCTGAAATGGACGGGCAGGCTATGTTCCTGCTGAGAAAAGCAAAGTTTTGCTCTCTTAGGGTCGAACGGAGAGTACCATACTGAGTTCCAATAGCATAGAGAAAAAAAAAAGGTGCAGGCAGAGGGGCCGCTGCAGGCAGCGTCGGGAACCCGGCGCTGAGTCTCTAAGCCATGGATCGCTGGATCCATAGATATTTTCGCCGCCTGTCCTGTTATTAAACAAGTGGTCTATAGTATGGGACTCACTTGATATATCTACCCATTGTGCTGTGTCCTAGCTTCCAATGGTATGTTGAAGTTCAAACACCTAAAAGAGAACTAACCAAGCTAGTAAGAATCATTCTTGTCAACTACCACAAGAGATACACGAAAGCGCCGTGGTTATAGTCCCTCTAAACACTCATAAACTCCCACGTAGTCCCCCTTTTACTAGCCTGACTAACAACCAACTCCCTCCCCCGCGCCTGCATAGCCCTAAACTCACCCTAATTCTTTACAAGAAATACATGCCCACGGTTAACATTCTACCTACCTTACATAAAACCTCTTTTGATCGCGATACTTTTTACTCTGGGCTCTGAATTCCCAGGAATTCCCATTCCCGTTATCGTGCCCGATGAACTCCGCGAAGACTGCGTTCTTGAAGCCCAGCCACATCCCGCTGTCCTGGACGCAGATCCAGTGGCTGCCGCGGCACTCGGGATGTTCTTCTTCGAGGAAAGAATCGGACTCGGGGTGGAGGCTAGACTCGCCGGTTTTCAGCGCGATGATGAGGTTCCGCGTGGGGTCGCGGATTTGGAAGGTCCCGCCGGGATTGATAGGGGGCTGCGGGCGAGGGCGAGGATGGGGTGTACTTTGGGGGTTGGGACCGAAGTTGACCTTGCGGGGAGTTGAAGCCGTCGCTGGAGGTGTCTGAGACTGAGGCTGAGACTGCGCTTCTAGCGACTTGTCCCGATGGGATCCGGCTATTGTGTGCCGTCGCAGATTGGGAGGCAGCTTGCGCGGCGAACTCGAGTATCCATTGATATGATAAACCTCAGGGATTCAAGATTGGTGATGGCTTTGTCGTCTCCTTCGGCTGGCACCTGCATATTTCCATCGAAGAGATTGTGGATGGTGAAACTTCTGAGCGGCTTCCTAGTTATACTTACCTTTCAAGGAGAATGGATATTCGTCAGATGCTCATCTACCGGAATCATTGACGTCTTCATGATTTTACTTTGGGTTTACAGTAAGCTCGCGAGGGTGAGGGTTTATGTCCCCAACCACTCGGATGGCTTTGGTGTTTCCAATGTTGTTATCCTTCCAATCAGTCCACTGTCTTTCTTGACCACGTAATAACTGTAGGATATTCCGGTAGCGAACCTGTAGGTTTCGCGAAATAGTACCATATTCCATGGCTCACTGCTTCGCTTGGGCATATCGACTGCAGCAACTACAGCAGTGGAAAGCGCGCCCCTAACAATCTATCAATATCCACCCGCCACTGAAAGGAGGGTTTCGCTTTCAAAAAATCCAGTCAGTGCCAGACGACTTAGACAGTCGTCCGCTTAGCACTCGCTCCACCGAAGAGCCATTTCGACAGAGCCATTTCGACAGAGCCACCAACAACTCATCATCCCGATAATACATGTTAAACAGCGGCGTTGTACGGACCACCAGATTATCGCCATCATGATACGCCTCGATAACTCTAAAATGATTTTCCCCAATGGCCGAGAAGCAGAAGACCTGGAATACGTCAGCCAATGCATACTCTAAAACAAAACCCACGTAGACATACCGGAGCAAGGAGATTCATTCTCAAAGAAACCAGCTTCAAGCGCCGATGCATAATGCGAACAATTGCGCTGACTTCGCCCCAGAATAGCGGCTGTTCTTTCCCCTCCTCGTACCCGTCGAGGGTCATCTCGCTGTACATCACAAACACGATATGCGGGGCCGTTTTCTCTGGCATGTGCCAGACAGTATGCACACCCCATCGAGCAGGCCGGGTTAGGTCCAATAGGCTCCCAAAGCCGAGATCACCGAAGCTTCAATTGGAACAAGATTAGCAGAATCTTATGGTGGCCGGGGCAACTGACTCTATGTAACAGATGTTAGCCGGGGTTGAATGATTGTCTGCAATCCGGACATCCTGCATGTATCCGACGAAGAACATCGCCATGTCCTGCGACGTGTAGTAGTGTTGTCCGCGTCTGCTGGGTTCTGGGTCCAGTGAGGTGTATCCGTCGAACTCGGAAGGAAGGGGTTTGTGGATGGCGTGTTTGTAGGCAGTGAAGAATTCGGGTCCATTGGCGCTGTCGCCGTCGAGAGACAATGTTGTGCGTCGAATGCCGAATTCTTCTAGGTTGGCTTCTGAAAGACGAGGGTTGGATGGGTTGAGGGCTTCCTTGATAGCGGTGAGCTTTTGGCGGCGGAGTTTCCGCGAGGCGCTGAGAGTGAGATCCATGATGGCTTGCAGGTGCTTGATGGCGTTGGATGTACCGTAAGTATGCTGGGGAGAGAATTGCGAGGGGTTGAGGAAGAGAACCAGAACTGGGCAGGTGTGTTGTACTGAGAGCAGGCGGGGTGAAGGGGTCAAGGAGGAGGCTGGTCACGTGGCCACTGGGCGTTGCTACCTACCATGCATGGGGATCTGCCTAACCCACTTGTTTATTTCATCAACGTCTCCGGCCCCTTCGAGCAGAAAGAAGAGACAACCAAGAGGACAAGCCTGCAGGTGGTTGGCCGCCTGTAAAGACCATAGTCAAGGAGGATCCAAGCCCAATCTCTCGCCTGCAGCCACTATTTCCAACGTTTCTATCGCTCTGGAACCCGGCCGCCATCGATCACCCCTTGAAGCGAACATTGATTTCTATTTGTTGTTCCCTGCAACTAAAACATGTCTGAACCCCAGGACCATCCGTCTGCGAATGAAGTAGAACGAGAAACAACCACCCTGCTTGACCTTCCCCCGGAACTCATCCTCCTGATTGCCCACCATCTCAACGTACCCGATCTAAACTCGCTCATTTGTTCTTCCGCCTACCTTCATGAAGTGTTATCGCCTCTTCTCTACAAGCGCGGCGCAACCTATGCCCGGAGATGGGGTATAAAACCACTAATATGGGCAGTGATCAAAGGACACAATTCCGCGGTCGAGCGTTTGTTGGAGAACGGCGCAGATCCGTATGTGGAAACCGATGGCTCCACTGCATACCACGCAGCTGCCAAAGGCCAAAATATCCGAGCACTCGCATCCCTCCTTGGAAAGGCACCTGCCCCCTCGACCGAGGATGGCGAGTCCGGAATGACACCCCTCCAGCTAGCAGTTCAATCCAATAACGCGGTAATGACACGCATGATGCTAGACGCCGCGCGTGGGAAGTGGCCAGATCAAGACGGCGAGTGGATATATTCCCTATCTCTCGCAGTGGGTAAAGGGTACATTGACATCGCCCGATGTCTGCTTGAAGCAGCGGGGAACATGTGCTTAGCGCACTCCCAAGCACCTGCAGTAGACTCGCACTGCCTCCTCAACGCCGCAACCAAGGGCGATATTGCCATGATCCAACTACTCGCCGAGTTCGGATGGAGGAACTGGGGAGCCATGGTCTATGGCAAAGAAATTATAACGCCACTGCATGCTGCCGCACGAGAGGGACGCATCGAGCTAACAGAACTATTACTGTCGTACGGATCGGACATCAACGCCACTGATCACAACAGTCGCACCCCCTTGTACTGTGCATCGGCGATAAAGGAGCACCACGTCACCGAGTTGCTTCTGAAAGCCGGCGCAGACCCCAACATCGGCGGCAAGGAGGTGACTACCCATCATGAGATGGCCACCCCGCTGCATACGAACGCTTCCCATGGAAGAATAACCATGAGCCTCCTGCTTCTGGCTGGCGGTGCGACTGTCAATGCCGCGGACCAGCTGGGCTGTACTCCCTTGCAGTATGCAGTCCAGTGGAATCGCCTTCCGGTCATGGAGATCCTGATTGAAGCAGGCGCGGATATCTCAGCCCGTACCCAGAAGGGACGCTCTGCGCTGTACATAGCGGCTTATCGGGGGCACGACAAGGCAGTGGACCTCCTCCTCTCCCACGGCGCCCACGCCGAAGCCGGACGCGAGACGGACAGCTTTACAAGCCCCCTCTTCGCGGCGATCGAAAAGGGCCGTGTTGACTTCCTGAAACGCCTAGTCGCTGCCGGATTCAAGCTCAACCCGGGACCGGGGTCAAACATGATACCCCTCTTCCACGCCGTCAAGTACAACCAGCTTTCCGTCATCCGCGAGCTAGTCCGCTGCGGGGCGGATGTCCGCACATTAAAGGAAGACGGCTCGTCCATCCTCCACGAAGCCGCAAAGCACGCCGCAAAGGATGAAATCATCCAATACCTCATAGATCAAGGTGCCGATGTCCACGCTGTCGGGCCCCAGAACCAAACAGCCCTCCACTATGCAATGAGGTTTGTATCCTCGTTCTCCACCGGCCTAGTCCTGTTAAACGCGGGTATCTCCGCCAGTGCCCGCGACACCAACGGCGCAACAGCACTCCACCACTCCGTCCGGACAAGCGGGAAGGGGATGAAAGAGTTGTTAATAGCAGGCGCGGACGTCAACGCACAGGATGGCAATGGGATGACGCCTTTACTCCTTGCAGCGTCCTCCTACCGCTTCTTCCCGCACGTGTTATATGCCCTACTTGATGCGGGCGCGGACGTCACAGTGCAAGATAAGTCCGGACAGACGGCGCTGCACTACGTCGCGAGATCTTACAACGACCCTCTCTTTGGAACACTGCTCAAAAGGCATAGCCATGAGACCTCGGAGTTTATGACCCCTGACAAACAGGGCCTGACTGTGGCCGATAAAGCGATCAAGTTCGGCCACGTCCCTATCATGAGCATGCTTGCGGATACTCAGAGACATGGAGCTGGGGATTATGCGTTGAGGCCTGAACAGCGGGCGTTGATTGAGGAGATGGTGCAGAGGCAGGTGCTTCTGGGATGAGATGAATCTTCCGTGCTTGAATTGCGTGTTCTTAGTGTTAGGTATTTGGACGACTCAGCTTTGTACCTACCATACATAGATACCAGGCCGCAATCTATAGCCATTGGTGATAATTCAGTATGCTACATATGTCGAGTTGCCAGGTACTACCAGTGCAGAATTATATCATGGCAATAGATGGGAAGATTCAGATGGACCAGAAGCATACCACACCCGCACCGATCCATTGGGAGTACCAGTCTAAAAAGCTCTTTCCTATGTAAGGAGCAAACATAAGACTAAAGTAAAAGCAGCAGCAATAAATCCTCTTAGGAAAACAACCCGCTCACTTGTCCAACCAACAGGGAAACACTCAAACACTGCCCCGTGCTCCCCCTTTTCACACAGAACCAACATCCCCCTCTCCTTCCCACCAGCCTTTATCGCCCGGAACCCCGTCCACGGACTTTGCTTAGGAATGCACCCGGTCCTTATGGTGCTTTGCATCATCGATAAATGTCTTGCAGTGCTTATCGCGCCTAATATATATACAATACATCCCTAAGACCTTTTTCTGGAAGCCAAGCCAGAGATTACTATTTTCCGCTCGTGCCACTGCTACTATTGGAGTGGTTGGTCCCTGCTGTGCCGAACCCGTCATTTGATACTTGCGTGGGCGTATCCGGGCACAGAGCAGGGAGACAAGCAGGCCGGATTTGGTTTCGCGGATGATGAAGAATGGGCCTGGGTGTGGACTGACGAGAGTCTGGAGCTTGGGATTGATAATCCATGGGTGCCTTCGTCTGGCTCTGCCTCTGCCTCTGTGGATGCGCTTGTTGTTGGTGTGTGGCAGGCTTGGCCGCTGCCCCGGTGGTGACGGACATTCCAGTATCAAAATTGACTTCAGTGGCTGTGGCTGGAGCCTCCATTGTGTTTGGGAGAGTGGTTCGGTTGCGTGGAGGGGTGGGGAAGATGCGATTGTGGCCCCTCTTGCCACTCAGTTAAGTTGGTGCTCTTTATTTCTCGATGGCAAGAAGGATGTGGGCATTATGGATGTCGAGTGCGGTAGTGCCGTGATCCTCAGGTTGCTGGTCAAGAGGCTGAGGCGGGGTACCTATGTATGTCTGCCTGGCTTTCAGGCGACAGGCACTGCGGACCATGGTCTGGCTTTAGTTCTATCACATACCCTTAATGAAACGGGGTGTGTAGGCACGCAATAACCCCAGCAATGCTGTCCGTGGAGTTTGGGATGATTGCAGTGTTACTTGGGAATATTGTTTACATTGCAAGGAACATAACCAACAATTCTAAGAATAGCAACCCGAGCATTTGGTACTCACTCCGACCGCAGACTGCCTGGTCGAATTATTGGACTTGCCATACCAAACTTGTGTTTGATTCCCTGGCTCTCAGGCTTTGTACTTTGGCAGACCGATCCTGGGACTCCGCTGAATATTGAATTTTGGAATATGTAGTTGAAATTAGAATTTGTTCTCTAACAATCCTCGATGGTCTAACGGTCATGATTTCCGCTTGTCACTTCTTGCAAGAACAAGCGCGGGAGACCTGGGTTCGACTCCCAGTCGGGGAGTTTACTTTTTTTTCTCTTTTCTTGGTGAGAGTGCTTGTGGGACCGGGCTTGCGAACACGAGTAAACCATATTCTTTTTTAGCAACATTGGAGTATATAAAGTCACTTGCAATCATTGGACTTTTAATCAAAGTCTAGTTGCGCGGTTAGGTGGGATTGGGCGGTACATTGCTAAAGCGTATCAGGAAGCCCACATCTGGCGCTCTTCGCGAACGCCCGACGAGATCCTGACTCTTCCCTCTATAAACCTACCTTCCGAGCATCCGACTTTGTGTACGACAATAGTAGCGGCGACTAAGGGTATCTCTATGGTTTGGGCCTTAAAAGCTCGTAACCGATCTTGATGCGTGGTGTGAATGACTGAGGGCGTAAATATATATTTCTGCCACAAACGAGCGCAAGTTCCAAGACAAGACAGTATTTTTTCTTCAGAGACATATTCATTGGATTCTTGGATGGCTGCGAGGAAATGGAGCATCCCCTCAAGACCAGCATCAGAGTATGCCCCGAATCGTCGTCTCATAGTCCTCCGGCTCCCTCCCCAAAATCTCCTTCAGAGTTGGCGTAACAACCGCCGTCTCACCCCGCCGAATCGCCTCCCACGCCGTACACCATTCCCTCGCAAGATCCACGCCGTGATACGTGTGCTTCCCCGCATGGTCAAGCCCCGCATACTCATCAACACCAATCTCGCGAATCCGCACATCCCTCCCAACAGCTCGTCCAAGAACCTCCGCCGTCTCCTTCAACGAGTACACCTTAGACCCGGTAAGGAGTACAATTTTATTAACAAACGGAAACGCCTCCGCAACGGGCCCATTTGCCCCGCCAACCGTCGCATAGTTCGCGACAAGCCGCGCACTCGCTTCACCAAGCTCATCCCTCTTAACCCACGCTACCCCAGGCCCGTGCCCATCATGCGGGATCGTGATCTCACCACTGGGGTCCCGTAAATCAAACCAGTTTGTGTAGATCGGGAACGACTCAGAGTACAGACCCTCCCTGATACTCGTGTACGTGGTCGGGTTGGGACCGGCACTAAGTTCCGCGAGGAGCTTCTCAGTCTCCAAATGCGCGCCCATGACATGCGCGACACTGGACTGCGCGTAGTCCCCGGCAAACGCAAGAGACGAGTAGAAGATGTGCTTTACGCCGGACTTCCGGGCGGCGTTGATGGCGGTTTTGTGCGCATTCACCCGATGCTCGATCTCGAATGACGCGTACGAAATCAGCATCAGCACGTCGATGTCCTCGAAGACGTGCGCCAGCGTCTCGGGGTAATCGTAGTCGCCGCGAGCGACGGTCGCGCCGGCAGCGAACTCATTCTCGTGCTTTTCTGGGTTGCGTGAGATCAGGGTTAGCTGGGATGCTGGGACGAGGGTCAGCAGGTGCTTGACGATGCTGGAGCCGAGGCCGCCGGACGCTGGGAAGACGCCGATTCGGGACATGGTGACTGATAGAATTAGTGGAAGTGGTGGGGGAAGTGATTGGTGGCGATGGTGTTGGCGGCTGACGTTGGATTTAAGCAGGAGGCTATTTGAACTGAGCCCGAGGGGATTTAAACCATGGCAGTTCAGGATTTCTAAGCCTGATGCTTAGAAATCAGGGTGCGGGTCAGGGTCGGCCAGTCAGATCTGCGCCTGATTTCAAGCTTAGAGGGCCGCCAGTGACGTCACAGTAATCTGTGGATGCTGGGCACAGCAAGTTAGGGCTCGCGAGGCACATGATTCTCACCCATGTTGTCAAGGGCGCTTTCATATGTCCTATGGTAGCGCATGGGATATCGTCGAGCAAGCTGTAGAGCATCAAATCATAATGACACTTAGCCATTTAGGAGTCCTCCGGTCCTGGATGCCGATGAGATACTCCGCCAATAGTGCGTAGATCCAGGTGGCCCGAGAGAGGATCTGCAAGCCTACCCTCTCTGGCCACAAAGTCCTTGAATCCTGGCAGCACCATTTTATCTTTAATAGCGCTGGCTAGACGTATGATTGGCATTGCAGCTGCAGGAACCGGGGGGCTGTGCATGGAAGGAGGAACGAGAGCAAAAGCTGTTAAAACCTGCTAGAGCGGTCAACCTATTACCAAGATCCCACCCACTAGTGAGAACTTTATTTTAAGATAATATTAAATTAATATTTACTAAATTTATATATTAATAATATAAACTTAATAATATTATAATAATTTAGGCTATATTAAATAGCTATAAATTTTTTTTATTAAATAATATATTTTTTTTTATTTAAATTAGTTACATGGCGGGATTATTAAAAATTTTATTAAAGTAATTGTTTTAATTAATTTTAATTAAATTTTTAACCTTAATTAATTAAAAATTTATATTATTTATTAAATTTTAGTGCTAGTTAAATAACAGTACTTTATAAAGCTTAAAACTATTATAAATAAATATATTAAGGCTTTATAAAAAGCTTTTATAATACTTTATAAAAAGCCTTTATAATACTTTATATAAAATTAAGGGGGGTTTATAAAACTTTTAAAGTTATTATTTAATTAAAAGTTTAAAAACCTATATTTAGCTAGTAAATTATTATATTTATAGTAACTAGGATAATTAAGTATTTTAGTAATTAAAATTAAGGGTATTTAACTTACAGGAGTTAAGTTTATATAATTAATTTATAATATTAAAAATAAAAATAAAAAAGGCCTAAATATTTAACTTTATAAAAATATTAAAAGTATAATAAAAATAAAAAATAATAAAAAAATAAATAAAGCTTTTAATAGCTGGGCTTTTTTAATAAATTACTTAAAAAGTTTAGCCTTTTATTTAGCCTTATATTTAATTACTATTTTTATAGCCCTTTTTTACTTAGCCTTATTTTTAGTAATTTTTTTAAGGCGCCTTTTTATTTTTAATAAGCTTATTAAGGCGCTTTTTTAGCCTTTTTATTAATAATCTTTTTTAAATAGCGCTGTTTTTTTACCTTTATGTTATGCTTTTTTTTCCCTTTTTTTAAGTATCTTAGCCTTTTTATATTTTTTTTTTAGCCTGCTTAAGCGCTACGGCGGCCTTTTTTTACTTTACTTTTTTATACTTTATTTAAGCCTTTTTAATATTAGCATGCTTAATAACCTTACTAAGTTATAAAAATTAATATTACTTAATTTTTTTTATTAAGCTTTTTTTTTAATATTAAAGGCTATTTTAAAGTTACTAGTTATAATTATAAAAAAAAATTATAACACACGAAGGCCCAGGTAATTATTATTTTTTTATTAAATAATTTTAAGTACTAAAAAAGTTAACAAGTAATATACTAAGCTAATATAACATGTTATTTTTACTTTTTAAAGGCTTTTTTACTTATCTTAAAAATTTAGTTATAAAATTAGTAAAATTTATAATTTTTACTACAAGTAACTCTTACTTTTTTAACTTTTTAATTTTAGCTTTTTTATATATAATTTTTAAGTAAATAAGCTACTTAATATTATTTATAAATATAGCTTTAGCCCTAGCTTACTAAAAAATTTTAAATTTTTTTTATTAAGTAATATTATACTAGCTAATTTATAACTTTTAATATATTTTTTAATTATACTAAGTAGCTAAAAAGCTAAATATTTTAATATTTATTAGCTAAAAAAATAAGTAGTATAAAAAGGTAAATAAATAAAAATAATACTATAATCCTAACAAGTTAATATAAATTTAAAGCTAATATAAAATATATAGCTATTATATAGCAAGATATAAAAAAAAATTTAATATACCTATTATATTACGTATAAATAATAGAAAAAGTTTATAAAATAAAAATATTATATAACTAATTAAGCGCTAGCTTTATAATATTATATTTTTTTTAAAATTATAAAAAATGCCTTTTTATTTAAAGTAAATTTTATTAGCTAGTTTAAATTAACTTCCTTATTTTTAAAAATAATTATTAAAAATAATTATTAAAAATAAATACTAGCTAAATAGCCTATAATACTTTATAATAAATATTTAGTTATTATTTTAAGATTTAATTATAGTAAATCCTTCGCGGTTTTTTATAAGCTATATAAAAAAATAATATGCTAATAACCACGTGGAATTTTATATATAAAGCCTTTTTTATTAAAATTTTAAATATTTTAAAAGTTAACCTTATATTTTTTTAATATATTTAAATAACTTTAAAAAATACTTAAAAATTTAGAAATTAGCTTAATACTAGTATTTATATTTAAGCCTTTTACTTTATATAATTATAAATTTTTTATTTTTTTTATAGAAAAGCCCGGTATTAGTTTATATTAATTAATTTATATAAATAACTTAACCACTAGTATTTTTACTTATATAAAATATTTATAATATTTTATAATATTTTAATTTTAAAAAAAGTTAAATTTAACCTAGTAAAATATATAGTACCTAAAAAATACCTTTTTAATTAAAAATAGCTTTTACTTTAAAGTATAAGTAGTTTAATATATTTAATAGCTATTTATATAATACTAAAAATTTTTTAAAAATAATTTATACTTAGCTACTACTTTTTACTATATTTTTTAATTTTTTTTTATTTAAATAATTTTAAGTAATATTAGCTTATTCTACAGGTACCTAGTAGGGTTTTTTTTATAAAATTTAATAAGCTTTTTTTTATAAATATTTATTTTAGTAGCTTTAATTTTACTAAGCAGCTTATTATTTTTAATTTTAAATATTTTAAAGTTATTTAATTAATTAAGGCCGGGCAAGAATAATTAAAAATTTAGTATAAATAAATTAAATAATATTATTAATTACTTACGGCCCTTATTTAAATAAACTTTTTAAATATTTTATTTATTAATTTTAAATAACTACTTACTAAATATTTTTATAAAAAATTAAGAAAGTTATATATTATTAACGTTAACGCATTAATAAAGTATAATTAAAAATAAAGTTTTAAATATGCGTCTTACTAGTAGGTGGGATCTTGGTAATGGGTTGACCGCTCTAAAGCTTACCAAAGCCTTACACCCCTAGTTCTTAAGGCTTATACCTATCTCCTGCCAAAGGCTGCCAAGAGGGTACATTCAAGGTTTAAATTCAATGATACCGAGGAACTAGCTACTTGGCAGTACTCGGCGGCGTGTCGATCTTTGAGAATTTTGTTTTCGAAGACTGTACGGAGTATCTTTGTGTACTATGAGACGCACTGGCGAAAACGATTCGGCGCCCCTACCGCACAGTGATCCTACGGATGTTCAAGCAAATAACTCCGCTGTACTCCGAATGCCCGATACTGCATACGATTGACGGCCTGAGCAGAGAGCAGACAAGATACGGAGTAATAACGTTCTGCAACCCCGAAAAGGGAGTCACCATCCCATGATTATGGTAAAGATGCCCACGGAAGCAGTGCATTCCCTCTACATATACCCTAGGCATAAAATCAGGTCGCTCCGCCCCTCCTTTCTCCTCCTCATAGCTACCCAGCAATCCAGTCCTTCAACCACCTCGTTCCTCCCCTCCCACAACCACCATCAAAATGAAACTCCTACTACCCCTCCTCGCCCTAGCCGGCCTCTCCGCCGCCGCCAGCCTAAGCCAACAAGAGTGCTCCGACCACGCCAACGAAATCCAAGACGGCCTGCGAACTGTATACCCATACCTCGAAGCCGCCGTCAACTCGGACGAAGCCCAGAGGCCCGAGAACCGCGCCTTCGCCGACTCGCTTTCCAGCGCCATGACGCAGGTGTCGAGCGCCACGGGACCGCGCTCTGATGCCTTCCACAGCGAGATGGTGCAGCATTGCGGCGAGGGAAGTGAAGATGTGGAGGATGACATGCCGTTTGCGTCGGCGGTTTTTGGAGCCCTTGGGGATGTCTATAACGCGATGCCAGGGGGCGCGAGTCGGGAGCGCGAGAGTCGACGCCTGACGCGTCGTCAGAGTGATGGTGGCAGCGGCTTGCTCCGGATACTTGCTGAGATCATCCTCCGATTGTTTGGTATAGTTGATACCTATGCCGATGTAAGTGCCCTCTTACGCAGTCGCGGTTTGCCGGATTATGCAGATACGCTAACCTATTTATTGTAACTTGTAGATCCTGGACCTTGACGCGGGAATCCTGGCCATTGTGGGCGGAATCCTAAATATCAACGGCCCAGAGTGAAAAGAATTTGGGCTCCTGAGGTCTCGCGAGTTCCCTCGGGGAGAGGGAACAACGATGGCGTCTTGTGCAGTCATGAAGTTTGTGGGTTCTTGCTTTCTTGGTTCCAGCATCGGCTTGGGACTTGTCCTTGTGCTGGTCCAGCTTGTCAGCCGGTTGTTACATTCTTTTAATAAGCCTTTTACCTCTTAATATATGATTTTAGTTCGTACGCACCGAATCTCGTTCGAGCCGCATCTCATAATTTCCCTAGGCCTGTTCCAATCCCTTGACGCGATTACCTTCTTAGGGTGTGTTTGTTCTGGGCCGGAGTTTCAACTTAAGCAGTAGACCCGACTGCCTACAACGAAATAAGAGCCTGTTTACTGTACTGCATCGACACGGGCAGTGGGAACCCAGAACAAGATGTCCTAAGCCCACACGCATCACGCGGCGTCTCTCGCCTCGTTCCGCAGGTAGTTCCAAGACAACCAGGCGCCTAAAAGTCTTTCATATGGCCCTTTAGTAGTGCAGTATATACCAGGGTGACAAGGTCCCTTGCATTACCACCACAAGATATAGTCAGCGCTCACAGACACGACTGCAGCGGCATCACTGCTACAGTCTGTATAAGATATACCCTAGGGGTGTTACGCATGGAGCCTTCTGTCAATAGATCGGTTGCATTTTCTTCATGCTTGCATTTCCAATGGGTCCCGTCGCTATTATATCCTGTCCATTATTAGTTTATAACTGAATGCTAGTCTACCTGTCCTTTACATAATGCCTCATCCACTTAGCACTTGCACAGATTCGGTAGTTCAGTAGGTAACTGGACTGTTACCTGCAGCCCGGGTGGGAGAGTGTCCGCGCCCCAGAACCGGGCAATAATAAGATCTCGCCTTGAGGCCCTGATAAGAACTCGACCTTGCACTCACGATGTCGCATTTTATTATTTTCACGGGCCGGATGGCTCCTCAACTTGCGACTGATTTTGCCAGGACCTCTATTAATAGGTAACCTACCCCACAGAAACAGAACATGGGACCACGCCTGCAGGGATATCACTGCCAAAGCTGCCCAGCTACAAAGTCTAATTTCGGCCGAAAATGGATTCCGTGTCCAGCTGATCTCTCTTCTCTCATCCCCCTCTCGGAGCGGGAGCGCTAAGTCGGCTTTTACCTTAGGGAGGGATTGCTTGCAGATGTATGGCCTGGGTCTCTTTGAGGAGGACCTGCTGCAGTGTCTACGGCTATGGTACATTGAACTCGAAGCTCGTCCATTCGGGAGTATTTATTCCGACAGAGCCTGGGCAGTCGAGAGTGAAATGTACGCCTTAGCTTCCCATCGCCATGAGTTAAGTGTATGATATGGTGTGATAAGATTATTAGAGTAGCTGTCGGACCGTCATATCAAGTGGTTCCAGTTAATAGAGCCCCTGGGTTATGGTATGTTGTACAATATTCGGATCGATCGGACCCCATCGACCTGCATATCCGCTCATGTCGGATGCTGCAAGGACGGTAGGCCCACCATCTAATGGCCATCTCTGTCTTTTATTTCCAGGATACTCAAGGGTTCCAACAAGACCAGCGTTGTGAACTAGCATCTTTATGGCTTTCCACTTCTGTCCACGCTTTAACGAGGAATTTACCGGTTGCCCTGCATTTACAGCTAGATCAGGTACTCCGTTACAATCTTGCTAGCAGCACAAATCAGAGTTTACCTCCCGTTGGATGCCCCCACGCACTTCGGATTCCAAGATCGGCAATTATTAGCGTCCTGTCGGTAGATAGACGCCACGAATGCATTGGATCCAATCATTAAACAGCCGGGTGTCAGACCTCGATCCGTTAATGAGATTCATCCCTGCCCCATGATCGGACGTCGACAGGTCGATTGCCTGCTGAAAGCTACCATCCCGTTCACTGTAAGCAGCCGGATCAGCCGGATCAATTCTGCGTCAGTTCAGGTCATCTGCTTTTACTGGCATCCCCGGCCTTTACCACTCCCACTTTGGAGTTTAGGACTCCGTGTGACTGCCTATAGGTTTAATTGGACGATGCCGGACCTCTGCGTATTAGGGTTGCCGTCTGCATTACAAGGACCCCCGGCTCTGCTACAGCCGGTCTAGCAAGCCAAGCCAGAACGAAAAATGCTCTGGGAATCGAAGCCTATGTACCGAAAAAAATCAGTGGGAGCCCACGGAATCTTCTTGCGTTCGAGCATCATCTGACGTGAGATCTGCACAAGAGGACAGGGTCCTATCGCTGGAGATTACTCTTGGGCATAAGACCCTGTCCCAGCCGGCCACTCGCCTGGGTACGAGTGCGTAGCCGTGGATTATTTCAGGCAGGACCATCTGCTCAACTTCAAGCTATAAATCCCAGCTGCCATCCTCCGAGAACGAACCTAACATCTCACACTCCACTGTATTTTCCTTCAACTTCCACTGCCATACTTCGCACGCAGCCCAGCCTGAGCCAGCCACCCCATTCCCATCCATCATGCATTTCAAACACCTCGCTGGCGTCCTCCTCAGCGCCCAAGCCGCACTCGCCGGCTCCGTCCTCAACCGCCAGAATAGCGTGTGCACCAGTGCTCAATTCCCGTTCCCGCGTTGCTGCTCCGAGTCCCCTCGGCCTGGCTACTTCCTGTGTATCCCGCCCTTGGGTGCACCCGACCCCACGCAAATCATCTGTGGCTCGGGACAAGTGGCCGTTTGCTGTAACTTAAACATTTTCGTAAGTGCTCGGGCTGGTACCTTGTCCCAAATAGCGTTGAAGTACTAACATAAACGTACTGTAGGAACTTCCTATCATTGACTGTACCGCTCAGAGGTCGTGATGGATGCTTGGCCCCGGGGTCCGGTTGCGTTAGAAAACTGGTCAGCTACAACGGGTCATGGTCAGGGTGATTAGGGCAGCGGGGATGAGTGATCTGGTGGTGATATGGCGAGGGGACGTGGGAAGGCTTTCGATCTGGCTTAGGTAGTGCCATGCTAGTCGGCTATCGGGGATACGTGAAGGGTTATGGCAGGCATAGCCTTGTGCTTATTGATTCAACATCACCATCGTCACGGTTTCGGGTATCTAGTTTATTTGTCTGGTATTCTTATACATAATTTTCCTGTTTTAACAATGTCAACGTCTCTGACATTTGAAGGACCCCGGTGAGATTGAGAACGACCTAGAGCATATGATCTTCGCTTAACAGTACCCCAACTTCGAGTTTTCCTGTGATGTAGGTAGCCAGTGCACCAAGCCATTGGCACGGAACTGGCAATTGCCTGGGGTTAGCAAACGGAGTGGGTTATTATCCTAGATGCTAGACGGAATCCCTATTCTGAAATACCCATAGAGGCATTTTCATAGATACTTCCAGTCCATTACCTTGAGTTCCGGATCTTTCTATCGCCGTAGCGCACAAGGTCATTAGGGGGTTCACTTGAGAAACGTCCCGGACCATGGGCAGATAGGCCGTGTCCACCTGCACACTGCGCGAGCATTACAGCCACCCGATTGGCTTTACTTAAGGTTCCTACATGGTTCAAGGCTTGGACATCCCTGCGAAGTCTATCACCGGATTGCGAAGAGAAGCGGGGTTCGAGGGAACAATGTTTTCAGATCATGCTCTTCATTGGATTCTCACGTTAGATCTCGATGGGACGGGGGGTTACACGCCACAATTAAATCCGATCGCCCTGGATCTGCACATCAGATTTTGATTAGCTGCTGCGTCACATGGCATTGAATTACGGAGTACTTGACTGCTTTTTCTTCGGCCTGAGTAGTAGGGTTCGATCGAGGTTGTAGCAGATGCTCACGTCAGTTGGCGGGTATTTGAGAGTTAGGGCTAATTTGGCTCACGGCACGGCTGACTCTGAGTGTTCGGACTCTGCGTGTGGACCCTCGTTCAGGGTAGGGAAAGAAAGTTATGCTTACTTGACGCTGATCAATGACACAGATCTGATTTAAACATGCACTTTTCAAGGGAAAAAATGCTGATGTAGTTGTTCGTAATAAAGGCCCAGCAGCGAGGTTGCGCCGCTCCGCCGACAACGTAGGTAAGCGTTTATCAATAGGCCGTGGTGATTTAGCATCACCGGATGGATCTGTATATGTAGCTGCTTGATGTCATTTGTTTCATACAAATCTATTGTTCTTATAACGTTAGCATATGAAGTCCTCCCGAGCGGCATCCATAACTGACCCTGGCCGTATTTTCCAAGGCCGCAATATATCACTAATAATGCAAAATTTCCAGACAGTGAAAGCAGTGTTATTGCACATGTGAGGGAATCTGGTTTATTGCATGCCCGGTGTAAGTCCGTTGAGCATGCGATGTTATTAGGGCCGACTGTTCACTGGGTGATATGTTGCTTGGCGCATGTTTGCGCCCGGTACGGGTACCACGCTCGGAGAGGTTCAAACCCGCTGAACCTCTCCGAACAGGGACCCCGCCCGGTACAACTCTGGGACCCGGCCACAAAAGGCCATTGCACCTATTGCTAAAACTTGGACGCCGCAACAAAAGTCACTCATACAGATAACCTAACTCAAGTCTTAGTAAATATATGCAGCATGGCTAACATAGCATGATACCTATTTTCGATGAAGGACGCAGAAAAGCAAAAACCCTCCCAATCCCGTCTATGCGGACCGATGGCAAAAACCGGTGGCACTCTTCCATTCCTACACAGTCCCCATGTTACAGCCTAAATACCTAAACGTGCATTCATTAAAGAGGTGTAGGATAGATGACAGGTAAGTTTAGCAAGAAATAGCGTTTTTGCTACATAAGCTATATTTTTTTTCAACAACTTGTGCCCTTTCAAGAAATTTCCTCATTTCTGATCAGCACGGCTCGGGGTTCGATTCCCCGCATCGGAATCAGCCAGCATCGATTTCTTTTTTGGGTTTTTGGTGGATGTGGCTGAGTGGGTGGGCTGGCTGTACCGTAAACCTGCAGGTGGTTGGTTGACGGGAGCCTCCCCACCCCTGCCCACAATGCCACACTCCCGGAGCATTTAGATCATGTTCTCTTCATCTAGATTAGGTTTCTAACCATATCATCCCTTGCTCAGTTATAAAGACCGTGTCAAATTTGACACGAATCATGCTTCGGCCAAGCCATACACATTATTTTTCGTTCGGTCAATAGGGGCGCCAACCGAACTTGCGCCGATCTATATCTACACAGTTTCGGTACCTGTTACGGCTGCTATGCTAGGTACGCCCTCTGGCCTGGCTGCATATAAGGAAGATACCCCCTGTCCGAGTATGCATGCTATAAGCAGAATATTTTATCGACTATGTCCATAGTGTAAAGTAACTACTATAAATGGGCCAAGGTCCAAAGCCTATAAGTATATCATAATAAAACAAGGACAAAATTTAAAGACATGCTTTATACTGTTCTATATAAAGTACTATATACCATGGCTGTAGATTGTCACGATATGCAGGACGGAGAGTGTAGCACATGCAGGGACCCATAACGGCCATAGAAATACCATCTGTCAGATAGAAACTGTATTGCGAAACCCTTGACATTAGCCCAACTAGTAAGTAAGGACCTTGGAAGAAAGGTACAAATACCCCACGTCATGTTTGCCATAGTGATTTGGCCAATCCTAGTTCTGGGGCAGTTGGCATACTACTTTTCAAATCCTGAGCCCTGCCCAGGTGCGCCCGTGCAATTGCTTTGGCATACGGGGCACCATGCATGGCTCATTCGGCTATCTGCACATATCAATAAGCACTGTATTCCTTCAACGTCGATGACAATATCTATCCTAATACCTTGATATCATCAATGCGTTCTGGTATTCTGGCCAAATAACAACGAGGTCCCTCTGCCCGGCAAAACTCAAGCCCTATCCAACACACCAAAATCTAAACAGACCCAGAAACAACCCCATCCCTGATCTCCCCCAAACTCCTCTTCTGCCGCCCATCCCCACCAAAGTTCCCCTCCGCCACCCACTCCCCCAACGCCCTCCCACTCCCCGCATCCCACTCCTCCCTCAGCATCGAAAACCACGCCGTATCCCGACTCCTCCCCTTAACAACCATATGCTGCCGAAACGTCCCCTCGTACGTGAAACCCAGCCGGAGCGCCGCCCGCTTCGACGGCCCATTAAGCGCATTACACTTCCACTCCACGCGCCGATACCCTAGTTCGAACGCATGCTCGAGCAGGAGGTATATCGCCTCCGTTGCGCCCGTCGTGCGCTGCAGGGAGGGACTAAACATAACATTTCCGATTTCGATGGAGAGGTTGGACGCGTTAATCGACATGAGGGTGATATAGCCCAGTGGTTTTCCGGAGGTGGGGCTATCCTCGGCCTTGCGGGCGTCGAGGATAGCGTAGAAATAGGGATCGCTTGAGTTTGACTTGGTGGTTATGGCGTTTTGCAAGGCTGGGAGGTCTAGATAGGGCCCGTCGGGCATGTAGTCCCATAGTGATGCGATTGGGGGTTCATACCCGCCGATGAAGGGGAAGAGGGGCGGGGCGTGGTCGGGTTTGAGTTTCTCGAGACGGACTGTTCGGCCTAAGAGGGTTCTTGTGGTTGGTAGTGAGGCTGGGGGCATAGTAACTAGCGGACCCAAGGGTCGAGTACACGCCATGGTGTAACCTTGGAATGCTGGAGATGTTGGGTTGGAATTCGGGAGACGTCTAGTCTGATTTAAGAGTCTAGAAAGGCTAGCAATTATTAATCACCTCAAATCAACGTGTGTAATTCGGCGCCCGTGCCGTTAGAACTCCAATGAGTGGACCCAATGGTGAGTCATTCTGCTTCACGCCGTGATATGGCTATACAAATTAGACAACTATATTTTGATATATTAGGTATAATTGAAGCTACTATGGTGATCCTGGTGTGTATACTTGCTCTCTAGCCTTGGAAACATAGGCAGCCATGATGTCAGACTTGTGGATGCCTCAGGCTGATTACCAATAGATTTTTCCTCTACTTATTAGAGAATACCTATCTAAATTTATTTACTTATTACTCTAGATATAATAGGGCTAGGGCTTTAAAATATAGCTTATTTAAAGTATTTTAATTAGTTTTTTAAATATTTTTTAATTTAAACCTTTTATTATTTATACTTATTAAGTTATTTTTACTTAAAGTTACTTTATTATTTATTATTAAGTAAATATTAAATTACTGCCTAGTATTATTAAGCTAATTAACCTATAAAATTATTAGTTATAAGCCTGGTAGTACTTTACTAAATAAAAATATTTAATTATAAAATATAATAGCTAGTTAATAAATTAAAGTGTTTATAATTATTTATAACTTATTATTATAAACTTTTTTAACCCTACCTTAATAATTAGTAAGGTCTTTATTATTTTAAATACTAATAATAACTAGTTAACATGGTATAACTAGGTAAAAAACTATGCTAAAATAATAAGTATTTAAAATTATATAAATTTAAATATTAAAAAAAATAACTTTTAAGAAAGTAAAAGCTTAGGAAACCGCTTTTAAGAGACTTTAGTAAAATATAAAAAAAATAAAAAAAAAGTGTTTTTAAACTAATAATAATAAAATAACTAAAAAAAAGGTTTATCTTATATTAAAAGAACCTAAAATTACTAAAAATATATTAACTTTTAAAAAGTATAAAAAATACCTTAAGGCCTGTAATATATATAATAAGTGCCTTAAAAAATAAATAACTTTATATAATACTTTTTTAGTAATAATTTATATAATAATAAATAAGAATTTTTATAAGCTATTTAAAAAGGTAAATAAGCCATGTAATATATTAATTATTTTTTATAAGTAATTTTAAGTATTTAAAATAATAAAGTTATATTATTTATATATAAAACTTTAATTACTTAAAGTAAGCTTAATTTAAATATTAATAATATAAATTAATTATTAAATTAATTAGTAAACTATACTTTATAATAAGGGTATAAAACTTTTACTTTAAAAAAATAAATTAATAGTAATATAGGACTTTTTAAAACATGTAATATTTTTTAATTTTACTTTTATTAAATAAAAAAATAAAAAGCTTTAAAATAATAAACCTTTAAAATTTAATAATATTATAAAATATTTTAGGTATTAAATATACTTTGGGGCCTAGGCTAAGTAAGCCTTAAGTAAATAAAAATTTATAAATTTATTAATATTTATTATTATAACTTTTATAATATATACTACCCTTAAAGGTATTAATCCTAAAAAAAATAATAAAAATTAAATTAAAAAAAATTAAAAAAAAAGAAGCTAGTAAAGGGTTTTAAAAAAGCCTTAAAGGCTAAAAAATAGGTTAAAAAAGGGTAAAAAGCTAAAAAAGTATAATACCTATACTTAAAATTATGTAATTATTTATTATTAATACCTTTTTAATATAAATACTTGAAAAATAGTATTTAAATATTAATATTTTTAAAAAAGTTTTTAAAGCAATGGCTAACCTAAATATAAAGTAAAAAATTAAAAATATTTATAAAGATGCCTTTAAAAAATTTAATTATAACTTTTATAAAGGCAAGGGTAAGAAAAAACATTTAAATAAAATATATATAATTATTTATTAAGTATTTTATGCCTTGGCTATTATAATAAATAAATATAATTTTAGTAATATAATAATTATAAATAGTGCCTTTATAATATATGTTTATAATAATATTATTAAAATAAAAAATATTTATGTAACTACACTAAATAAATTAAAAAAGATTTTTATTAGTAATATATTAAATATAATTAATATAATTAGTATATTTTTAATAAAGGTAACTTATGTTAATAATTTAAAATAGATTTTTAAATTTATTAACTACGCGTATATTAAAGGCTTTTATACTAATATTATATTACTTAATTTTTTAAAGTAAAAAGGATTATTTTTTAATACTTGTAAACACCTTATAAAAAATAGTTATAATTAATTAATATATTATTTTAAAATATACTAGGGATTTAAAATATTTAGTTAATAATATATAAATAAGTAATTTTTTAATTTAGCAAGAGTATTTATTATAATTAAGGTAAAATATTAATAATTAGCAAAACCAGGAGCGCTTGCTAAAAATACTAAACTTTAGTATTAATATATAAGCCACCTAGGTAATAAATTAGTACTATAATTTTAAAAGTTAGCCTTAGGGGTAAAAATTACCACTTTAAATAAAGATTTTAGTAAATATTATTTTTTTTACTTTATTTGCAAGCTTGCCAACACTTTATAATAAATATTTAAAATTTTTTTTTTAAATTAACTTAATTATTTAAAATTATTTATTTTAATATAATATAGCTTAGCTTAAAGTTATAAAATAGCCTAAAATAACTTTTATACTTTACTAATAATTATACTTGCATATAATTTATAGTTTTTTATAAAAATAAAGATAAGTATATTCTTACTTTTTAGTATTTTTATAATATAATAAAAAATTAATATAATTATAAAATTATAATACTTTATAATAATAGCAAGGGCTTTATAAAATTAAATAACTTTAAAATTAACGCGTAAAAAAAAGTTATTATATATATAATTATTAAAAATATATTTAAATAAAACTTTATATTAAAGTATTAAAAAAACCTTATTATAAGGCGCGCCCGGGCCATGGTTTTAAAAGTAAATTTTTTTAAATATTTTAACTTTAAAGTAATAAAATTAGCTATATATATTCTTAATAATACACCCGCTAAAAATTTAAAAAATACCTAGTTTATTTTATTTATATAATTTTAAGCTGCCTTTAATATCCCGCGGCCTATTAATTTATTAAATATATATATTTTTAATTATATAGGGTTTTATTAAAAAGCTATAGCATAATTTAAAAAGCTTATTAAAAAAGCTAGTATAGGCTATTTTATTAGGTATAATATTAGTAATATTTAAAAATTATAAAATTTTAAGGCAAGGCTATACTAGTTAGTTTTTTAAGTATGTAATATTATATTTAATAAATTAAAGTTTTATACTTTAAATAATTTATTACTTACTAGTAATTTATATATTATAAATTTACTCCGGCCTAAGAATATATAGCTAAAAAAAATAAATTTTTTTATATTATTTTATTATTTTTTACAGGGTTTAAAAAAGATTTAAAAAATAATAATAAAAATAAATTAAATAAGCCTACTAAGGCTTTTAAACTTAAATATAATATTAAGTTATATGCTATTAATAATAATACTAGCATGGGGGGTAAAAAGATTAAAATAGCTAATAAAAATACTAATATATTATAACCTATAACTTATAAATTATGTAATAATATTAATAAAATACTACTTATTAATTTAATTAATTATATTAAGTTTTTCAATAAATTAGCTAACTTTATTTTTATTATACTAAAAAATTATAAAATAGCTTTATTTAATTTTAACTTTAGCGCTGCTATAAATAAAGTTTTTAATATAAATATTAACACCCCCAGCGGTTTTCCTAATATAAAATTTAAAAAAAAAAATAATAAGAAGTAGTCCTAATTTTGATTTTTACTTTACTAGCTAAAATAGTTATGTTTAACTAAAAATTTAAGTATAAAAATAATAGCGCACTTGCGCTTAACAAGAATAAAAATATAATTATAAGATTTAATATAATTTAAAAATAAGTTTCTTAAATTATTAAATAAAGGCCCCTTAATATACCTTTAATTAATAATATCTTTTACTTAAATAAAAGATACTATAATAATTTATACGCCATGCTTATAAAAAATTTAGTATATTAATAAGCTATATTTTTTTATCACGCTTAGCGCAGCTATATAATAGCTTTTTTTTACTTTATATGCTAAAAAAGGTACCTAAGGCTAGTGTTATATTTAAAAATATTATAATAATTAAGATAGATATTAATAAAAGCCTGTATTAATTTTCCTATTTAATTAAAATATAAAAAAATAAAAAATAAATAAAATAAAAAAATTAACGCCCTTTTTGAGTTTTATAATAAAAGCTATATTAAATACAAAATTAATAAAAAAAACATTAAAATATAAAGCTATTATTAAAGCTTTAATTATAACTAAGCGGGTAAGGCTATAGCTATTATATAAAAAAAGCTATAATTTATTAGGATATTTATTATTAGGCATAGGCTATAAATTATTAAATTTTATATTAATACTTATTTAATATTAGATTAAGAGGTAAAAATTAAATATAATTTTTATATTTTAATAGCTATTATTACCTATGTATATTATACCATAAGGTAATAGATATTAAACTTATAATATTAAAAAGGGTTTACAAGGTAAGTTATATAATATTTATATTAAATAAAATTTAAAAATAAAAAGAATTTACATAGTTTATGTTAAAGGGTTACCTGGAAGCTAAAAATAGCTAGCTTTTTTATATAATTATTTAAGTAAAAGCTCCGGGCTTAAGCAAAAAGTTAGTTATTAATAAAAAATATAATTAATACATGTTTCCTGGGTTAAATACTTAAATATAAAAAATACTTAAAAATATTTTTTAGTTACTTTAAAAAATACCTAAAATTTTAATATTATTAATCCCTAGGTAGTTATATATCAGGCCCCTAATTAAATTTATTACTTTTTACTATTTCCGCTATTATCACGCGAATTCTAGCATTAATTTAGTATAAATAGCCTTAAGTTTAGGTTTGGGTTTAGGTTTGCTTCTAGCTTGGGTTTAAATTTTTAGTAAGATTTAAAATAAGTTATAAATTTATAGTTTTATGAAATAAATAAAGAAAGCTTGGACAAAACTAGGCGTTAACATTAATTAAAGCCCGTCAACCTAAATAAGTGACCCGCCAGTTTAAATAATCTCAGGATTTAGTTTGGTCATGAAATTCACTTCTGAGTTTGGATTTTCCGTGTATTGTTAATGGACTTTGTACCGGTATCCCTGGCCGGGCATTAAGGAACGCATCAACATATCCAGATCACACCCGTGGACTAATTGCACAAGCGCAGAGTAACAATGGTCTATTTGAGGACTGTTTGCAAAAACAGCAAGTTGCGCTTTTATACCCTAGGACAACAGATTCCCGACATGGGGAGGATTCAAATTCCCTAAGGTTGTTACTCGGCATGGTGCACTTTAATTGAGCCCGCCTACGATACGCTCAGCCCACCAACCCAACACAAACATAAACCCCTGCCTGTAACCCTCCACAATTATCCCCAACCGCGGGATTCCAACTATAAAAGTCCGCTAGTGCTACGCCATACCGATTCGCTATATCCCAGCACCCGTCGCCCGCCTGGACATCGTAGAAGGTACCACACGAGGACGTCATACCGTCCTGCACAGGCGACGGAGTCGACACCGCGTTCCAGCCAGAAGTAGTGCTTGCTGTGGTTGTAGGCATGGTGGCAGTTATTGAGCCCTCAGCACCAACGCAAACATACACGTTCGCTTGCAGCCCGCTGCAGTCGTTCTTCACAGCGGGGTTCCACGCGTAGAAATCATCCAGTGCGACTCCTTCGCTGGCAGCAAGGTCGTAGCACCCGTCGCCCGGCTGGACTTCGTAGAAGCTTGTGCACGATGTTGCCATTCCGTCCTGGACTGGGGAGGGTGTCTTGACTGCTCCTGTACCAGTGGAAGGTGCAGATGCCGTTATGCTACTGGGCGTGGTGATAGTCGGACTGGGGGTTGACGGGCTGACGCCCACGCACACGTATACGTCTGCTTGGAGACCACCGCAGTCGGTGCCAACGGCTGGATTCCAGGCGTAGAAGTCGTCTAGTGCGATACCCTTGCTGGCGGCGATGTCGTAGCAGCCGTCTCCTGTTTGGACGTAGTAGAAGTCCGTGCAGGCCGGCGTCATGCCGGTTTGAACGGGTGATGGTGTAGCGTTATGGCTTGGAGTGGAAGTCGAAGTTACAGTTGCTGTCTTGGACGTTGTTGGCTCGCTCGATGAGCTGCCGCTCGTCGTCCTCGTAAGCGAGCCCGCAGGATGAACGCAGTATCGGTATCCAGGCTGCAGGAGGCACGCGGTTGGGTTGGAGTCGTCGTAGGTGAGCGAAGGATTCCAGGATAGCAGGTCGTCAAGGGGAACGCCTGAGAACCACGCAATGAAGTTGCACGTGTTCATGCTGTCCGTCTTGGCCTGCGTCGAGCTGTTCATGTGCTCGGTATACTTGTCGCAGTTGTCGTGTGTTCCTGGGGCTAGGGGGAGCGGTGTAGAGGTTACGGTGATGGGCCAGGGGTAGGTGAAGGAGGCGGCTGTAGAAGAGGTGGAACCATTGGCAGTGGTTGGCTTTGGGAAGTGCCAGATCTCGGTATCTGTCATAACGCTCGTTGCTAGACACGACTCCGGGAGAGACGCGCGGGTCATGCGACATCCGTCCGAGCTCGTGGCGCCGCCATAGCCTGAGTAGGTATTGATGTTTCCCACTGCCTGGACGCAATATGAGTATCCAGCCATTAGGTTCGCGCAGGTGGTCGAGTTGACCTCCGGGTTGAGGAAGTAGAAGTCCGCCAAGCTTATACCCATCATGACGGTGATTCTGCTGCAGTCCTCGCCAGGGCTGACGCGGTAGTACTTGGCACACTGCGTGTTCGTGCCGGCTGCGACGTCCGTTGGGATAGCTGCTGCGGTGGTGGTGGCCGGGCCATCTGGTACTGGGACACCACCGTCTGGCGAGCTGATGCAGATCTGAGAGGAAACCAGCTGGTTGAGGTTGCTGCATCCGCGGTTGATATTGGCGTTCCAGGAGATGAGTTGGGTGACAGTGAAAGCGTATTCGTGCGCTTCGACGATGCTGTAGCAGTTGTCATCTTCCTGGACGGTGTAGATCTCGCATGATTTGGGAATGCACAGCGAGTCTCCGGCAGTAGGGAAATTGATGCAATAAGCAGGAAGGTTGTTCACGTAGAGCAACTCGTGCGTCGAAACGTTCTTGGCCACACTGATTGAGGTGCATGTATCGCCTTGTTGAATTACATATTCGTCAACGCAGTCGACCGTCGGTGTTGCCATTGCAGCGGAGCTTGTCGCGGTACCGCTGGTGGGAATGTCAACAGTATAGGCTGGCGGCGACGTGAATGGGTAGTTGGTCTCTCCACAAGATTCAGTCAAGGAGACGAACTCATTCTCCGTATCTTCGTCGTACCCAAAGGCAGAGTTGAGATGGGTCTGCAAGGTGCGTAGAAAGCAACTGGAGCAACTCTGCTCGGAAGTCATTCCCTCGGGCGCGTTGAGCCATGAGTCAATCTGCGGCGCACAGAAGGCGCCGGAACTGCGCGATGTGTCAGATGCCTGGACGTTTCTCCCGGTTTGGATAATGATGAAGTGGGGTTAGTGCGTACTCATCGCGAAGACATGTGTAGTCGTAGGTAAAGATCAGTTGGTCGAGGATATAAGTAGGTGGGTATGCATATCCCGACGTCTGCACTGCATCATTGCTGGAACAGGCGCTCAACTGATCGTTCCGTAGAGATTGCAGGGAGGACAGGCACTCCGTGGTACAGACAAAAGCGAGGTCTTCGGCCGAGGGGAAGTATCCATCCGACGTAATTGCTGCAAGGCTGGCATTACACTGCACGTTTTGTTTCAACGGTTCGCTGGGTGTGGCAGTTAGCTTGATTCTGCAAGTGCCTTCGTATTCCACAAATGGGCCACGTACGCGCAAGCAGCAGACAGGGTGTCTGGGATCTCGATAGACACAGGAAGGGAATCGCTGGTGTTATCGCCATTGTGATCAGCCAGAAATACCTGTGCCAAAGCCAACCCTGGCAACTTGATGGATTTTTGTCAGCATGACATAGATACCCGGATAGGCAGAGCTGGAGGATGGCCCTACCAGGGGAAGCACCCAGGAGACAACTGCCATCGTTTTCCCGACGGACCAGCAGGCGTAGTCTAAATGAGATACCTGGAAATCAGCCGAGGAGAACAAGAGAAGAAGCAGGAACTTAGGTTGGGCAGACCAAAGTAGTGGATGGGCTAGCGACCTAGTACCTATGTAAGAAGAATCACCCTTATAGACCGATGCAATCCATGGATCGTGCAAGCCCCAGCAGGTCCACAGTTTGTGTAGAGCACTGTAGAATGGCCGTTGGCGCCTCAGGGTGTGTCGGATATAGCTCTATCACATAGATTGAGCACCGGATCTCGCCACTCACCTAACTTGACGCCTCTGCTCCGCCTTGCACATATCCCGATCTGTGTACTGGTCTCGCTCGTACCGAGGCGTGGAGGGAATTCTTCGTGGGCTCCTTCTTGCCACTTGCAGGCCCAGATAGGGATGGACAAAATGGCTGACGGTAATTACGGAAAGTTGAAATTTAAGGATTTTTTCGGTAAGGAATGATTCCTGACGAAAGAATAAAATCACGT